ACTATCCAACCAAGGTCCAATACGTACTTTCTAAAGATAAGCCTAAGAGTCAAAGAACCTGCATCACTCTCTCTTACCCGTGGACTGCAGACTAGATGTTTGGCCCAAGGAATAATGATTTGGACCATGTCTTCACTTGAAATGCCAGTAAATGGAGTTGGAAAGTGAAGCAAAATACGGAAAGAATTTTCCCTAAGCCTGTCCCAACTATCAACAATCGATCCAACCAGCAATAACGTTGAATCATGTGAAGTGACAATATCACAGTATGGGTAAAGATGGCCTTGATGCGAAGTGGGATCCTTAGAAGCCACAACAGGCCAGACTTCAATCATGATCTGTATAAGTTCCGTCGCCATTATCTTTCTCCTGTAAGGAGCAGAAGGGTAGCAAGATAAATACAAAAAGGAACTCAGCCACCTCATAAACTTGAACAAACTCTCTGCTCGTAGAACTGCATTCTTGTCGCTTTTAAGTGGTTGCAAGCTCCCTAGCTTATACTGCTTTTCCAGCGACGTACGGACCCGTAAAAAAAATTTCCTGAACAAACTGGTCCATTTCATTTGAAAACCTGTAGAAGATGACCTCATGTTCAAGGGAACAGCCTCCTTCATGAGATAAAGCTCTAAGGGGGATGGAAGGCTAGAAGTCTTGGGGTTTAAGAAGAGTGTCTCTGCAGCATCCACACGAACCGACTCATCAACATGGGCTAAGGCCATTTTTAGCCACTCAATGGGAACTTTTAACTCAATACCCTTAATTTGGACAACTGCAAATGCATCCGTACTTCTTTTTTGTTCAATATCCCCTTCAAGGAATGCAAGTGTACGACAAACTTTCAGCAATGACACTAAAACAACGACTTTCTGTTCAACTGTCAGTTCCATACTCATGTTACTCAACTCAGTATAGTTGAGCTTTGTCTCTTCCTCACTCGGCCCAATAGATATAAACGCAAGCAAAAGAAATATACTGTCTACATCCAGTTCAAGTAAGACTTGAACTGCATAGGTATTTAGATTGGACCTGAGTTTCGACATGCCTGAAGCTAGCCCGTAGAGGAAAGGAGGCAAACAATGTTCTCGATAACGCGCATAACCCTGGTCAACACCTTCGCTCCCCCAGCATTCATCACGCAACATTTCAAGGAAACATTTTATAAATGATGTTACAGCATAGCAGACATCATCATCAATATATGCATTTGCCATCTCGAACAATAGGTTAGGACTCATATCCATCAAAGTCTTCGCACCTAACCGCCTTGTCAAGGATGCTAATGGAACATACCTTCCCTTACAGCGTGATCCTAAACGAAGAAGATAGTTGACAATTTTAAGCAAAGATTCCCTTATTCCCACTTTATCATCTGTCTGGTGGACTGTGGTTTGAATGTCTAGTAAGAGGTCAAACATGAGGTGAGCTTGTTTGACTGTCTGGCTCAAAGGGTCCTCCAAGTTGTTCCATATAATTCTGAGTACTCGAGCGGCCATGCTGTCTGGCATTGGATCATAATCTTCTGATAAATCAGTTAACATAGATGTCTTGATCTGTTGCATGCAAATCTGCATCACAGTTAGTGCGTGAAAATTTAAATGGCTGTCAATGGGGTTCTCGCATAAATCACAAAGTTCGAGCAAAATCCCGTCATACAGAATAGTTTTGTGATCACAATCACTGTTACTCAACCGAGCAAAAGAGGAAACAAGAATACCCCTAGAAACTGTAGTAAGAATGCCTCGGATCAAGCAGAGTCTACTCAAAGATGAAAAACTGCAGATCTCAGAACAAATGTCCCCGGCAAATGGAATTTTGCTAACAATATCAGTCAACCTAACGACACTACTCCAGCAAAATATACCTTGCGCTATAAACAATCCAAGCTCTTCGTCTTTGAGACAGACCTGTAGAGCAGCACAGAAACTGACACCAGCAGCCACATAACAGTCCCTAGAAAAAGCCGGAGACTTCAAAATATTTACTTGTACAGCCAAAACACTCTCCATAAAACTTGCATCCTCCCCAACTAAACCCTTAAACTTCAAAGGAAACCGCTGAAACAAGTAATACGAGCAAGACAAAGCCTCTTGGCATTGCTCCATAACAGTAGGAGGAGGCCTATCACAAGCTTCAGAGTCTAAGATTATACCATTCAACCCTGAAACGATATCATGACCCACCAAAAGCGCGCAATCTTCAATTATATCAACTAAATATCCCAACTTTGGCATACCCATCACTGATAAAGCAACTCTAGACACACAGAATCGATTCCCACCATCTTCCAAACCGCCATATTCATCACAAAGCTCCTTAAAACATGAACTAATCACTGAATGGAACTTACTGGTTTTAGCCAAGGCTGAAACAAGGGTCTTATGTAGAGGCAAAGAATTCTCCATGAACAGAACCTCCAAGTAAAACCTAATAGCTTCCCGTACAAAAACTGCCTCTCTCTCCCCTCCTTCATTTTCATGTGTCTTGGCGAGAACCTCTCCGAACGAAGCAACAACTTTCTTGGCGTGATTAACTTGCGCGTAGATTGAATTCAAAGAAACCAATTCTCCAATGTCGGAGTAAAACTTGGGACAAGACTGAGACAAACTAGATTGGCTCAAAGAAGCAGTGAAGGAGCTGGGGAACAGAACAGCACTGTAAGTGTAACGATGGCGATGCTGCAGAGCTCGCCACTTCGCAGACATGTTTCAGTGAGCTGAGGAAAAACAGAGAAACAATCAAAGTCAGTGTGGCGGATGTAGGTAGGTTAAGAGGTGGTGGGGCACGTGCCCCCCACTGATTTATAATGTTTTGTGTGTATAGAAGTTTAACCAAAATGACACAGCGCTTTTGGTTGTGTATATTGCATATTAGTCGTCATTCCCAGGTTCGAATCATACAATGTTTTACTGTTTTTTTTTTTTTTTTTTATTAGTTTTCCAAATAATATTGTTCTAATTTGTTGTCTAGACTGCTTAGTTGTGACTGAAATTTACACTCAATCAACTGAAATATCGGCTTCAAGAACTCATTATTATTTTTACTTTTTTAAATGTGAGAAACCCTCTAAAGAACCTCCCAATGGAATCTAACGTTTTGAAGATTTTATTGCCAAGAGACCGACCAAATAGATCACTCCCAGGAGCTAGTTCTCAAAAGTCAAATAGGTTTTATATCATATTTGAAACAAAGAACGTGAGAGATGATACAATGATATGTTTGAAGAATCAAATGTTTAATTCAAAGAAAATTCAGATATATTTGAGAAGATTGAGATCTCTGACAGCAGCAGAATGATTATTAAACTTTGATGGCATACTTTCTAATTGGAAAGTACATTTCTTTCTTCTTCTCTCGTTCTGTCTTCAGGGACGCCTATCCAAAGCAGAGAAAGTCATTAAGTAAGGACCAAAACAAAGCATGTCGTTGAATTAGAATAGGCCAATAGGGAAACTCATGGCATCAAAATACCTGGTGCTTAGTGAGTCTCCTTCTGATGGCTCTAGTCTTCTTGGGACGGAGATCGAGTGGCAACAACTTCTTGTTCTTGTATGCTTCTCTAAGAGCAGACTTTTGCTTCTGTGAGATCACAGTCAACACTTGCGCAATCGACTTCCTCACCACTTTGCTGCAACAACACAATAGAAAAAAAGGACCCCATTCAGATCCAAAATAACTTGAGAATTGAGGCCTTCCCAAGATTGCTAAAAGTCCTAAACAAACAAGGTTCTTGCTTGTTCAGAGATTCAAATAGATTATAAATAATTATCAATCTTTTCCCATTTTGTAGACAGACAAGAACTACAGGTTCCAAAAACTAATCTAGGACTCGATTGTTCTAAACACCAAGTTCAGCGTTGCGTATACAATCAACAGAGGAAATTTGCTTAAGATGCTAAGGATTCTAGTTGCACTGAACATAAAATTGATGCTTAGAGACTAAAATATCCACACATCCATAAGTCAGGTACCATGCATACACACTAATAACATGAATGTATCAAATGCCTAATTATGTAAAACATAAACATTTCAATATAAATGCAACTAACAATTATAAAATCCACAATGACTTATCTCACTAGCTATAGATCATACTCAGAAAGAGGCTAGTGATCCCAATATCAAGCAGCTCAAAATGCAACAACAACATTATCAAAGTAAGCTACAAAATCAAGTTTGTTGCTATAAGAGAGAGAGCTGAGAGAAGAGAATAATTACATCTTAGATAGCTTGTTAGGAGCACCACCAGTGACCTTAGCGACACGGAGGAGAGCAAGCTCTGCCTTTAGTTCTTTCAATTGAGTAGAAAGATCCGATTTTGATTTCTCTCTCAACTCATGAACCTTGATTCTCGCTGTTCACGATCAATTTCACAAAAACCCAATAATTAAATTATCTCAGAAAACAAACACAAGAAATGAAACGATAATGGTGAAAATGATTCAAGAATAAGGACTTACCCATGGCGTCTTCAAGCTCTCTCACTCAGTCTCTTTGCACTGCTATGTTAAGAGAGACCAGAAAGTAGAAACCCTAAACTGAAGAAGAGGAGTTCTAAATGGGCCTGAATTATATAAATGGGCCGTAAGTTTAGTACAGAGAGTGAAAATTTATTTATTCTTTTTAGGTTTGGAGCTTAGTCATGGTAATTAATACGTTAATCTGATTCACCATGTGGTGTATTTGCAATTTTTTTTTTTTTTTTTTTTTTTTTTTTTTTTTTTTTTTTTTTTTTTTTTTTATGTACAAAAGTTCATTAATATAAGTCTTATTTAATTCAACATCGACCTTCGTGTCTTGCAATTTTCCATAAATCGAATGGTAATTTCCCCTAAAGTAAAGTTAGTTAATTCACAGGATATATTATTTTAGTCAGCTGGTCCCATAAGTAAACGCATTAAGCGGTTTATCGTTAAAAATCTCAATCTGATTTGACTCTTCTCTCCTCTGACTAATTTTTTTTGGTCAAATATAAATCTCTTATCTCGTCACCCTCGTCTTCTTCTATATATATATTGATACAGATTCCAGTTTTCTTCTTGAAACATATAACGAAAACAGAACATCATGGTTACGTACAAAGAGGTATGTCTTATAATCTTTCTCTCTTTTCAATTATGCGTCAGCTCTTTTGTCATGAAAGTTCTTGCACTTCTTGTATGTAAACAAAAAAAAAAAAAAAACCAAGATTCAATAATTGTTTTAAACTGATATTAAAATTTGGTTTTTCGTTTGTTGTTTAGGATTATGTTTCAAACTCACGAGGGATTCAACTTTTCACGTGTTCATGGAAACCAGAGGAGCAGCAAGAACCAAAGGCTTTAATCTTTCTCTGTCATGGCTACGCCATGGAATCAAGCATCACCATGAGCAGTTCCGTCTTTTAAAATTATGATGAATAATTAATCGTCATTACATTCATAGCAAAATGATGAATACATTCTAATCAATTTTAAAACATATTCATCAGGCACTGCAATGAGGTTGGCCAATGCGGGTTTCGCTGTCTATGGAATGGACTATGAAGGCCATGGTAAATCCGGAGGATTAAATGGTTACGTCAAAAAATTTGATGATCTTGTTCATGACGTCTATTCTCATTACTCCTCAATTTGTGGTAAGAATTCTTTAAAGTACCAACAAATAAGTTTAACCTCCATTTTGTACGTGGTTTTTAATAATTTTCACTTCTTCTTCTTCTTTTGTTTTCCCTCCGTTTGAAAATGTTATTATTAATATATTTTGAAAATGATGAATGTGAAGAGAGGGAAGAGAATAAGGGGAAGATGAGGTTTCTAATGGGAGAATCCATGGGAGGAGCAGTTGTGTTACTCTTAGAGAGAAAGAAGCCTGATTTTTGGAACGGTGCCGTTTTAGTCGCCCCCATGTGTAAGGTATGTATGATCGATTGATCACGTGTTCTTCAAGTTTTAAATTAGCCCTTAGTTTAGTATATCCTTACTATAAAAGTGTTGACTTCTAAAATTTAAGATCAAGTTTTTTTTTTTCATATAATATGATGTCTATTTCACTATTTTTAGTTAGATGAATCTCTTGATTTATTTTTTTTTTGAGTAAAGTTAGCAGAAGACATAAAGCCACATCCAATGGTGATCTCATTTCTCACAAAGCTAACTCGGTTTATTCCAACTTGGAAGATAGTTCCTAGCAACGATATCATTGACGTAGCATTTAAAGAATCCCACATAAGAAAACAGGTAACATATTTGATTATCATCATTTTAATATAATTTTAGACGTTTTCTTTATTTAACAAGAAATGATTTTAAAGGTAAGGGACAATGAGTATTGCTACAAGGGCCGGCCTCGCTTGAAAACCGCTCATCAACTCTTATTGGTTAGCTTGGATCTTGAGAAGAATCTTGATCAGGTTTCTCATATTTTTTTATCGATCTCCTTTGATATATCCAAGATTTGATTTTATTTAATTAACAAAATTTGTGAATAAACATTAAAAAATTTGATTTAAAAAACAGGTATCAATGCCATTTATTGTCCTTCACGGTGAAGATGATAAAGTTACAGACAAAAACGTAAGCAAACTACTATACGAGGTGGCTTCAAGTTCGGACAAGACTTTCAAGTTATACCCGAACATGTGGCATGGACTTTTGTACGGAGAATCTCCTGAGAATTTGGAGATTGTGTTTAGTGATATCATAAGTTGGTTAAACGATAGAGCTTCTGTCACAAACCAAAGGTTGGAGACTGAGTTAAAGCAAATGGATGATGGAATTCCTATGCAAAAATAAGTGTTCGTGAACTAAAACGATGAGTTTTATGTATTACTAGAAGAATGTTGTAACTTACGATATTAAAGAGGCTCATTAATCTTTTTCTAAGAATGTTGTAACTTACGATATTAAAGAGGCTCATTAATCTTTTTCTGTTATCATTTCAATAAAAATAAGAGTCTGTTTGATTAATTTGAAATCCATTGAGAACCTGAAAAACCACATTCTTGAATAGTAAATTCATTTGAATTCCAAATTCTTACTACCTATGATTCAAAGCCTCCAATTTTAAATAAGCTAAATGCTAAACCCAAAATCTTTTGCTCATTTGGCGTAATTTTGAAGCACCATTTTTTTTTCTTTTTAAAGTAATCATACCCAAGATGATCCCCCCCAATCTACTCTGCGTGATCCAATACAAACTCGAATTTAAGAACAATATCCCGTCATCGTTTGGGTTTGACTTGGATGGAAAACATGAAAACCATTACTAAAATGATGAGATTTAAAACATTGCCTTAACTTTTGCTTGCAAATAAAAAAAAAAAAAAAACATTTGCGAAATTTTACTTAATATATGACCATAAAGCACATATGAAGGATATATAGCTACTAGACTACAGAATTTGATGTTGTAAGGTTTTATCAGATCCTACAGTCTACAGATGTACTATGGTTTGAATTGCACTTAGAAATTTCATCTTGTTCAAATTTTAGATCCCAAAATACTGTGGATAGTTAGAGTTCATAAAGAATTACTAAATCAGTTATGACCTAAAGTTTGTGGCATTTTTGATTTCTTAAAAAAATTGTGATATTTTTGGAAACAAAACCTGAAATGTGATATTTATTTTATTTGAGTCACCATTCATTGTGTTGCGTTTCGTGTTTTTACCTGCGTTTAATTACTAGCTGCAAATTGCATCAGATTTCAAAACATTGTAACAATCGACGATAATTTGCATCTGATAAGTCTGATAACCATGAAATGGAAATGTCAGAAAACAGGTTATGACTTCATAGAACACACGCATCATATCAATGATAAAGTCTAAGTGAGAAACTGAAATTTAAGAAGGAAAAGTACTTTTAGTATAGACTTAATTAGGCATCATTATTATAAAGTTACAACTTCACTAAATGACGTTTAAGAAAGAAAAAAAGAAAAACTCATCCCGTCATTAGTGCTTTACATTTGGTGTTATGAAATTGCTAAATTTAGGTCACCTCTAAAAAATTAGTAATAGCTCTTGCGAGCGAAGAAAAAGGACATTACTATTGTCTAATTCAACCCTTTTCAAACATTTCTTCTCCCACAAGAAACAACAACCTAAGCCATATATTCTTTTATGTTTTAGTTGCTACTCTCACATTACATTATCTGGGATCAAATATGGTTAGTTTCGTTTCTTCTTCCTGTAACTTACAAAAATCTTTACATGTGATTTGACTTTTGTCATTTACAGGCTCATGTGGATGGGCAAGTTGGATATAGCGAGGTAAATTTCATTACTCTGATTTTTAAGATTCATTGTTTTTGTAATCTCTCATATGAATAAGTCGATGATTTAGGAATTCATCGAGAATTCGCGGGGAATGCAACTCTTAACATGCAAATGGTTTCCAGTCAATCAAGAACCAAGAGCTCTCATCTTCTTTTGCCATGGCTATGCAATTGATTGCAGCACCACCTTTAAAGGTATCTATTTACATATACCTATATATGCATTCATTGAAGAAGAAAGAGGTGAATATTAATGTGAATTATTCTTACCTACAGATATAGCACCTAAGTTTGCAAAAGAAGGTTTTGCTGTGTATGGAATTGAATATGAAGGACATGGGAGATCAGGCGGTCTCTCTGTCTACATTGATAACTTCGATCTTCTCATCGATGATGTCTCTTCACACTTCACCAAAATATCTGGTCCATCTCTTCTTTGACCTCATTACACATTGACATTGCTGACTTGTCATAACGTTAGATATAAGCCTAGACTGTTTCAAAACCAATTTTCTGCGTTTAGAAAAAAAATATAAAAAAATTATCAGTTCTTTTTTTGCAAACAAAAGGCCTTCTTAGAAAAGTTAAAATCTTTTTATTTTTATAATATCCACTAGAAGTAAATATAAACTCAAATTTTATGGAGTTTCATTGCAAATCTATAGTAAATATATTTACATGGTAAATAAATCTTAAGTAAAACTAGAGATCCTGATTTATATGTACATATTCAAAAACAATTTGTTCTAAACCATTGTCCATTGTCTGGTGCAAATGCACTAGTTATCCGCGATACTAAACCGTGTGACTTGGATTTTGTTTGTTGTGCGAGGCAGAGATGGGAGATAACACAAAGAAGAAGAGGTTTTTGATGGGAGAGTCGATGGGAGGAGCCGTAGTTCTTCTCTTGCACCGCAAGAAACCCGACTTTTGGGATGGAGGAATCCTTATTGCTCCCATGTGTAAGGTGAACATATTCACATATATCATTTCATATAAGATTTATATATAATTACTAATTTGATGAAAGTCAGATTGCTGAGGAGATGAAACCATCACGAATGGTTATATCTATGATAAATATGGTTACAAATTTGATTCCATCATGGAAATCGATAATTCATGGACCTGATATCCTTAATAGCGCGATCAAACTGCCTGAAAAGAGACAAGAGGTACTCTTACTCTCTTTTTCTCGATACATCGGCTATAAGATAAGATTTTGTTCTTGGTAACCAATAAATTCTGGACCTTCTCGGACCAGAGTCGATATCCACTGACCGTTTAAAACACAGATAAGAACGAATCCAAATTGCTACAATGGGAGGCCTCGTATGAAGACAATGAGCGAGCTTTACAGAATCAGCCTCGATCTAGAGAACCGGTTGAACGAGGTAATATATATACACATTGAGGCAAAGTTCCATTGGCTTGTTCCAGTCACTAATATAAGTGAAATAATTACACAAACACACATACAATCTACATCTCAATGTAAAATTAATGTTAATGTGGGGATATGTTCATGTGAGATATAGGTGACAATGCCATTCATAGTCTTGCATGGAGAAGATGATAAAGTGACTGATAAAGGAGGGAGCAAACTGCTTTATGAGGTGGCTTTGTCTAATGACAAGACTTTGAAGTTGTATCCAGAAATGTGGCATAGCCTTCTTTTTGGAGAGCCTCCGGAGAATTCAGAGATTGTGTTCAATGACATTGTCCAATGGATGCAGACAAGAATCACTACTCTTCAAGTGAAGGCTAATAATCATGAAGCAAAACCTCAAATCTGATTTGCTCAGTTTCGGTTTAGACTATAACTACGTCTTGTTCTTTGCTCCAAGTGAGACTATATTTTTTTCTTTCCAAGGTCTGAATAAAAAAAAAAACTGGATGATAGCTTAAGAGACTATAGATGGTTTTCGAAAACCATTTTTTTTTTTTTTTCTGTAAACAACATTTGTATTTCTAATCTTTTGGGTTGTTCTTGTGATTATACTACCGATTTAACCAAACACAAGAATCCAAAGTGGAAGCTGTTTTTTAACAACTTGATCTGATTAAAGTTTCTCACTGTTTCTCTATATGGGCTTAGAGTAAAACATTATGGACCGGTTTTGTTCCAGAAAATAGGCCCATGATTGAATCTCCGCCGTTAGGGAACACCACTCTCTCATTAGTCGAGCTTCGAGCTATGGCGGTAATACTTAGGGTTTATTCATCTCCTTCTTCACATCCACCATAATCTACCAAATCCAAAGTTGAAAATGCTCTAGGAGTTCACCTAAACTCGGAAGCCCTGCGAAAAAAACCTAAATTGAAGACGAACCCTACCCGTTCCTGGTGGTTATAGCTTGCTAGTGTTGAGAGATGTATTTGTACAGTCTTACTCTGCAGCAGGCGACGGGAATCATCTGCGCCATCAATGGGAACTTCTCCGGCGGGAAGACACAGGAGATTGCGGTAGCTCGTGGGAAGATTCTGGATCTTCTCCGTCCGGACGAGAACGGTAAGATCCAGACGATACACTCTGTGGAAGTATTTGGTGCCATTAGATCTTTAGCTCAGTTTAGGTTGACTGGTGCGCAAAAGGATTATATAGTGGTTGGCTCAGATTCGGGTAGGATTGTTATACTTGAGTACAACAAGGAGAAGAATGTGTTCGATAAAGTTCACCAGGAGACTTTTGGCAAGTCCGGTTGCAGAAGAATTGTGCCAGGCCAGTACTTAGCTGTTGATCCCAAAGGACGAGCTGTTATGATTGGAGCTTGTGAGAAGCAGAAATTGGTTTATGTTTTGAACAGAGATACTACTGCTAGGCTAACCATTTCTTCTCCCTTGGAAGCTCACAAGTCTCATACCATTTGCTATTCTCTCTGCGGTGTCGACTGCGGTTTCGATAACCCTATTTTTGCTGCCATTGAGCTTGATTACTCCGAGGCTGATCAGGATCCTACTGGCCAAGCCGCTAGTGAGGCTCAGAAGCATCTGACTTTCTATGAGCTCGATTTGGGCCTCAACCATGTCTCTAGAAAGTGGTCTGAACCTGTTGACAATGGTGCCAATATGCTTGTTACTGTTCCTGGAGGAGCTGATGGCCCCAGTGGAGTTTTGGTTTGCGCCGAGAATTTTGTTATTTACAAGAATCAGGGTCATCCTGACGTGAGGGCCGTGATTCCTAGACGAACTGATTTGCCTGCTGAACGAGGAGTTTTGGTAGTTTCTGCCGCCGTGCACAAGCAGAAGGCAATGTTCTTCTTTTTAATTCAGACTGAGTATGGCGACGTTTTTAAGGTCACCTTGGATCACGATGGCGATCATGTGTCCGAGTTGAAGATCAAATACTTTGACACCATTCCTGTCGCATCGTCTATATGTGTGTTGAAACTGGGATTTCTCTTCTCTGCTTCGGAATTTGGAAACCATGGATTGTATCAGTTTCAAGCCATAGGAGAGGAACCTGATGTAGAGTCTTCCTCCTCTAATCTGATGGAGACTGAAGAAGGTTTTCAGCCCGTCTTTTTTCAACCTAGACGACTTAAGAATCTTGTTAGGATTGACCAAGTCGAGAGTCTGATGCCGCTCATGGACATGAAAGTCCTAAACCTTTTTGAGGAAGAAACCCCTCAGATCTTTTCACTTTGTGGTCGGGGTCCACGCTCCTCTCTAAGGATACTGAGACCTGGTTTGGCCATCACTGAGATGGCTGTCTCTCAGCTTCCAGGTCAGCCAAGTGCTGTGTGGACGGTGAAAAAGAATGTGAGCGATGAGTTTGATGCATATATCGTTGTCTCTTTTACCAATGCTACTCTTGTTCTTTCGATTGGTGAAACAGTTGAAGAAGTTAACGACAGTGGGTTTCTTGACACTACCCCGTCCCTGGCTGTCTCTCTGATCGGCGATGATTCTCTCATGCAAGTCCATCCCAATGGTATCCGCCACATAAGGGAAGATGGACGCATTAACGAATGGAGAACTCCTGGCAAGAGGTCAATTGTTAAAGTTGGGTATAATCGGCTTCAAGTGGTCATTGCATTGAGTGGGGGAGAGCTTATATACTTTGAGGCAGATATGACTGGCCAGCTGATGGAGGTGGAGAAACATGAAATGTCTGGTGATGTGGCTTGCCTGGACATTGCGCCTGTTCCTGAAGGAAGACAAAGGTCTCGCTTTCTTGCCGTGGGATCTTACGATAATACCGTGCGCATTCTATCTTTGGATCCTGATGACTGTCTGCAGATTCTCAGCGTGCAAAGTGTCTCTTCAGCTCCGGAGTCTCTGCTATTCCTCGAAGTTCAGGCATCGATTGGTGGAGAGGATGGTGCTGATCACCCGGCAAATCTCTTCCTCAATTCTGGTCTGCAGAATGGTGTTCTTTTCAGAACGGTGGTGGACATGGTGACTGGTCAGCTTTCGGATTCTCGCTCCCGGTTCTTGGGGCTGAAGCCTCCCAAGCTATTCTCCATTTCTGTGAGAGGCCGGTCTGCAATGCTGTGTTTGTCTAGCCGACCTTGGCTTGGTTATATTCACCGGGGACACTTCCACTTGACGCCTCTGTCATACGAGACTTTGGAATTTGCTGCCCCCTTTTCATCTGATCAGTGCGCTGAAGGTGTTGTCTCTGTCGCTGGGGATGCTCTGAGAATTTTCATGATTGATCGTCTTGGTGAAACGTTCAACGAAACAGTGGTCCCTCTGAGGTACACGCCTAGAAAGTTTGTTCTCCATCCCAAGCGGAAGTTGTTGGTTATTATCGAGAGTGACCAGGGAGCATTCACCGCAGAAGAGCGTGAAGCTGCAAGAAAGGAGTGCTTCGAGGCTGGTGGAGTGGGAGAAAATGGCAATGGCAATGCAGATCAGATGGAGAATGGTGCAGATGATGAAGATAAGGAAGACCCGCTTTCTGATGAGCAGTACGGTTATCCAAAAGCAGTGTCTGAAAAGTGGGTTTCTTGCATCAGAGTTCTTGATCCCAAGACAGCTACGACAACTTGTCTCCTGGAACTTCAGGACAACGAAGCTGCATACAGTGTCTGTACGGTGAATTTTCATGATAAAGAGTATGGTACACTGTTGGCTGTTGGTACGGTCAAAGGGATGCAGTTCTGGCCGAAAAAGAATCTAGTTGCTGGGTTCATACATATTTATAGGTTTGTGGAGGATGGGAAATCTCTTGAGCTTCTTCATAAGACGCAAGTAGAAGGTGTTCCTCTTGCTCTGTGCCAGTTCCAAGGAAGACTGCTGGCAGGGATCGGACCTGTCCTCAGATTGTATGATTTGGGGAAAAAGAGACTACTTAGGAAATGTGAAAACAAGCTCTTTCCAAACACCATTATCTCTATCCAAACTTACCGTGACCGTATATACGTTGGTGACATTCAGGAGGTGAGTGCTAGATCCTTTTATTTTATTTTATGTTACTTATTATTTTTATAGTAAATATCTCATGTAGCCTTTTCATTATCATTTTGCAGTCTTTCCATTACTGCAAGTACAGGCGCGACGAGAATCAGCTATACATATTTGCGGATGACTGCGTTCCGAGGTGGCTGACAGCATCGCACCATGTGGATTTCGATACCATGGCAGGTGCAGATAAGTTTGGGAATGTGTATTTTGTGCGGTTGCCTCAGGATCTGTCTGAGGAGATAGAAGAAGACCCGACAGGCGGAAAGATCAAGTGGGAGCAAGGAAAGCTGAATGGAGCACCGAACAAAGTGGATGAGATAGTACAGTTCCATGTTGGGGACGTTGTGACGTGCTTGCAGAAAGCTTCGATGATCCCAGGTGGATCGGAATCCATAATGTATGGAACAGTGATGGGTAGCATAGGGGCATTACATGCTTTCACATCGCGTGATGATGTGGATTTCTTCTCGCATCTGGAGATGCACATGAGGCAGGAGTATCCACCTCTCTGCGGGAGAGACCACATGGCTTACAGATCTGCATATTTTCCGGTCAAGGTATCAAAGAAAATCAATTGCTTTTTCTCACAAATCAAAAGAAGTCTTGATTTTTAATTGACACTTTTGCATGTTGTATATTTAAACAGGACGTGATAGATGGAGATCTGTGTGAGCAGTTCCCGACACTCCCAATGGACTTGCAGCGGAAAATAGCAGATGAGTTGGATAGAACACCTGCGGAGATTCTGAAGAAGCTCGAAGACGCAAGGAATAAGATCATTTAATAAACACAAAAGAAAAGAGAGTCATTGTTTTGTTGAAGGACAAAGTAGAGTAGAGAAGAAAGAGGTTATAATAGTTTTTGTAAAGCTCTGTCTTCAATGGTTTGTAAAACAAAAAATCTCGTGAGAACTGATGAATCAAGTCCAAATTTACTTTTGAATCTACAACTTTGATAGAATATGTTTAATTACGCTGTGAAGAAATTATTTTGTTAAAGAGAAATTGAACAACTTCTCATCTATTCGTACAGAACCAAACCAACAAACAACTGGTCGATAACAAAAATCCATAACAAGATAGACGAGAATGAGAAGAGTTTTAAAGTCTCGTCAGACATTTCTCTCTAAGTTGGTCTTGGAGTGGCCCATTCAACCCTGAGGATGAGGTTATCATAACCATAACCATTCAATTTGTTGATTGCTCGTTGAGCGTCTTCTCTGCTCACGAAATTGACGAAACCAAATCCTCTGCTCACTCCAGTTTTCTGATCAATGGCCACATAGACACGTGTGACAGCTCCAAACGGATGGAACAGCTCCATCAAGTCCGGTTCACGGGTATCTTCAGACAAGTTGGTTACACGCACAGAGTTCTCATCGTTCCTCCTCCTCATGTCTGAACCAACAGCGCTTCTGTCTGCACCTGCTCTCATGCTAGGCGGGACATATGCGGCCTTGCCAGTTCCAGGTGCAGCGGACATGGTCGATGTTTCCCCTGTGGCTGGCTTGTCGATGAAGGCATCGGTTGGTGCAGCTAGATCCTTGTAAGGACATTTTGATGTCCAGTGATCTCCTTTCTTGTGGCATATCCTGCACACCATGAGAACTGCACCACCTTTACCCAGCTGAGACAAGCCGTCTCCTGTTGCCTTTGATTCATCTGCTTTGGTACCTGAATTATCACACACAGGTTAGATCCGGGAATACCTAACAACCAGTGAATTTTGTACTAAATAGCCACAGAAATACACAACAAAAGGAAGGTATTTGTGACCAAACGGCTAACTCATTGTCAACTTTGAAATGATACTCAGTAATACATAGCCACATAATCAAACATAGCAACCTAAATCTGCATAAGAAGATACTAATTAACACCATCTTTGATGAGGTATACGTGCAATTAGTCAATAAAGCTCTGTACTAACATCAACAAGGAGCTTAAAATTGTGCCTGTTTACAAATATCAACCCATATTGCACTTTTCGCTGAAACACAAGGATCATGGTGACTACTCCATCAAGCTAAGAACATAAAAGGAGACATATCACAGGACAAAAGCTTGAAGAGTTTAACAATCTAAACTAAAGCTTCCTATCATCTTCAAATAGGAGAACAATGAAAAGTGAGAGCACAATTCAGCTCGTACTCATAATCAAAGGTGAGTAATTTATCCGAGCACACTGATTCTAAATCCAAAATCAAAAGGAAGCAGCAATAAAACACACGAATCGATTTTACCAGGAGGTCTGGGTCGTTCGAGAAGAATCTCTTCGGTGGAAACCATAGTGAGATGTCTAGTTTCACAGACTTGCAAGCTCAACACTTAATAAGAATACCTCTCTTATTAATAAGGAAAATATGCTCAAAACCTTAAGCTCACAAATCTCATAAGTTGTGCTACAACTCAACACATACTTATATATGAAAACACACCTCAAGAAAACAAGAAACTTAACTTTAGACATCTCCTAAAGAAAAGGAAAACTCACATAATAGATATGTATATTTAGATATCTCCTAAATATACTTAGCTTGAACACCAAGCTATTTCAAGCTTACAACAACATTCTCCCCCTTAAGCTTGAACATATCTTCTCTCACATCTTGAACTCCAATAAAACTTCTCATTTCCTTGAACTTGGTTCTTCCAAGTGCCTTTGTCAATATATCAGCCTTCTGCTCATCTCCCGGAACATGCTCAACTTCCACTTGATCATTCCCGACGCATTCTCTTATAAAGTGATATCTTTTGTGGATATGCTTGCTTCGACCATGGAACACCGGGTTTTTAGTTAGCGCAATGGCTGACTTATTATCGATTCGAATAGTAACCTTCTCACATTCATTCCCGGTTATCTCCGCAAAGAGTTCTTGAAGCCATATTGCTTGCTTGGCCGCTTCTGTGGCTGCCATGAATTCGGCCTCGCAAGATGACATAGCCACAGTCTCTTGTTTTTGTGTACACCAAGTGATTGGACAATTCCCGAAGTAAAACATATGCCCCGTCGTGCTTTTTCCATCATCCTCATCAACATTGTGTGAACTATCACTATAACCCATGAATCTTACACAATCCGATCGTGAAAATACAAGGCCAAAAGTTGATGTTCCCTTCAAGTACCTCAACACTTGTTTTAGAGCTGCTCCATGAGATTCTTTTGGTTCTTGCATATATCTACTCAAAACACCAACACTATAAGATAAATCGGGACGTGTATGAAGTAGATATCTCAAGCATCCAATGCTCCTTCTATACTCCCTCTCATCAATGCTTTTCTCCTTTTTAGACTTTGACAATTTCAGATTTTGATCCATCGGTACATGACATGAGTTGCAACTTTCCATTCTAGTTTCTCTTAGTATCTTCTGCGCATACCTTTCTTGATTTAAAATGATTCCTCCTTCAAATTGATGCACTTCAATTCCAAGATATAACGTTAATTTCCCAAGATCACTCATCTCAAACTTGGTTGCCATCTCTTCTTTAAACTCAAGAACTAGTTTCAAAGATGATCCAGTAACAAGTAGATCGTCGACATACACAACCACGATAAGGAGATGCTCTTTCTCTTTTCTTTGATATAACGATGGCTCCTTTAGACATTTATGAAACTTCAACTCTTTAAGAATTTTGTTTAGCTTCTCATTCCAAGCTCTAGGAGCTTGTTTCAAACCATAAAGTGCCTTTTTCAGTTTATAGACCTTGTCTTCACTTCCCAAGTTTGCAAATCCTTCCGGTTGAGTGACATAAACTTCTTCTTTCAATTCACCGTGGAGAAACGCAGTTTTTACATCAAGATGATGTATTTCCCAAGCTCTTGAGGCTGCTAACGCAATGATGAAACGAATTGTCTCGATACGTGCCACCGGAGCAAATACTTCATCATAATCAATGCCATGTTTTTGAACATATCCTTTCGCCACCAAACGGGCTTTGTATTTGATGATGCTTTCATCGGAGCTACGTTTGATCTTGAATATCCATTTTAATCCAATCGGCTTGACACCCGCAGGGAGATCTACTAAATCCCAAGTCTTATTTCTTTCGATTGAAGAGAGTTCATCCTTACATGCTTCCATCCATACCTTTAACTCTTTTGCTTCACTAAAGTTCCATGACTCATCATTTAACGTCAACAGAAGACGTTCACATTCATACTCTGCGATAAGAACATAATCATTCAAGTATGCTGGCTTATTTCGTGGTCTCATCGATCTTCTTAAGAGTGGTGCAGAGACAGACCCATCGTTGCTATCATCCTCACTTTCATCATCTCCATCGTTTTCTACTTCTTCATTCAACACTTCCTCACTTTGTTCTTGAGTATCATGTATACTCTCCTCTGTTTCTTCACGATCTTCGACTCCGTTATTACCAAACTCACCTAATTCAATAACAAATGTTCCCGAGTCATTTTCTTTCATTCTTTCAACATTATTCCAGCTCCAGTTCTTTCTTTCATCGAAGATCACATCTCGGCTGACAACTATCTTCTTTGTTGTAGGATCAAACAAGCGATAAGCCTTCGAACCGGGTTCTGTTCCAAGATGTACCAACATTCTGGACCTGTCATCTAGTTTTCTTCTTCCGGCAGCCTCTGTTCTCGTATATCCGACGCAACCAAACACTCTAACATGGTCAAGACTAGGTTTCTTCCCTTTAAGCATCTCATATGGTGTTGATTTGGTCAGTGATCTTGTTGAAAGTCTGTTAATCAAGTAGGTAGCGTGTCTCACGGCCTCTCCCCATAGATAATTCGGTACACTCATATGCTTCAAGATACTCCTAGTCATCTCCAAGAGGGTTCTATTTCGTCTTTCGACGACACCATTTTGTTGAGGAGAATATGGTGCTGTCAAGTGTCTCTTGATTCCATATTTATCACAATAACCTTGAAACTCATGAGATACGAACTCTCCTCCTCTATCCGTTCGGAAAGTTTTAATCACAGCCTTTGTTTCTTGTTCAACAAGTATCTTGAAAGTTTTGAATTTCTCAAATGCTTCACTCTTATCTTTCAACAAGATAGTCCACATATACCGTGAGTAGTCATCAATAATCACAAAGACATACCTCTTATGAGCTGCAGTGGAAGGTGAGATTGGTCCACAAAGGTCGCCATGAATAAGTTCAAGAGGTTGAGAAGCTCGGTATGTGGTTGCTTGAGGAAAAGACTTCCTTGTTTGTTTCCCAAAGAGGCATGAAGCACAAATCTCCTTTTCTACCGTAATTCTTGGTATACCACTCACTAGCTCTTCATTAATCATCATCTTCATCGTCTCCAAGTTAACATGACCCAAACGAGCATGCCACTTTGAAGATTCAGTCCATGTTGACGTTACTTGTAAGCACTTGAACTCCTCCACATCCAAGATAACTTTGTACAACCGATTTCTAGACCTTGTTGTGCTTACCAACAACTGTCCTACACGATCATATAGTATCAGCTGGTCTTCTTTCATTCGAACCTCACATCCTGCTTCCGTAGCTTGCCCGAGACTTATTATGTTGCTCTTTAAATCCGGTATGTAATACACATTGTGCAAAAATTTCTTCACACCATTCTTGAATACAAAACGAATAGAACCTTTACCCTTTATGTCAACACGGGAATCATCTCCAAATCTAACCAATCCAGTCACACTTTCATCAAGATTCAAGAAGAACATTCGTTTTCCAGTCATATGATTGCTTGCACCGTTGTCAAGATACCACACGTTTTCAGTATCTAGACTTGTTTCAAAAACGTTTGGTTTCACCTTTTGTTCATTTAGATATACCACCTCATGCATCATCAATTCATCGGCTTCTTTAGTGTCATCATCCTTCTTTTCAACGGCTTCTTGAAGCTTAAGTAACCTATCGGGACAGTGAGATGCATAATGACCTTGTTTGTCGCATCGAAAACACGTTATCATTGCCTCTCTTTCTTTGTCTCGTCCTTGTCCTTGTCTATATGATCCGTTTTGGTAATAACCAAAACGTCCACGGCCTCTTCCTCTCCAAGATCGTCCTCCTTGTCCCCTACCTCTGTTATACCCATAGCTTTCTTGTCTTGAATCTGTGTTAGCGTACATAAGCTTACCATGATCATCTTGCTCTTCTTCTTCTTCTTCACAAATTCTTTCCTCATACACTTTCAATCTTCCCACAATATCTTCAAACGTAGTTGTGTTGAGGTCGAGAACTTGTTCAAGAGATGCCACGATGTGTATATATCTCTTTCGTGGTAGTGATTTCAGAAATTTCTTCACAAGCTTAACTTCTTCAATAGTTTCTCCAAGAGCTGCCGAGTTTGATGAGATTTCAGCAAGTTTTCCAGCAAAAACATCCACTGTATCTCCATCCTTCATCTTGATTTTATCAAACTCAGTCATTAGGGTTTGCAATCTAGCTTCTCTGACTCTCTCGGCACCAACATGTCTCGACTTTATTGCATCCCAAACTCCTTTTGACGTATCATGCTCTCCAACTTGTAGAATTAAAGCTTCTGGGATGGATTGAAATAACAGAGCAGTCGCCATATTATTCTTGTCATCGTCTTTGTTCCCAGGTTCTATGGTGTCCCATACTTTGTTTACTTTGAGAGCAATCTTCATTCGCATAGCCCAAACTGTGTAATTCGCAGAATTCAACATCGGACACTTAACAGAGGAAGGTACAATCTCCTTGGTCTTGATCGACACATCTTTCTCATCCACATCACCCATATCTCGCTTGATGATCTTAATCCTTAAAGACTAACGAATCTCAAAACCGCTCTGATACCAATTCTAGTTTCACAGACTTGCAAGCTCAACACTTAATAAGAATACCTCTCTTATTAATAAGGAAAATATGCTCAAAACCTTAAGCTCACAAATCTCATAAGTTGTGCTACAACTCAACACATACTTATATATGAAAACACACCTCAAGAAAACAAGAAACTTAACTTTAGACATCTCCTAAAGAAAAGGAAAACTCACATAATAGATATGTATATTTAGATATCTCCTAAATATACTTAGCTTGAACACCAAGCTATTTCAAGCTTACAACAACATTCTCCCCCTTAAGCTTGAACATATCTTCTCTCACATCTTGAACTCCAATAAAACTTCTCATTTCCTTGAACTTGGTTCTTCCAAGTGCCTTTGTCAATATATCAGCCTTCTGCTCATCTCCCGGAACATGCTCAACTTCCACTTGATCATTCCCGACGCATTCTCTTATAAAGTGATATCTTTTGTGGATATGCTTGCTTCGACCATGGAACACCGGGTTTTTAGTTAGCGCAATGGCTGACTTATTATCGATTCGAATAGTAACCTTCTCACATTCATTCCCGGTTATCTCCGCAAAGAGTTCTTGAAGCCATATTGCTTGCTTGGCCGCTTCTGTGGCTGCCATGAATTCGGCCTCGCAAGATGACATAGCCACAGTCTCTTGTTTTTGTGTACACCAAGTGATTGGACAATTCCCGAAGTAAAACATATGCCCCGTCGTGCTTTTTCCATCATCCTCATCAACATTGTGTGAACTATCACTATAACCCATGAATCTTACACAATCCGATCGTGAAAATACAAGGCCAAAAGTTGATGTTCCCTTCAAGTACCTCAACACTTGTTTTAGAGCTGCTCCATGAGATTCTTTTGGTTCTTGCATATATCTACTCAAAACACCAACACTATAAGATAAATCGGGACGTGTATGAAGTAGATATCTCAAGCATCCAATGCTCCTTCTATACTCCCTCTCATCAATGCTTTTCTCCTTTTTAGACTTTGACAATTTCAGATTTTGATCCATCGGTACATGACATGAGTTGCAACTTTCCATTCTAGTTTCTCTTAGTATCTTCTGCGCATACCTTTCTTGATTTAAAATGATTCCTCCTTCAAATTGATGCACTTCAATTCCAAGATATAACGTTAATTTCCCAAGATCACTCATCTCAAACTTGGTTGCCATCTCTTCTTTAAACTCAAGAACTAGTTTCAAAGATGATCCAGTAACAAGTAGATCGTCGACATACACAACCACGATAAGGAGATGCTCTTTCTCTTTTCTTTGATATAACGATGGCTCCTTTAGACATTTATGAAACTTCAACTCTTTAAGAATTTTGTTTAGCTTCTCATTCCAAGCTCTAGGAGCTTGTTTCAAACCATAAAGTGCCTTTTTCAGTTTATAGACCTTGTCTTCACTTCCCAAGTTTGCAAATCCTTCCGGTTGAGTGACATAAACTTCTTCTTTCAATTCACCGTGGAGAAACGCAGTTTTTACATCAAGATGATGTATTTCCCAAGCTCTTGAGGCTGCTAACGCAATGATGAAACGAATTGTCTCGATACGTGCCACCGGAGCAAATACTTCATCATAATCAATGCCATGTTTTTGAACATATCCTTTCGCCACCAAACGGGCTTTGTATTTGATGATGCTTTCATCGGAGCTACGTTTGATCTTGAATATCCATTTTAATCCAATCGGCTTGACACCCGCAGGGAGATCTACTAAATCCCAAGTCTTATTTCTTTCGATTGAAGAGAGTTCATCCTTACATGCTTCCATCCATACCTTTAACTCTTTTGCTTCACTAAAGTTCCATGGCTCATCATTTAACGTCAACAGAAGACGTTCACATTCATACTCTGCGATAAGAACATAATCATTCAAGTATGCTGGCTTATTTCGTGGTCTCATCGATCTTCTTAAGAGTGGTGCAGAGACAGACCCATCGTTGCTATCATCCTCACTTTCATCATCTCCATCGTTTTCTACTTCTTCATTCAACACTTCCTCACTTTGTTCTTGAGTATCATGTATACTCTCCTCTGTTTCTTCACGATCTTCGACTCCGTTATTACCAAACTCACCTAATTCAATAACAAATGTTCCCGAGTCATTTTCTTTCATTCTTTCAACATTATTCCAGCTCCAGTTCTTTCTTTCATCGAAGATCACATCTCGGCTGACAACTATCTTCTTTGTTGTAGGATCAAACAAGCGATAAGCCTTCGAACCGGGTTCTGTTCCAAGATGTACCAACATTCTGGACCTGTCATCTAGTTTTCTTCTTCCGGCAGCCTCTGTTCTCGTATATCCGACGCAACCAAACACTCTAACATGGTCAAGACTAGGTTTCTTCCCTTTAAGCATCTCATATGGTGTTGATTTGGTCAGTGATCTTGTTGAAAGTCTGTTAATCAAGTAGGTAGCGTGTCTCACGGCCTCTCCCCATAGATAATTCGGTACACTCATATGCTTCAAGATACTCCTAGTCATCTCCAAGAGGGTTCTATTTCGTCTTTCGACGACACCATTTTGTTGAGGAGAATATGGTGCTGTCAAGTGTCTCTTGATTCCATATTTATCACAATAACCTTGAAACTCATGAGATACGAACTCTCCTCCTCTATCCGTTCGGAAAGTTTTAATCACAGCCTTTGTTTCTTGTTCAACAAGTATCTTGAAAGTTTTGAATTTCTCAAATGCTTCACTCTTATCTTTCAACAAGATAGTCCACATATACCGTGAGTAGTCATCAATAATCACAAAGACATACCTCTTATGAGCTGCAGTGGAAGGTGAGATTGGTCCACAAAGGTCGCCATGAATAAGTTCAAGAGGTTGAGAAGCTCGGTATGTGGTTGCTTGAGGAAAAGACTTCCTTGTTTGTTTCCCAAAGAGGCATGAAGCACAAATCTCCTTTTCTACCGTAATTCTTGGTATACCACTCACTAGCTCTTCATTAATCATCATCTTCATCGTCTCCAAGTTAACATGACCCAAACGAGCATGCCACTTTGAAGATTCAGTCCATGTTGACGTTACTTGTAAGCACTTGAACTCCTCCACATCCAAGATAACTTTGTACAACCGATTTCTAGACCTTGTTGTGCTTACCAACAACTGTCCTACACGATCATATAGTATCAGCTGGTCTTCTTTCATTCGAACCTCACATCCTGCTTCCGTAGCTTGCCCGAGACTTATTATGTTGCTCTTTAAATCCGGTATGTAATACACATTGTGCAAAAATTTCTTCACACCATTCTTGAATACAAAACGAATAGAACCTTTACCCTTTATGTCAACACGGGAATCATCTCCAAATCTAACCAATCCAGTCACACTTTCATCAAGATTCAAGAAGAACATTCGTTTTCCAGTCATATGATTGCTTGCACCGTTGTCAAGATACCACACGTTTTCAGTATCTAGACTTGTTTCAAAAACGTTTGGTTTCACCTTTTGTTCATTTAGATATACCACCTCATGCATCATCAATTCATCGGCTTCTTTAGTGTCATCATCCTTCTTTTCAACGGCTTCTTGAAGCTTAAGTAACCTATCGGGACAGTGAGATGCATAATGACCTTGTTTGTCGCATCGAAAACACGTTATCATTGCCTCTCTTTCTTTGTCTCGTCCTTGTCCTTGTCTATATGATCCGTTTTGGTAATAACCAAAACGTCCACGGCCTCTTCCTCTCCAAGATCGTCCTCCTTGTCCCCTACCTCTGTTATACCCATAGCTTTCTTGTCTTGAATCTGTGTTAGCGTACATAAGCTTACCATGATCATCTTGCTCTTCTTCTTCTTCTTCACAAATTCTTTCCTCATACACTTTCAATCTTCCCACAATATCTTCAAACGTAGTTGTGTTGAGGTCGAGAACTTGTTCAAGAGATGCCACGATGTGTATATATCTCTTTCGTGGTAGTGATTTCAGAAATTTCTTCACAAGCTTAACTTCTTCAATAGTTTCTCCAAGAGCTGCCGAGTTTGATGAGATTTCAGCAAGTTTTCCAGCAAAAACATCCACTGTATCTCCATCCTTCATCTTGATTTTATCAAACTCAGTCATTAGGGTTTGCAATCTAGCTTCTCTGACTCTCTCGGCACCAACATGTCTCGACTTTATTGCATCCCAAACTCCTTTTGACGTATCATGCTCTCCAACTTGTAGAATTAAAGCTTCTGGGATGGATTGAAATAACAGAGCAGTCGCCATATTATTCTTGTCATCGTCTTTGTTCCCAGGTTCTATGGTGTCCCATACTTTGTTTACTTTGAGAGCAATCTTCATTCGCATAGCCCAAACTGTGTAATTCGCAGAATTCAACATCGGACACTTAACAGAGGAAGGTACAATCTCCTTGGTCTTGATCGACACATCTTTCTCATCCACATCACCCATATCTCGCTTGATGATCTTAATCCTTAAAGACTAACGAATCTCAAAACCGCTCTGATACCAATTCTAGTTTCACAGACTTGCAAGCTCAACACTTAATAAGAATACCTCTCTTATTAATAAGGAAAATATGCTCAAAACCTTAAGCTCACAAATCTCATAAGTTGTGCTACAACTCAACACATACTTATATATGAAAACACACCTCAAGAAAACAAGAAACTTAACTTTAGACATCTCCTAAAGAAAAGGAAAACTCACATAATAGATATGTATATTTAGATATCTCCTAAATATACTTAGCTTGAACACCAAGCTATTTCAAGCTTACAACAACAAGATGGCTACCAGCTTCCTCATTGGCAGCGTCTCCAAACTTAGGCCAGTTCCTCCTCTCCATAGCCCGTTTGTTGAGCAGAGCTGAAGCTAGCTTCCGGACACGTGTCCTAGTCGTTATCTTAACCTTATTGCCTTCATCGTTGAACTTGTATTCGATCGTCGTCTTCAAACCATTCTCGTCTGGCCCAGTCACCTGCTTCGGAGGCAGCAAGAAATCAAAATCGTCGTCTTCGTCCATTTCCCCCCATCGGAACTTTGTTTTCTGCTGCGAATCGATCGTCATCGTCTTGACTCAGAAACCAAAAAATTGAAGATGAAGAAGCTCTAATTAGGGCTTCCTCAATGTGTTTTAAACCCGACCCCGTCTTCTGGTTAAAAATAAGATCCAAAACCCTAATAAGAGAGCTTAAAACCAACAAATAAGTTTCTTAAAACCAACAAATTGGGTTAAAAGATCTGAAAAATGAGTTTCTTCACAGCGTAACTAAACATATTCTATCAAAGTTGTAGATTCAAAAGTAAATTTGGACTTGATTCATCAGTTCTCACAAGAATTTTTGTTTTACAAACCATTGAAGACAGAGCTTTACAAAAACTATTATAACCTCTTTCTCCTCTACTCTACCTTGTCCTCCAACAAAACAATGACTCTCTTTCTTTTGTGTTTATTAAATGATCTTATTCCTTGCGTCTTCGAGCTTCTTCAGAATCTCCGCAGGTGTTCTATCCAACTCGTCTGCTATTTTCCTCTGCAAGTCCATTGGGAGTGTCGGGAACTGCTCACACAGATCTCCATCTATCACGTCCTGTTTAAATATCCAAGATGCAAAAAGTGTCAATTCGAAATCAAGAGACTTCTTGATGGAAAAAAAAAAAAAAAATCAAGAGACTTCTTTTGATTTGGAGAAAAAGCAATGGATTTTCTTTTATACCTTGACCGGAAAATATGCAGATCTGTAAGCCATGTGGTCTCTCCCGCAGAGAGGAGGATACTCCTGCCTCATGTGCATCTCCAGATGAGAGAAGAAATCCACATCATCACGCGATGTGAAAGCATGTAATGCCCCTATGCTACCCATCACTGTTCCATACATTATGGATTCCGATCCACCTGGGATCATCGAAGCTTTCTGCAAGCACGTCACAACGTCCCCAACATGGAACTGTACTATCTCATCCACTTTGTTCGGTGCTCCATTCAGCTTTCCTTGCTCCCACTTGATCTTCCCGCCTGTCGGGTCTTCTTCTATCTCCTCAGACAGATCCTGAGGCAACCGCACAAAATACACATTCCCAAACTTATCTGCACCTGCCATGGTATCGAAATCCACATGGTGCGATGCTGTCAGCCACCTCGGCACGCAGTCATCCGCAAATATGTATAGCTGATTCTCGTCGCGCCTGTACTTGCAGTAATGGAAAGACTGCAAAATGATAATGAAAAGGCTACATGAGATATTTACTATAACAATAATAAGTAACATAAAATAATAAAAAAAGGATCTACCACTCACCTCCTGAATGTCACCAACGTATATACGGTCACGGTAAGTTTGGATAGAGATAATGGTGTTTGGAAAGAGCTTGTTTTCACATTTCCTTAGCAGTCTCTTTTTCCCCAAATCATACAATCTGAGGACAGGTCCGATCCCTGCCAGCAGTCTTCCTTGGAACTGGCACAGAGCAAGAGGAACACCTTCTACTTGCGTCTTATGAAGAAGCTCAAGAGATTTCCCATCCTCCACAAACCTATAAATATGTATGAACCCAGCAACTAGATTCTTTTTCGGCCAGAACTGCATCCCTTTGACCGTACCAACAGCCAACAGTGTACCATACTCTTTATCATGGAAATTCACCGTACAGACACTGTATGCAGCTTCGTTGTCCTGAAGTTCCAGGAGACAAGTTGTCGTAGCTGTCTTGGGATCAAGAACTCTGATGCAAGAAACCCACTTTTCAGACACTGCTTTTGGATAACCGTACTGCTCATCAGAAAGCGGGTCTTCCTTATCTTCATCATCTGCACCATTCTCCATCTGATCTGCATTGCCATTGCCATTTTCTCCCACTCCACCAGCCTCAAAGCACTCCTTTCTTGCAGCTTCTCGCTCTTCTGCGGTGAATGCTCCCTGGTCACTCTCGATAATAACCAACAACTTCCGCTTGGGTTGGAGAACAAACTTTCTAGGCGTGTACCTCAGAGGGACCACTGTTTCGTTGAACGTTTCACCAAGTCGATCGATCATAAAAATTCTCAGAGCATCCCCAGCGACAGAGACAACACCTTCAGCGCACTGATCAGATGAAAAGGGGGCAGCAAATTCCAAAGTCTCGTAAGACAGAGGCGTCAAGTGGAAGTGTCCCCGGTGAATATAACCAAGCCAAGGTCGGCTAGACAAACACAGCATTGCAGACCGGCCTCTCACAGAAATGGAGAATAGCTTGGGAGGCTTCAGCCCCAAGAACCGGGAGCGAGAATCCGAAAGCTGACCAGTCACCATGTCCACCACAGTTCTGAAAAGAACACCATTCTGCAGACCAGAATTGAGGAAGAGATTTGCCGGGTGATCAGCACCATCCTCTCCACCAATCGATGCCTGAACTTCGAGGAATAGCAGAGACTCCGGAGCTGAAGAGACACTTTGCACGCTGAGAATCTGCAGACAGTCGTCAGGATCCAAAGATAGAATGCGCACGGTATTATCATAAGATCCCACAGCAAGAAAGCGAGACCTTTGTCTTCCTTCAGGAACAGGCGCAATGTCCAGGCAAGCCACATCACCAGACATTTCATGTTTCTCCACCTCCATCAGCTGGCCAGTCATATCTGCCTCAAAGTATATAAGCTCTCCCCCACTCAATGCAATGACCACTTGAAGCCGATTATACCCAACTTTAACAATTGACCTCTTGCCAGGAGTTCTCCATTCGTTAATGCGTCCATCTTCCCTTATGTGGCGGATACCATTGGGATGGACTTGCATGAGAGAATCATCGCCGATCAGAGAGACAGCCAGGGACGGGGTAGTATCCAAAAACCCACTGTCGTTAACTTCTTCAACTGTTTCACCAATCGAAAGAACAAGAGTAGCATTGGTAAAAGAGACAACGATATATGCATCAAACTCATCGCTCACATTCTTTTTCACCGTCCACACAGCACTTGGCTGACCTGGAAGCTGAGAGACAGCCATCTCAGTGATGGCCAAACCAGGTCTCAGTATCCTTAGAGAGGAGCGTGGACCCCGCCCACAAAGTGAAAAGATCTGAGGGGTTTCTTCCTCAAAAAGGTTTAGGACTTTCATGTCCATGAGCGGCATCAGACTCTCGACTTGGTCAATCCTAACAAGATTTTTAAGTCGTCTAGGTTGGAAAAAGACGGGCTGAAAACCTTCTTCAGTCTCCATCAGATTAGAGGAGGAAGACTCTACATCAGGTTCCTCTCCTATGGCTTGAAACTGATACAATCCATGGTTTCCAAATTCCGAAGCAGAGAAGAGAAATCCCAGTTTCAACACACATATAGACGATGCGACAGGAATGGTGTCAAAGTATTTGATCTTCAACTCGGACACATGATCGCCATCGTGATCCAAGGTGACCTTAAAAACGTCGCCATACTCAGTCTGAATTAAAAAGAAGAACATTGCCTTCTGCTTGTGCACGGCGGCAGAAACTACCAAAACTCCTCGTTCAGCAGGCAAATCAGTTCGTCTAGGAATCACGGCCCTCACGTCAGGATGACCCTGATTCTTGTAAATAACAAAATTCTCGGCGCAAACCAAAACTCCACTGGGGCCATCAGCTCCTCCAGGAACAGTAACAAGCATATTGGCACCATTGTCAACAGGTTCAGACCACTTTCTAGAGACATGGTTGAGGCCCAAATCGAGCTCATAGAAAGTCAGATGCTTCTGAGCCTCACTAGCGGCTTGGCCAGTAGGATCCTGATCAGCCTCGGAGTAATCAAGCTCAATGGCAGCAAAAATAGGGTTATCGAAACCGCAGTCGACACCGCAGAGAGAATAGCAAATGGTATGAGACTTGTGAGCTTCCAAGGGAGAAGAAATGGTTAGCCTAGCAGTAGTATCTCTGTTCAAAACATAAACCAATTTCTGCTTCTCACAAGCTCCAATCATAACAGCTCGTCCTTTGGGATCAACAGCTAAGTACTGGCCTGGCACAATTCTTCTGCAACCGGACTTGCCAAAAGTCTCCTGGTGAACTTTATCGAACACATTCTTCTCCTTGTTGTACTCAAGTATAACAATCCTACCCGAATCTGAGCCAACCACTATATAATCCTTTTGCGCACCAGTCAACCTAAACTGAGCTAAAGATCTAATGGCACCAAATACTTCCACAGAGTGTATCGTCTGGATCTTACCGTTCTCGTCCGGACGGAGAAGATCCAGAATCTTCCCACGAGCTACCGCAATCTCCTGTGTCTTCCCGCCGGAGAAGTTCCCGTTGATAGCGCAGATGATTCCCGTCGCCTGTTGCAGAGTAAGACTGTACAGATACATCTCTCAAACTAGTAACAGCAGGAAGGCTAGGGTTTTGGAGAATCCCGGAAACTGGAAGAACTTCAGGATGGTTTTGGCTCCGAGTTTAGGTGAACTCCTACAGCATTTGGCAGATTATGGTGAAGAAGGGAAAGAATAAACCCTAGAGCTCAGCTAATTATGAATTACCGCCATAGCTCCAAAGCTCGACGAGTGGAGTGGTGTTCCTCTGGTCGGCGGAGATTCAACATGGGCCTAACTTTTGGATGTTGTATAACTATAGTGGCCCAATTGTTTTAGATTAAGCTCAAATAATGACAACAATCCAAGACGGTTTTATTTAAGAAAAATGGTTACAATAAATTTTGAACTAACAAACTACAGTATAGAATGACAACAATTAATTTATGAAATCACAAAATAGAGTGATATTGTATAAGTTTGTGATTGATAGATTATAAGGAACTGCATAATTTACTAAACCGGGAATCAAAATATAATTATGTTACTTATGTATGAAACATGGCTGATTTTTTGTTTGTGTGTGGTAAACATGGCTAATTAAGATCTCTTCCACTTCATTTCTTAACATGATCTCTTCTAATTCCTAACGAATAAATAGAAAGAAACAAATAGGTCAAAGAAATCAACAAAGCTAGAAGCAAGAGGAGTAAGTAGCAAATTAAAATTAATAAAATCTTGAGGTTTAGTTAAATCCATTAATCAACTAGAGTATAAGAAAGCAACGACAATAACAACAACTCCACTCCATCATCTCGTCATCCCCCAAGCTTCCTATATAAACAAACCCATTAGCCTTAGAAAATAAACACAAATCTAAAACCAAAACAAAAAAGAAAGAACAATGGCTAAAGCTCTTAGCCTAGCAATCTTTCTCTTCCTCTTGATAGCTTCTAATGTCCAATCCGCTCGACTTCTCGATGAGGTTCAAACTCAGCCACAATTAGTCCCCGGCGGCCAAATCCCCGCGGTACCGGAAGAGGAAGATGATAGTCCACAAGCCGTAACAACAACACAAGCTCCAATACCAATTCCTCTCCCAGGACCTGCCACGGGAGGACAAGAGCCAATCCTAGAGTTCTTTATGCATGACGTGCTAGGCGGGTCACACCCGTCAGCACGTGTGGTTACAGGGATAGTAGCACAAACAGAGGTGAACGGGATACCGTTTTCTAAATCCAGCAACAACATTTTCCCAGTAGATAACGCAGTGCCGCTTGTGAACGCAAACAGCATCAACAACTTAATCAACCCAAACACAGCTCCACTCCTCACGGGACTTAGTGGCTCTCAAGCCAACACCGTCATTCAAAACAGTAACGGTAACTCCCAAGGATCCCTTAGCTCCAACAACCTTCCCTTTGTAACCACGGGTCAGCTCCCTCCCATAGCTGCCCTCCAACAGCTCATGTTTGGCTCTATCACAGTGGTTGACGATGAGCTCACTGAAGGCCATGAGTTAGGCTCTGCAATCATTGGCAGAGCCCAGGGGTTTTACTTGGCTAGCTCTTTGGACGGAACTAGCCAGACCCTTTCGTTGACAGTGTTGCTACACGAAGAGCATGATCACCATGACACCCTTGATGATGCGATCAGCTTCTTCGGGGTTCACCGAACCGCTTCTCATGCCTCGCATATCGCTGTTGTGGGTGGGACTGGTAGATTCGAGCATGCTAAAGGGTATGCTGTCGTGGAGACTCTACACAACCAGGAAGACCAACATGTTACTGATGGTCATGATACCATTCTCCATTTCAGTGTTTATCTTACCTACTACAAAGCTTGAAGAGTAATGGCATTTGTTGTAAAAAAAATCCTCTGTTTCATTTGTATGTTCTTGTTTACTAGCTTGATGTGTGGCCTTTATTGTGTTGTGCACGTTTACTGTATAAAAAAAGGTTAAATGAGAATCTTTGTCTTTATATTCAAACTGTGCATTTCAACTCGTCTATTTATTCATTTGTTATACTCACGAAATTCCATTTTTAAATCAAGTATTCGCTTGGGTATTATAAGCTCTCACATCATATCAAACTAATGTAAGAATAATCCTTTTTAGAATTCTTCTTTTACAAAGTTGTGGTTAATTACATAGGAGTAGTTGTAGATATGTGGCCCGTAGAGTTTTGGGCTGGAAAGTGAAACGTGTTAATAGTCTTGTGAGTAAGTCAGTCTCCTCACAAACTTCATGTTAAGCTAAGTGAGAGTTTTCTTATGTACTTTGACCCCAAAATAATATTTCTGCACAAGGTAAACAATGTTCAAATTGGAGATTGTTCACGGCCTTTTTCTCCGTATCATTGTTTTATTATAAACCATGATAATTAAATTTCCAAGAATGCTATAGCCTTAATTTTAAGGTGACCAAGACCAGAGATAAATAGTTTCATTTGAAAATATATCATCGGTTGATGTATGAGCATCCGTTTCATTATATATTAATTATACAGAGGCAATATTATGTGGACCACGTACGTAACGTACCAAAAGGAGTGTCATCACTCCTTTTTTTGCTGTCTTTCTTGTTGGACCGATGCCAAGAGATGAAAAAAAACGATTTACATATAAACATGCATGCGTCAGGGATAAATCGTTTTCATGAGATTTATATATATAAACTATAAGGTTTTAAAGATCTAACGAACATCGCGATCAGTCGTCGGATTCTTTAGATGAATCCGAGATAATCTTCTGGATCATCTGGTTTGTCTCTTCCTCCGACATTTGCTCTTGTTTGCTTTGCCTCTCCTCATATGCCTTGAAGAATTCCTTGTTCTCTTTCTCCAGCTCCTTCCATACTGTCATTTTTTGTTGTTGGTGCCAATTCATTATGATAACCAAAAAAAAAGAAACAGATCTAGAACTAAATTACTGCACAAAGTTGATCTATGTAATTTTAAGGAAGATTTAGTTTTTTAAAAAATATTGTTTTTAATTTTTTTGGCTTTTGTATAAAAGTCCTAGCCCCCATTCAAGGCAGTACTATATATAATCGTTAGATTATGCATGAGCACTTATATGAATAGAAATATCCAAGATCGATCGATCATGCTAGATCATATGTTTAGCTAGGTACATATATGTCGACAAGATCAAATTCTTAATGATGGTATCATAACATGATGATATATGTATATATGTCCATAATTTATACATATAATCCCGTTAGTACATATATATGTATATGTATATGTGTGTATATAAGGATTATTGGAAGGTAAAAAGTATAAAAAAGAGGAGAGAGATCAGGGGAATTAAAACCAGTAGAGGTGATGACAGGAGTGATGTTTGCATGCTTAGAGAGAGCTTCCACACACTCTTCTTTGCTCATATGGAAGATCAAACATTTCTCTATCATGTGCTGCACCTATACATACATACACACATCCAAAGATATATTGAGGTACATACATAAAAGATAAATAGATAAAATCATTCATCGAAACGACGGCCGGAGAAGTACATGGATTCCTGAATCAAATATAATATTACCATGTGAATGTAAGAAGCAGAAGAAGAATCAGCCATTGTTAATGGAAACCCTAGAATTAACACCCAAACTTAGAAGAGAGTCTTCTTGCTAAAAGCCACTTGTGGAGATAAAGACAGCCATATATAGAAGAAGATCACGCAAAAAGATGAAGAAGGAGACAAAAGAGTGAATAGTTGAAAGATGATATGCATGCATGGGGCCAGAAGCCCCACGTGGGAGATTGATCATAATTGGCTGAGAAAGGATTAGAGGAGATATGTAAAATCACTCTTTCTCTCTTCTCCCTTCGTTTTTTCATTTCCATCTCACGCATCCTCCACGTGATCTATGGCCCCCTCTCTCTATACATTTTCTGCAAAAAAACACTTAGTCGTGTTTTAATTTCCATAATCTTCTAGAAATATATACCTTTTTGTTAATGTTTAAAATTATATAAGAAAATGAACTTTTTAAAGGTTGTATTGGCTCTAAAAGCATGATTAGGTAAACGGAGTAAACGAAAAATTAATACGGAATTTTAAAGGATTGATAAATAAAAAAATGACTTCAGCAATTGTAACTAACCGAATTCTTTTCGAAAAAAATAAACCATAGTGTTAAATATATAAGGCAAATAGTCATAGGTCTTAACACTTTTGTTAAGGCTTTCCATCGATAAAGGAAAGGAAATTGTTGTAAGATATATATCCAATGTATAGCTACTATGACTATCGTTATGCGACCATCAATGTGATAATTGAAATATCATAAGACATATAATAGGTCCTTAGAGGCTTAGGCCGGCCGTGAACACCGGTACGTCTACTCTTAAGTTGAGGCAAGAGAGAGGAATGAACTTGTTTTTTAATTTGTTGTTAAAGGAGAAATGATGATGAACTTGTTTAAATAGGGAATTCTATATACTATAGTAGTTGTAACTATTATGTGAGTATGACATAATCCATATACTTATACATTAGTAAACCTCTGTCGTAGTTTGGATATTAAAAATTAAAAACCAACGTACTTTACACGACATGTTATAGATAAATGTTTGCTACTGAATTATAACAGTTATGTATGATCCTCCTCCTAAGTCCTATACCATGCATACATGTTTATATATATGATCGATGGAACTAAAAAATGACGAGGTATATAATAATTAAGATCCGTAAAAGAAACCCATAAAATACTCATGTACGAGTTAATGTAGCATAAAAAACAAAATTTTACTCAATCGATCAAAAATGATAATATTGATACAGATTAGCGGATAACGTCACATCTAATTTATATCAACAAAAACATTATATGTAATTACATATATCTAACGTAAGTGACACTATTGAATTATTATTTTTTGGGTTTGAACTTTGAAGTTACAATAGTACTATAGAAATTTCTGTCTAATGATTAACTTAGCTCGTTTTTCTTTCATTTTTCTTTTAATTTTTTTGGTATTTACTAATGACACAAACCCCCGAAAAAAAGTTAATGATACCAACCAAATGTCGTCGATCTCTTCTAGATACTATTCATAATTTAATCATCTACGTAATTGACTCCTGAAATATTAATTTGGGTTATCGTACCACCATGACATGTGTAGTATACGTTACGATAATGGACGGCCAAAAAATAGCAAAGTGATCAATAGTTTTTTGGTTGGGTAAGGGGACGCGGGAGATTAAAGTTTTTGATTCTAAACCAATAGAACGATGACACGTCACGCATAACAATCTACATTGAGATCAAATAATCGCAAATGGTACAACCATCTGAGTGACGTGGCGCAAATGGACATGAGAGGGAGTGAGAGAATCTACAAAGGTTACGTAAAGAAGTGAGAGACAAACACATTGGGGGTGTTTTGTCGAAATCAAAGGTTTCAGAAGGATCCATCAAATTCAGACATTAAATAAAACTAAATATATTCCTCATCATGTGGACCTCTCAATTTGAGTCCTGAAACAGCAACTATTCCCTCGAATCAAAAATTCAAACCCTATTCATCACTTTCTCTCTCATTCCCTCTCCTCGTCAACAAGATTACAAATAAGGCGCCTATTCTCTCTCATCCACTTATTCATTTACCTAAGATACTTCCTTATCCAACTCTTAAGATCATGCTATCATTTTTCATTCGAATCCGTATAAGTGAATCTGTAGTTATAACGAATGTATATCGTTTTTATAACGAATTTGAAAACACTTTATGTGTTACAAGAAAATAGTTTATGTATTGTAACTATCTTCTTGTGTTTCCAACAAATTACTACGGATTTTACTCTATTATTATTTTTTATTTTTTTGAACAACAAAGATTTTACTCTATTTATAACTCTCCTTTCTTCTGTGTGTTCATTGTTCTATTTTCTTTGTGTTCATATATACTTATATTCTTTTGACCTAGAGATAATCTCAGATGCATATATTGGATTTTACTTCTAAAGCGCAAATCATAACCACTCTAATTAACTTCTTTCCGTGGTTATGCTTGGCATCTTTTGGGCGTAGAAACTGAGTCATATCAATTCATATATGTTTATTTTCTTTCTTTAATTTCTACATCAGCTATTAAATACCGGCGTAAAATATGTGAAATCTGGTTGTTCAATTACAAAACTATATATTCATAAATATACCAAAAGACTATATTCATGATTATTCTGTATGTTGGATAACTTTTTTGTCCCAATTGACAAAGCCATCAAGAATTATTGAATCCCCTACCCATTTTGAATCTCTATCGTTCGATTGTTCTCAAGAATGAAACTTTGGTGGGGTTTCTGATTAATACTATAGTAAGTCATTAAGAGGTACGAAATAATATCACAGAAGACGAGACAGCAGAAAGACGAGACAGTGCAAAAAGAGACAAAGGTGGTGCAGTAGACTCACTATTATTATTGCCTTAACTCGATTTTCAAACCAAAAGCTCTCAAAAAGCAAACCCAAATTTGTCCCATGGACAAGTGGAGATTCTATTGACCACACCCACTCCACTTGATTTTTCCTTTTCTACTAAAGCCAAATTGCTCAAATTTATTTTTCTTTGAAATTTTCGGGTTAAAGTGTACGATGTGATTGAATTTCTGTTATCCAATGAGATCATGCCGTGTCAGCATAACGGAATATGTTTGTTGTATTTTTTCCCTTGAGCCAAAACAAGTGATCAGAGACGTAATGATATTATAGGGGCATCTAGCTACATATTGAATTATGAAACTTTAGCTTTTAAGGTGTCTTGATTTTATTTTATTTTTCTGTCTAATAAATCTGAGCTAGTTGGTTGGCCCAATTAGATCACGATTGGAAAAGAAAGTTTCATTTTGATTAAATGATATTTTTCCGATTAAATGATATTTTTTCCGATTAAATGATATTTTTTGCTCAAATTAGCAAATACTCAAATATTTAGCTAAAACGCTCAAGTTTGGTTAAAAGTACCAAATAACCAAAAAAACTCACCATGTTGTACTATACACAAATTGTTCAAGCTACGGGAACAAAACCTACAACTTTATCCGGGTCCATCCATATAGTGGATCCAAACTTTAGGTTATAATTCGATCTTTGGACAATTTAGGAAAGCCTTTTACTATTTTGAAGATCTTGGTCTGCCTCAACTTAGGATTCCTTATTCATAGCAACTAGTAAGCTGAAAACTGATTATCTGATTCTCTCATGATTAGCGAGACACAGTGAAGAAGTTTAAACTTTCAACTAAAATTACCAATTGATATCAGCTCATGTACGTAACGACTGTGGACTAAATATTTGGACGTTGCAACGCTTCTTAAATGCAGCGAATTTGAAGTATTCACACGTTGTTCTATAACGATGAAATTATCATTCCAAGTCTTCTCTTAGTAGAATATGATGAATTTAGTTAATGCAATGTATATTATCCTCCACATTTTCGTTATGCGGTTAATACATACTTTTGTGTGGTATTCAATTTCTTAAGTAATCAAATAGATGTACTCAATTTCCTAAGAAAAATCAAACTATTTCCTAGATTTGTATAAAGTTTTGGCTATGTATAAGATACAAATATCGTTTACTGCTAAATTTACAAAAGAATATTTATCACCAAAATTTAACATGTATCAGTACTCGACTCATTCATGGTCATAGAGACATTCATCATACGAATAAAACGTCGTCATCTACTGTACCTATAGAAGAAAATAAAAAAAACGTTTGACGTCGTTGATACATTTTAGTTAAGATCATCTTCACTTTTTCATTTTTAAAATTAGATACTCTAGTAAATTTTTTAAAATGCTTTGATTGCTAAATAATTTACGCTCTATAGTCCTCTCTTTTAAGTTTTATCCCTATTCTTTAGTTTTCTCCGATATTATTCAAATATGGGCTTTATGCAATGCTCATAGGCCTATAAGAAAGCCCAGTATGAGTCTTTTGGCAATATTAACTTATTATCCAGTATTTGTTCTTGTCTTTTTTTTTTTTTTTTTCGTCAGTATTTGTTCTTGTCTGAAATTCTGAATACTATAAAAATTAGAATTTGCTAACCAAGACTTATAAATATAACAATTTTGATTTTAAATCTTCGTAGATTATTTTCTAATCCACAAAAATAATCAGGTAAATGAAGAAAAATAACATATGAATATTGTGGCTAATTAGTCACTTCACTAGTAAAAATTATGGAAGAATTTAAAAACATTATAATATTGAAGCTTGAATGGAGAAGATAACGTATATAAAGATGAGGTTAAGATTATCCAAAAGCTTCCAATTTTCACAGCCATGGTGGTTGTCACTCACATCTCCACTTCCTTCCACCAAATCTCTCCTTCCTTCTTCCATCTCCGTCTTCGCAATCCCGCCTCGTCCCTTCCCAAACGCGGCGGAGGATACGGTGGTTTCGCTTTATCAATTCGAGCTTACATAGAGAAACCAAACTCCTTCTCAACCTTCGCTAACAAAGTCATCGGTTCGCTTCCGGTTATCGGACTCCTCGCTCGGATTCTCAGCGATGAAGGTGGCGTTGGAAGAGATCTCGTCGATTTCGCTGAGTTTAGGAAACGAGTTGGGAATAAATGTACTCCTGATGATTCTAGGGCTTTCTATGAGTTCCAACAGCGACGAGGCAAGGTAAATTTCGGTTTTTTTTCGCTATCGATTTTGCGGGAATTGAGCTTAGATTCATGAAATTCAATTGAATTATATGATTTGAATGGTTGGGTTTTGTTAATGTGTGATCAGTGTTTTAAGTGGCCTTGTTGTTGTTGCTCTGTTTTGGTTAGGCAGGAGAACCTTTGTATGTGCTTCTATGTTGTTGGGCTGCTGCAGTAGGTGCAGGGCTTCTCAAATCTGAAGAGATTCTTGAAGGTGTTACGAGAGTTAGCATTTCGAATGATCTCGAGTTTGAAGAACAGAATTTCATTGCTTTGATGACTGAAGCAAGACAGGTTTGTTCTGTTTCTTATGTGTGATTTGGATTTCTTTAGTACTATGCTAATGAGTTTTAGTAGTGGAAATCGGGTATTTGGTAATGTCACTCATGCTTCAGAAAGGTTGATACTTTTTTTCGGTTATGCAGAGAAGGGCAAAGTTGAACATTGATGCGCCAATAATACCAATGGAACTAAGAGTCGAAAAGGCTCTTGAAGGTATTTATGCTTGTTGCTTTCGGAGAGGACTTATCGAAGAGGAGGATGAGAAGCTTCTTCAAGTGATGCTAATTGCGGTTTTCCCATCGGTTGAGAAGTCTGAGATAGAGAGAATCATCAAAGAGAAAGCGACAAGGGTTGCAGAAGGAGGAGAAGAAGAGAATGTCATGGCGAAACGGTTGCCTAAAGAAGCTATTCAAATGCAGATGAAGGATCTTGAGTTCCTTCAACAACAAAACATAGAATCTTAACAATAGAGGTTGAGATGACCAAACATGTTTATTTTTTCAGTCCGGATTATAAAAAAAATGCAATAACTTTAAGTATATTCATGTTTTGATTCTATGTTCATAAATTAAAGTAGTCCTTTGATGTTCTAGGAGATCAATAGTTTATTAACAAGTAGTTGTTACTGCATACATAGGCTTCGGATGTGGTTGTTTCCTATCATATCTTTTGAGAACTTGGATTGATTCATTCATTGGCTCATTAAGTTTCTTAGATGGTGTTTGCCATTTGGTAGGTCTGAATTAGCTGCACTAAATAGTAACAACAGTCGAAACTATAGGTAATAGAGTTAGAAGCTTAGTTTTCAACAGGATGTCTATGTAAGAGAAAAATAATATAATCCATCTAAGAAAAAAGATTAGTTTGCTTCTGTGGATATGTAAAAACTTCAAATAAAGAAAGCTTCTAAACATTCAAGTTGAGTGGTGGATTCTCCAATCCCTAATGAGAATATCAAACCAGCTCTAATGAGGGTTATCGTGGTAATGTATCAATCAATGCTTGTTCTGATACTAGTCAAAGAACACGGAAGACTTTGATTCTATTACAATCAAGCTAGTACAAGCAGGAGATAAACGTTCAAGATTTAATACGATTTTAGAGGAACTTATGTTCTGTGAAATGGACCAACGTATACCATCAAATTTTAAAGGCCATTATCACGTGACATCTCAAAAGACTCGCTATACGTACGTATAATTAGGTCTCTTCGTTTTGGAAAACGAGACATTACAATCTTTTCTAAGCACATCATGAAAACTTAGTACAACCTTATGATGCAGAATCAGGAGTGTTGATTAGTAATGTACTAATGTATGTTCACAACGTAAGCGAGAGAAACGTAGGAGTTATATGGCTCTACAATAAGATTTTATCGATAATATAATGTATAATATTCCATCTAAAAAAACTTAGTTTGATTATGTGAAAATATAAAAACTTCAAATAAAGAAAGCTTCTAAGCATTCAAACATTATAAATGGTATTATATTTATTCAATCATTTTGATGGTTACATATAATTGATAAAATATGGTGATAACAATAACTTTTTTTTTTTTAAGGACCATCTTCCCATTTAAAACACCAGGGCAAGTATCCTTTTTCACGAACAATACGACAAATAGGGTTTTCATCATCTTTTCCCACTTCCCATATACATTCTTTACAAACTGGAAAATGTCCAAATGGACTATCATCTCTTGATACTTTAAAAATATAAAAATAATGAGATCCGCCTCTATACCATGTAAAATGACAAAAAAATTTCGTAGTTTTCGAAAAGTTAACATGAAATCTGAAATCCCATGTACCATTCCATGGAATATGGACCATCCCAAAATCATCTTCACTAGATCTGCAATGTACATTCAAGATTTGTCTGTTTTTTACTTTGTTGTAGATTACAACATGTTTTCCGGCTAAAGGTAACAAGCCGTCGCCGCCCGAAGTTGGTGCTTCTGCTGGAGTATTTGACAAATCTAATGCAGACACAAAAAAAATAAGAATAAAAGAGATCATAAACAACAATATAAAATGAGGTTTATTAGTGAAAGCCATGGTTAGGTAAATAATGTAGGAGTGGTTAGATAGAACTTATAAGTTCCCTATTTATAGATTTAAGAAAATGTCAATATATTTAAGAGTTAATTAAGGAGACTAAACATTCATGTAACGTTGAATGCATGTATTTAGTCTATGTTAGTATTCAAAGATGTAAATTAATGTATAAAATTTTATTGTTTTCCTTTGGAGTTGTTAATTTATTAGTTTTCAAATAAGAATTATATATATATATATATATATATATATATATATATATATATAAATATTTCGTAAGAAATATAATTCGAAGTATGTCTTATATATTTTGATTTACAATATTTTGGATAAGTTTATCTTTCTGAATGTAACAAATTTTAATGACTTTGACTGTTAATCATTTAAAAGATTCGAGTCTTATTTTGTAATCTTAGAAAGTTTTGCATAAAAAAACATAGAAAGTTATTATGATGTGTCGCTAACAGTCGCTCACTTTTATTAAAGAGTATTTTATAAAAATAGCCTCAATTTTTATTAAATTAGGTAAAAGACCTATGATTTTATTTTGTTTACAAAAACACAATTAACTGGTTTGGGTGAAAAGATGACAAATATATCCAACGGACTTCGTAAAATGGGCTTTGTAGGTTCTTCGGCCCTTTATCAGTTCTATCAGAGTTTTATTAAAAACACCTTTTCAACTAGAAGCATCTCTCGTAACTAATTCGATTTATGAGAACATCAAATCAGCTCTTGCTAATGAAAGTTATCATGGTAATGTATCAATCAATGCACATTCTGATACTAATCAGAACACAAAAGACTTAATTCGTTGGAATCAAGAGATAAACGTGCCTAGACTTTATGTTTCCACCGAACTAACCGAAAACATGGTACTAACTAAAGTAAAGTGGTTGTTCGTGTAATAAATAAAAATTGAATCTTTCGACTGAAAAAAATGTTCTATCTTCTTTATGTGACAAGAACAATCCTCCGTTGACCAAACACTCTTTTCGAAAATGTCACCGAATCTTCTTCGTCTTCTTTTCCTATTGATGATATTCATCTCTTTATCTATCACTTCATCTCTGTCAACTCCGTCGCCGGCTGATTCTCCTCCTTATCTATGGCCGTTGCCGGCGGAGTTTTCGTTCGGAAACGAAACACTCTCGGTGGATCCGGCCTTGACTCTAATCATAGCTGGAAATGGCGGTGGATCTCCGATTGTTAGAGCTGCGTTTGATAGGTATATGGGGATAATCTTTAAACACGCCTCAGGTAGAGGTTCTTTATTGGCGAGAATTAGATTTTTGAGAATGGTTGAGTATGATATCACTTCTTTAAAGATCGTTGTTCACTCTGATTCTGAGGAGGTAAAAACCAAAACTTTGGCTCTTTTGATTGGAAAGTTTTAATCTTTTGGGAGCTGATAGTGGCAAATAGTTAAATTGGTTTGCTTTCTGTTCAATTTCAGCTTCAATTGGGTGTGGATGAGAGTTATACATTGATGGTGTCTAAGAAGAACGAGCAATCGATTGTTGGAGCAGCCACGATCGAGGTTCGAGTTTCATGCACCGGTTTTGGCTGCTGCTTCTTCATCTGATGAATGAGTCTGTGATAAAATTGTTTATTTTTCTGGTGGTTTCAGGCTAATACAGTTTATGGTGCACTTAGAGGATTGGAGGTGTGTAAGTTATGAGTATAATATACTCCATTTTGTGGCTTGGTGTGAAGTTCTATCATAAGAATCAGCTGAATTGCAGATGATTTGTTCCTAGTTTTAAACAACTGTATACTTCATTTCGTGGCTCGGTGTGAACTTTGCTTTAAATGGGTGAGAGATGTTAAGAGTTAAGTTTCTTCGTTTTGGGTCATTGGGATTTAAAGTAGCCTAATTTGATCATCTTATATGTCTAGTGAAATAGGTTATCTTTCACAGTTTTACTTGTCTTTTCACAGCTATTTCTTCCTATTGAGACTATGTTGTCATTCTGTTAATTTGATCATGATTCGTGAGCCTTAAATTGTTTCATCAGAATTTCGAGTTGTAGTTCTCGTTGAGTGTTATGGAATCTTTGCTAATCTGTGTTCGTTTCTGAAATTTTTTTGCAGACATTTAGCCAATTGTGTGCCTTTGATTATTTAACCAAATCTGTGCAAATATATAAAGCTCCCTGGTATATTCAAGACAAACCTAGATTCGGATACCGCGGTCTGCTAATAGGTAATAAGTCCATAGCTTTTTCTCTCCCTTGCTTTCATTTCCATCACATGGAAAGATAATGTAATCATGTGCTGCCTATTACTTACTACTTATTCCATTTGCAGATACATCAAGACATTATTTACCAATTGATGTTATTAAGCAAATAATTGAATCTATGTCCTTTGCCAAACTTGTAAGGAATCATGCTTGTTTTTTGAGGATACACAAAGTTGAACTTTCTTTCAAGATTTATCTGATATCCAATTTCTTGCCTTTTTTTTTTTTCCCATGGGCGGTTATGTGAGGTAGAATGTCCTGCATTGGCACATTGTAGACGAGCAATCATTTCCTTTTGAAACTCCTACATATCCTAATTTGTGGAAAGGAGCTTATTCGAGATGGGAACGTTATACAGTTGAAGATGCCTCTGAGATTGTCAGGTAATGGCTTGTAGTTTTGTATGCTAAAGAAGTAGCTTATTTATTCCAACCCTCCATGCATATTTGATCATTTGAGTAAATGGTTTTATCATCTATTCTTCCACTTACTAATATGTTTTGATTTTTTATTTTTCCTTTTTGTGTTTCATGGCCTGTTTGTGATTTCCAATGTGAAGGTTTGCCAAAATGAGAGGTACTTATTTACTAAATATGGAGCCCAACATGATTTTTATGTCAAGCAACTCCGAATAGTTTAAGCTTCTCATGGTTGAGATATTGATTGCAGGTATTAATGTCATGGCTGAAGTAGATGTCCCTGGCCATGCGGAATCGTGGTAAGAATATTAAGAATTTGAAATTGTTTTCATCTTAATGTCACATATTTCTAGTCAAGATTTTTTTTTAATATCCCAGTAGCATAGGACCATAAGTTTCTAAGATTTGAAAAGAAAAACAAATGTGGCTATACTTTGGGTTACTATACTCCTAAAGCTTAAGAAGAAGTTATGGTGTATGGGTTTAAGGTATCATTATCTTCATCGTTGCTTTTTGGGCTATTTTATAGTTTTCACTTGGTTTACTGATACAACTGTCGTCTTTGAGCGTATGGTTTGCTTTCAATGCAGGGGAACTGGATACCCTGATCTTTGGCCGTCTCTGTCTTGCCGAGAGCCCCTTGATGTTACTAAAAATTTTACATTCGATGTGATTTCTGGCATTTTGGCAGGTCTACTTTAAGTAGTGTACACATTTGAAACATTGCTCCTTTCCTAGTTTTCTAATCCAATTAGTAACAATCTTGTAAAGAAGAGTTAAGCTTATAGAGATGAGGGAAAAGGTTATTAGGAAATGTCTTGCATCTTAATTTGTGTAGATTCTCATATTTTCTCTTCCATCTTGGTTTGTAACAGATATGAGAAAGATATTCCCATTTGAGCTTTTCCACTTGGGTGGTGATGAAGTTAACACAGGTTAGTTGTTTAACACCTGAAATCCCTGCTTCCATTTCATTTAGCTATTTGTTTTCGCTTCTCTTAAGTGCTTCGCTGATCGGTTTCTTGTCTGGCAGATTGCTGGAAAAACACAACTCATGTTAAAGAATGGTACAGTCCTGACTCTCCCACTGTTATCTTGTTGATCATTATACGAGCTAATACTATTTAAGTTAGTCAATTGATATGAAAACTCTTGCTTCTTTATCACATTCACTTTCCCCTTTTGCTTGATATGTTCATCATTCTTAACTGCAGGCTTCAGGGTCGCAACTTCACGACTAAGGATGCATATAAATACTTTGTACTCCGAGCGCAACAGATAGCTATATCGAAAAATTGGACACCTGTCAACTGGTACAATTTTTGAGAGAAATTGCATTATCTGTCAAGTTCTTTAGTTCCTTTAACAAACACTAGATTGATTCAAACTTATAGAAATCTGATTAATGGAAAATGGGGTTTCAGTTCAACCTTTATAAAATTCTATTTTGTTTGGCTTCGAAGACCAAAAGATTGACACGAATACTGTGAATACTATGTAATGATCCCAGGGAAGAAACCTTCAGTTCCTTTGGAAAAGATCTTGATCCGCGGACTGTGATTCAAAACTGGTAAGATCATACAGTACCATAGAAAAACAGAAATGTTCGTCTCTTGTCATAGTTTTTTCATGATACATGTCAAAACGGCTCTCTAAATCTCGTTGCAGGCTAGTGTCTGATATATGTCAAAAAGCGGTAGCAAAAGGATTCAGGTGCATTTTCAGTAACCAAGGATATTGGTACCTCGATCATCTAGATGTACCATGGGACAAGGTTTATAACACCGAGCCTCTAAATGGAATCGAGGATCCTTCTCTCCAAAAGTTGGTTATCGGAGGAGAAGTTTGCATGTGGGGTGAAACAGCTGATACATCCGTTGTCCTTCAGACCATTTGGCCGCGTGCTGCAGCAGCTGCAGGTAACTCTACATGATCTTTAATTGGTCTCAGTTTGGATTTGGTTTGGTTTTGTTTAACTGCTCATCTCTACTCTATTTTCTCCTAAATCGTTGGTGAAACAGAACGGATGTGGAGCACCAGAGAGGCCGTCTCAAAGGGGAACATAACGTTAACCTCATTGCCACGTCTACACTATTTCAGATGTCTACTGAATAACCGCGGAGTTCCAGCAGCTCCAGTCGATAACTTTTACGCAAGAAGACCGCCCTCGGGACCTGGTTCTTGCTATGCTCAGTGATCCAAAACATTTCTTCTCATTGTACTATATGTAATGTACGTGTCTCGTCTGAAATCTGGTTTTGCTTTTTTATTCTAAACTGTGTGCTTTTCAATTGCTCAAATCAAATTTGGCTTTACGTTTTTTTCCCTTGCAACAAGAGTCTGAAATTACGATCTAAACACACGTCGCTCTTACCACATTGTTAATTACAATAAAATATTTGACTTTGTAGACATTAGAAAAAAAGATTCCTCACTATTGTAATATTTGTTTGTCGACCGGTCTTATATAATACTACATAATGTTGAAATATGAACTAGCAAAACGACATGGATAGAATATTAAACCTGTTATGGATTTTAATCTCATTAGAATTTGGTGTGTTTTTACGTATACTTTCATGAGTAACATGTTCTAATTTATTACGTTTCTAATTTTTTTTTTTTTTTTTTAATTTACGTTTCTAATTTTAGAAAACGGTTAGCGTTTAAAACACTATACATTAGTTTCATATGAAAGCAGACGTTTTATTTTACTATATCATCGTAAATGTTAAGCTCAAATACGAACTTAGTCAAGTCCCATATTCAGCCGTGACGTTTTTGTTAAATAATGATAGTAGCAAGCTATATGTAGTTCAGGATTTTTCTTAGTATTAAATGATTTTCGTAGAGACATCTCTATAGCATTGTGGAAAAAACAATATACATGATATATAATTGCATTGACGAGGACGTGTAGGTTACAAATATTGACCAAAGAAGAACATCATCTATAGCGACTGCGTCCTTAAATTCTCAAGAAAATCCAACGTTAGATTATATCACATTAAAATTATCTGGTCTCTTGACTAGTTCTACTCTTATCTTTTCTAACAAACAATTTCATGGGTATTTACTAATTCGCTTTCCAATAGTTTTAAAGTCGTTGATTCCATTGGATTGTGCGTGGTTCAAGGTGGTGTATATTTTCATTTTTAGTACAAGAAAGAGGTTTCTAGAGAAAGTTCTAAAATATATTAGAACTAATAGGATAAATATTCCATGCCTAAAATTCGTGTAACATTTAAGGTAATAAGTAAATTTGATGCCTAAAATATGTGATCATACGTTGACTAATGAGGCATATTTTGGAATGACTGCATACGCCATACGGTGCCTGGTCCAACACATGGACGTCTATTTTTTTTACTAATTATTATGTTATTCAAACCACTAACATTATGATTCGAAATTTCGAGTGGTGATATTGTTAGATGTGATGTGAATGATGCGGTATAAAATAGTTGTGATAAATTGGTACTGGCATAACCAAATATATAGTACTATACTACTATAGTAGTGACAGATAAAAACGATAGAGACTATTAGATAAACTAAATAATGATAAAACTTTAATTAGTAGTTAACGTTACAGCGATTAAGATCGAATAGTAGAATTCTTTTTTTAGTACTTAGTGCCCACATACACGATACAACCACAATTTTTTTGTTCTATTGCAGTCATATCAAAACAGCTTATCGTTCCAAAACATGATTGATAACACAATCGTTTCATTCATAGTATTAGTAAATGTAATTACTATTCAAAATTTAAAGCCAGTAGTTAAAATAAAACAAAGGAAATAGTATCTGTTTCAATTTTATGCAATTTGTTTTTTGTTTTCATGGGGAAAATTGGAAAAGTCTTTTTTTATTTTCCTCCTAGTGAGAAGACATAATAAATTAATATTGCAAACAAGACAAAAATAAAGAATAAATAAAACAACAATCATTACTATCAAATCAATTATCACAGGGAAAAGTTATTAAGAAATGTCTACCAATGAGTATTATTATCATCATGCTTTTTAGACCCTTCTTTTAATTCATCATCAAGATTTATGAAGTCATGTTTATAACTTTTGAAGTAAAATTCAAATGAATCAATTCTGCATTTTGTTTTCCACTTTGTAACGATAAAAACTCAAATCTAAATTATTTAGTTATTTTTTAGACGAATTAGAATTTTATTTATTTAAGTACCAGATGAAACTACAGAAAAATAATTGATACTACTATTGTTTTGAATTTTGATATATGTACTAAAACGTAAATAAATAAATAAAAAATTTAGAATTGTTTTATGGTAATTAATTTTGATTCAAAAGAATAATTAATGCTTTGATTAGTATGAATTTATTACCATCAGTTTACAAGTATATGTGAAACTACACATAAGAAAAATAAGACTGAATAAATTGAAGTAACATATATATATATATATATATATATATTTTTTGTAAATGTAAATTAAAAACATCCTAAATCCCAAGGTAATTACTATAATTACTTTTAATGTCAAAGACTCAAAATTTAAAGTAGAGTTAAAAACCGTAAAACATGATCAAACCACAATTTATTATCTTTGACAAGCAATAAATGAAATGCTGACAAATTGGTTTCAAAGTTTCAACGCGTTTCTATAAGAATTCAATTTCGTGCAGCTAATCAGGAGATAATTATCATAATTAAATTAATCGTTACTTTATAACACTAATAAAATACTCCAATAAATAATAATCGAAAACGAATTTATTTTAATTTTTAATAAAGAATTACTGCTTCCTCCCACTTCCCATCTTTCCTTTTGTGTTCTTCTTCTTCTCCTCCTTCGCTTTGTTGCCCCAATCTCTCTCTTCTCTCTCTCTCTCAAGAAAAATAAAAGATCTAACTTTGACGGCTCTCTTAATCTTCCTCACTCCGTAAGTTCCAAATCTCTCTCCTTTTTCTCATATCTATATCGTCCGAACAAAACCCAGGAGAATTGCTTCAGCCCTTTTTTGGTTTTTTATCATTTTTCAGATTCTCAGTTTCTGTTTCCGTTTATAAGGTTCTGGGTTCAGTTTCTGTATTGGTCTTATTGAATTTGCTTATTCATTTTGTTACGGAGTTGTTTTCGTCGCTTGAATCCCGTATGGTCACATGGTAGCTGAATTTGTTAATTCTGATGTTGTTTTGCGTTTTCTTCTTTTGCAGTTTGGTTATGTTGTCTTTGATCTGATACTGGGTTCTTCTCGCTTCATCTATTTTGGTTTGTTTTAGGGTTTAAAGTCGGAACATAGACTGAGGGATTCGTGAGAGCTTGATGGTTTATTGTTAGAATCTCAGATGTGGATTTAAGCCTTCACTGAACTAACGAGTCTATGGAAGAAGCAAAAATCCTTGGTATACAGTATCTGTTGTGAGGAATTTGGGGGATAAAGGTGAAGTCTTTGCGTGTGTAATCTTGAGATAAGATTGGATGGTGGGAAGAGAAGATGCGATGGGGAATGATGAGGCTCCTCCTGGTTCTAAGAAAATGTTTTGGCGGTCTGCCTCTTGGTCTGCTTCACGGACTGCATCACAAGTTCCTGAGGGTGAGGAGCAAAGTCTCAACATTCCCTATGCAAATAGTTCTGGGCCGAGCCGAAGATGCCCAGCGGCTCCTTTAACACCTCGTTCACATCATAACAGCAAGGCTAGAGCTTGTTTGCCACCATTGCAGCCTCTTTCCATTTCTAGGAGGAGCTTAGATGAGTGGCCTAAGGCGGGCTCCGATGATGTCGGTGAGTGGCCTCATCCACCAACACCTAGCGGGAACAAAACCGGGGAGAGATTGAAGCTCGATTTATCATCAACGCAGCAGCGGGTCTCAGATAAGAGCTCTGGTCTAGCTAAGAGGGAGAAGATTGCTTACTTTGATAAAGAATGTTCAAAGGTTGCTGATCATATATATGTGGGTGGAGATGCTGTGGCGAAAGACAAGAGCATATTGAAAAACAATGGAATCACGCATATCCTAAACTGCGTTGGTTTTATCTGTCCGGAATATTTCAAGTCTGATTTTTGTTACAGATCCTTGTGGTTACAGGATAGTCCGTCAGAGGATATAACTAGTATTCTGTACGATGTGTTTGACTACTTTGAAGATGTGAGGGAGCAAAGTGGAAGGATCTTTGTTCATTGTTGTCAAGGGGTTTCACGATCTACCTCGTTGGTAATAGCATATCTGATGTGGAGAGAAGGGCAAAGTTTTGATGATGCATTTCAGTATGTGAAGTCTGCTAGAGGTATTACTGATCCTAACATGGGATTTGCTTGCCAATTGTTACAATGCCAAAAGAGGGTTCATGCGTTCCCCCTTAGCCCTACTTCCTTACTTAGAATGTACAAAATGTCTCCACACTCTCCTTATGATCCTTTGCATCTTGTTCCAAAACTGTTGAATGATCCATGCCCGTCTTCTCTGGATTCAAGAGGTGCATTTATCATTCAGTTACCTTCTGCAATTTACATTTGGGTTGGTAGGCAGTGTGAAACCATCATGGAAAAAGATGCAAAAGCTGCTGTTTGTCAGATTGCTCGATATGAGAAAGTCGAAGCACCTATTATGGTGGTCAGAGAAGGCGATGAGCCTGCTTATTACTGGGACGCTTTTGCAAGCATTTTGCCTATGATTGGGGGCTCGGTAATTAAAGTTCAGCCAGGTGACAGGAAGGTCGACGCATATAATCTGGATTTTGAGATTTTCCAGAAAGCCATCGAGGGAGGTTTTGTGCCAACTATAGCATCATCCAACAACGAACATGAGACTCATCTTCCTGCAAGGGAAAACAGTTGGAGCTCACTGAAATGTAAGTTTGCATCAAGGTTTGAGAAGGGTTTTCGGTATGTCTCCAAAACGCCACTATCTAGGGTCTATTCTGATTCGATGCTGATCGTGCATTCATCAGGCTCACCTTCGTCTACAACTTCTTCGTCATCCACTGCGTCGCCTCCTTTTCTTTCTCCTGATTCTGTATGTTCAACAAATTCAGGCAATAGCTTAAAGAGTTTCTCACAATCCTCTGGGCGCTCGTCCTTGAGACCTTCTATTCCACCATCGTTGACATTGCCCAAATTTTCCAGCCTATCTCTCCTCCCTTCCCAAACTTCTCCTAAAGAATCTGGTGGTGTCAATAATTTTCCACAGCCTTACATTGAACCGTCACCAAATAGAAAGGCTTCACCTTCTCTTGCAGAGCGTAGAGGCAGTCTCAAAGGATCTCTAAAGTTGCCAGGTTTGGCTGATTCCAACAGAGGCACACCTGCTTTTACTTTACATCCGGATGATAGTAATGACATAGTCTTTAACTTGGAGGGTATTAGAAATGGCGATCTAAATCCACCAAGTGATTGCAAGGGGACAAGTGCAGATTCAGATTTGGCACAGAAGGAAATTATATCCTTAATCAGTTGCAGTAAATCTGACAGACACAAATCGGGAGGTGATAACTCGGGCCAGCCTTTAGCATGTCGGTGGCCAAGTATGGAGATGATTACAAAACTGAGTAGAGCTTACTTAGATTCAGAATCTGTTATAGCAATCCCGTTGCCAAGTGATGCCGTAGGAGAAACGGGTAGTAGGATTTTGTACATTTGGATAGGAAAGTCATTCTCTTTGGATAACAACTGTTCTCTAATAGATAGCAACAAAGCGGCGGACACTGTGGAGAATGTTGATTGGGTACAGATTGGTGAATCCATTTTGTCTCAGATGGACTTGCCAAAAGATACCCCTATAAAGGTAATAGCCAAAACTTGGGATACTCTGATACTTTTTACTTGTTTTAAAGTCTGCGTGTTCATCTTTGTCATGTCTTATCCAACCAAACTACATTTGAAGATGAAAATTACAATCTCAGCACTCTCATTACTGAGGATGGTTAGGTAGATTCCTTATGATTTCAGCAGTTGTATGTACTGGTTTATTCTCTAGTTGTTTGCATGGTTCCAAGTTCCAACTTGTTATGATCCTTTTGTCGTTTGTAGCTGATTTGCTTCTCTTTTTGTTCACAGATAGTTAGGGAAGCTGAGGATCAGACAGAGTTTCTTGCACTGCTGAGTGCGCTATAGCACCCACCCGCAAGCTCTACACATTTACTCTGTTTTTTTTTTTTTTTTTTTTTCACAGATTCCTTCAACCGCAACACTTTTCCATTTCCAGACAGAGTATTCATTCAGCTCAGGTGAGAAATTTCAACAATACGTTATCTTCACAGTTGCCTCCCAATACAACCCATTTTGATTGTTAGTTGTGGATTACGTTTTTTGCTATCTGATCATGGATTTGAGTAGAGGATGGTTGGAACAAAAAAGCTCGAATGACTGGTTTACCAAATTCTCATAAGCTATATTTGATTCTTTTGATTTACCTATGATGCAGGGATCTAGCTCTCTGTGCTTATGGAAGTTGATGTTGGGGGAAACAACTCTCTTGTACAGTGAGAAAAAACAAACTACTACTTCTATCACATCAAATCCTCAAGGGCCATTATTAGCATGATCAGATTATAAAGTTGTAAGATTAGGGCTTTATGAGGATTTTAATGGACGTGTTACAATGTTTACATATACACTCAGTACAATAGATTTTTGTTAAACTTACTTCACGTTATCTAATGATTCATGTGACATGTTTTACTCAAAACTCATAAACCAACATTCTAATCACGATTTGGAGTTTGGTTTGGAACCTTGTACACCAACACAAGCATCAATTATCCATTCTAGTTTTCAGTTCAGTTTCTTGTATTTGAATTTTCTTTTTATATTCCACCAAACATAATGTTGCGTTCTATTAATGATGATTTGCATTGAAAAGTAAAACTGTAAAAGGGTCATAATAATCAAATCTAATGGATTGTTCAGCGTGAAATGATCAGATTCCAATTGGGCTTGTAATCAGTTGCCAGAGAAAGCCCAATTATATATTTAAGGCCCAAAAGTAATCGATCTAGGGTTTACTTTCGCTTTTGTTTCATTTTTCACATCCCTTAGAATAAATAAAAACCACCAGCAACTTGAAGCTGTTCTAGGGTTTCTGTTTCGCCGCTCAGGTTCGTCCGTCTCTCGATCTCCTTGCTCTTACTTTCTTCGTTTTCTGGGTATCGAATGATGTTGTTAACTGTTTCTGAATACAATTAATTTTGCGTCATTTTCTCCTTCTCTGGGAAAATTTGTGTATTTCTTTACGTTGTTGATTGATTTGAACCTCTTTGTTTTTGTTAATTGCTATCACTTTATTTACTGATTTGCTTTTCTGGGTTTAGCAGGTTTCGTGAAAAGAATCTATCTTGAGTAATGTCTCCAGCTAAAGGTGCGGCCTTTTTTTTTCATTTGTTATCTGATTTGATTCTACATCGTCTACGAGTTTTCTATTTCTCTTTTGCGTGTAATTACAATTTGTTTACCAATATTCAGTACTGTGGCTGAACTTACTACTGTACTATCTTTCTGAAATGTATGATTTCATGCCTTGCTCTGTTTATGTCGTATTTTGATCTTCTCTTACCCGTGCCTACTCTCTTATGGATTCATCTGATTATGTGCTTGTTTGTCTGTGATTTGCCAAGGATCATAATTTTCTTATATGAGTTGTTTATTTTTTTGAGTCTGAGCTTGTTAAATGCGAAAATGTATATGCATCTTTGAATGAGTTTTTGTTACCAGCAGTATCTTCGTGGCAATGTTTAATTTCTCTCACGTGAATTCAGTTTCTCAAAACTTTCTTAATTGGTTCAACGTTCCATTGTTTTTGCAGTTGATGTCACCAAGAAAGCCGACCCTAAGGCTAAGGCTTTGAAAGCTGCGAAAGCAGTGAAATCTGGCCAAATCCTTAAAAAGCCTGCTAAGAAGATCAGGACAAAGGTGACTTTCCACAGGCCAAAGACATTGACCCTTCAGAGGAATCCTAAGTACCCAAGGATCAGTGCTACTCCAAGGAACAAATTGGATCACTACCAGATCCTCAAGTACCCTCTCACCACCGAGTCTGCCATGAAGAAGATCGAAGACAACAACACCTTAGTCTTCATTGTTGACATCCGTGCTGACAAGAAGAAGATTAAAGATGCTGTCAAGAAGATGTATGACATTCAGACCAAGAAAGTCAACACCCTCATTAGGTAAACACTTCAGAAAACACAAAAACTTCACTGAGAGATGATGGGTTTATATGTATAATATAAACATGAAATGATAAATGTATTGTTTGTTTGCAGGCCCGATGGAACGAAGAAGGCGTATGTGAGGTTGACTCCTGATTATGATGCTTTGGATGTGGCTAACAAAATCGGCATCATCTAAATTTAATCATCGATTTCACTTTTGGGGTTGAAACAGACTTCTGGTTATTCTCTTCCATAGTCTCAGTTTTGCTAGAGAAATTAAGATATTACTATCATCTCTTTGTTATGCTTTATCTTTTGGATTCAAAAAGATTATATGTTTTGGTATTTGTTGATGCGTCATAGTTTCTTTTTGGATGTGAATTGTTTCCAATCCATAATGCGACTTCTCTGATCCCGGTTTAACCTGGTTTAATCGTACCTTCATAATTCAAACCCAAAATTGAAATTCAATTGAGCCATTGGACCCATTTCTTTATTTAGATACTTTTCAACTACAATATAGAAATGTTCATTGTGGAGCCCAATCGGTCCGCGAGTAACTCGTGGTTACAAACTTACAATAGACTTATAATATATAAAATTGTTGTTGACGAAAAACGACAGAAAGAATCATTTGCGTTTTAAACTATTGACAGGATATATAATAATAATAAGGATAACAAAAATAAAATCATTAAAAACGAATCAGTTAGAGTGTCACGTTAAATAGTCGATCAGGTGAAGGATTAAATATCGAACACTCTTCTTCTTCTTCTCCATCGAAGACACACAGTGAAAACAATATGAGCAATCATCAAACTGTGAGTTACATTTTTCTCTCATTTCCTATCTTTCTTTTTTATCTTCAAAACTCATCAGATAACCATTTGTGGCGATGGATAACATCATTCTCCAAATTATGTTTTCTTCTTTATCATATGATTCCATGGAGATTACGATTCGTTTGTTTCTGTCTTTTTAATCCGAAATTACTTGATTTTTGTTTTTTTTTGGAGAGAAGCAGGTGTTGAAGCAATTGGAGCCATGGTGTGAGCTTAAAGACAAAGTGGTTCTTGTGACTGGAGCTTCCTCTGGTATAGGAAGAGAGATCTGTCTTGATCTTGCCAAAGCTGGTTGTAAGATTATTGGAGCAGCTCGTCGTGTCGATCGTCTCAACTCTCTCTGCTCCGAAATCAACAGCTCCAACTCAACCGGGATCCAAGCTGCAGCTCTTGAGCTAGACGTTTCATCAGATGCAGCCACCATTCAAAAAGCGGTAAGGGAAGCTTGGGACATCTTTGGAAAGATCGATGCGTTGATCAACAATGCCGGAGTCAGTGGCAATGTCAAGTCGAGTTTGGATTTGTCCCAGGACGAATGGGACAACATCTTCAAGATCAACTTAAGGGGACCTTGGTTGGTATCCAAATATGTTTGTGTTTTATTGCGTGACGCTAAAAGAGGTGGCTCAGTGATAAACATCTCCTCGATAGCCGGGGTCCGCGGTAGCACGCCCGGTGGACTTGCTTACGCTTGTTCCAAAGGCGGTGTTGACACCATGTCAAGGATGATGGCAATTGAGTTAGGTGTTCACAAGATCAGAGTGAACTCGATCGCGCCGGGGCTTTTCAAGTCTGAGATCACACAAGATCTTATGCAAAAGGAATGGCTCAAGAATGTGACCAAGAGGATTGTGCCGCTAAAGATGCAACAGACCGTTGATCCAGGGCTTACTTGTCTCGTTCGCTATCTCATTCATGACTCTTCTCAATATGTATCCGGGAATACATACATTGTTGATTCCGGATCTACATTGCCCGGTGTGCCCATTTTTTCATCTCTCTGAAATGTGGCATATCTTATCTTGTGCTTGTGCAATAATAAGTGAATACATTTACACATTCTCTACTATTTTTTAAGTTTTACATACATCGTCTTCTAGTTTTCTATTTCTCTTTTGCGTGTAATTACTTTGATTATCAATTTTCAATACTGTGACTGAACTTACTACTGTACCAACTTTCTGAAATGTATGATTCATGCCTGTCTCTGTTAAAGTCGTATTTAGATCTTCTCTAACTTGTGCCTATTGCGACCTTTCTCTTGTTATGGATTCATCTGCTCATGTACTATGATTTGCCAAGGATCAAAAGTTTCTTATATATGAGTTGTTTTTTGAGTCTGAGCTTGATATGGTATTGCCATTGGTTTTGCATTTGATGTCACCAAGAAAGCCGACCCTAAGGCTAAGGCCTTGAAAGCTGCTAAAGCAGTGAAATCTGGCCAAGTCTTTAAAACAGCCGGCTAAAAAGATCAGGACAAAGGTGACTTTCCACAGGCCAAAGACATTGACCCTGACTAGGAATCCTAAGTACCCAAGGCTCAGTGCTACTCCAAGGAACAAATTGGATCATTACTAGATCCTCAAGTACCCTCTCACTACTGCGTCTTCCATGAAGAAGATCGAAGACAACAACACGTTAGTCTTCATTGTTGACATCCGTGCTGATAAGAAGAAGATCAAAGATGCTGTCAAGAAGATGTATGACATTCAGACCAAGAAAGTTAACACCCTCATTAGGTAAACACTTCAGGAAACACAAAAACTTCACTGAGATGATGGGTTTATATGTATAATCTAAACATTGAATGATGAATGTATGTTTGTTTGCAGGCTGGATGGAACGAAGAAGGCGTATGTGCGGTTGACTCCTGATTATGATGCTTTGGATGTGGCTAACAAAATCGGGATCATCTAATTTGATCATCGTTGCTCTGTGATTTCACTTTTGCGGTTGAAACAGACTTCTGGTTTTTCTCTTCCATAGTCTCAGTTTTGCTAGAGAGTAGAGAAGTTAAGATATTACCATCATCTCTTTGTTATGCTTTTATCTTTTGATTCAAAAAGATTTATATGTTTGGTATTTGTTGATGCGTCATAGTTTCTTTTTAGATCTTTTTCCAATGCGAACTCACTGATCCCGGTTTAATCTGGTTTAAATCGTACCTTCATAATAACCAACTCAAAATTCAATTGAGCCGTTGGAGAAAAGAAAAGTAATTATCAATTTATTTAAAATACTCTAAATCAATAATCCAATCGATCCGCGAGAATCTCGTGGTTACAAATTAATAAACTTAATACTAAATGAATTATTGTTGCTTGTTGCCGAAAAAAGACAAAAAAAATCATTTGCGTTTTTAAAAACGTCGGTATTGAACTGACAAAAAAAGAAAGAAATCGGATATCTATAATCATAAGGATAACAAATAAATAAAATCATCAAACCTAATTTGTTTCGCACTAATCAGTTAGAGACAATGGCACGTTAAATTGTCGATCTGGTAATGGAGAAGGCTTTTACATGTAGTAGACAGAGACAATGGCACGTTAAATTGTCGATCTGGTAATGGAGAAGGCTTTTACATGTAGTAGACAGAGTGTTAATTAGGACTTAGATCCTACGGATTGGGCATAAACAGTCCTTTGTTATGGGACGTGTTCGAGTTGGTATCTCTAGAACCGCGGTCTTTGGCAGATGGATCACATTAAATATATCTTTTGACACTTCTATTTATACCTTAAGTTATGTTATGTTATGGGCTTCCTCTTATCCATCGATACACAGAGAAAACAATAATATGAGCAATCATCAAACTGTGAGATACATTTTTTTTTCTTTCTTTTTTATCTTTGTGCTATCTTCTTTATCATATGATTCCATGGAGATTATGAATCGTTTGTTTCTGTCTTTTTAATCTGAAATTACTTGATTTTAGTTTTTTTTTTTTGGAGAGAAGCAGGTGTTGAAGCAATTGGAGCCATGGTGTGAACTTAAAGACAAAGTGGTTCTTGTGACAGGAGCTTCCTCTGGTATAGGAAGAGAGATCTGTCTTGATCTTGCAAAAGCTGGTTGTAAGATTATCGCAGCAGCTCGTCGTGTCGATCGACTCAACTCTCTCTGCTCTGAAATCAACAGCTCCAATTCAACTGGAACCCAAGCCGCAGCTCTTGAGCTAGACGTTTCATCAGATGCAGCCACCATTCAAAAAGCGGTAAGGAAAGCTTGGGACATCTTTGGAAAGATAGATGCGTTGATCAACAATGCCGGAATCAGAGGCAATGTCAAGTCGAGTTTGGATTTGTCGGAGGACGAATGGGACAACGTCTTCAAGACTAACTTAACGGGACCTTGGTTAGTATCTAAATATGTTTGTGTTCTAATGCGTGACGCTAAAAGAGGTGGCTCGGTGATAAACATCTCATCGATTGCCGGGGTCCGCGGTATCTTGCCTGGTGGACTTGCATATGCTTGTTCCAAAGGCGGTGTTGACACCATGTCAAGGATGATGGCAATTGAGTTAGGTGTTCACAAGATCAGAGTGAACTCGATTGCGCCGGGGCTTTTCAAGTCAGAGATCACACAAGGTCTTATGCAAAAGGAATGGCTCAAGAATGTGACCGAGAGGACTGTGCCGTTAAAGGTGCAACAGACCGTTGATCCAGGGCTTACTTCTCTCGTTCGCTATCTCATTCATGACTCTTCTCAATATATATCCGGGAATACATACATTGTCGATTCTGGAGCTACATTGCCCGGTGTGCCCATTTTTTCATCTCTCTGAAAGTTGAACCCTGTATCTTGTGCTTATGCAATAATAAGTGAATACATTTACACATTCTCTACTATTTTTTAAGCTTTACATACATCATCCATGTTTTTGCAACAACAAACCAGCATAGACAAATAAAGGAAAGATAAATAAACAGCCTCCAAAATGATTTACCAACCTCCTAAAATCTTCGGATTCAATAGACAAAATCGATATACTTTGGAGAACGAAGCAATGACCATGACCTACTTCTGATGCTTCGTCTCCAAAAAAGAATAAGCAGCTCGAAGACCATGGAAATCTACATCTACAGGCCCTATCTGCTAGAGAACTAACCGTGGTTGTACAGTTTTGTTTGAACATCTTGTATCCCTCCCGACTCCCGAGAATCATTGATCAGAGATGCCAAAATCATTATCATTGATGGAGCCTTAAAACTCTATATCAGTCGATGTTGGCGTAGACCTTTACCAAAATGTGGTTGCATCAAACGTACATACAATCCATTCTTTGCTGCTAAAGAATCATGTGTACCTTCCTCTACTATCCTCCCTCCATTGAGCACCACAATGTTATCCACATGTCTCATCATAGCCGCTCTATGCGCTATCAGAATTGTTGTTTTGTTCCCCATTATCAATGTGTCAAGAGCCTCCTGCACAACCCGACTCGATTCAGATTCGATAGCCGAGCTGGCTTCATCTATTAAGATAATGGGAGCATTCTTCAGCACTACCCGTGCTATTGCTATTCTCTGTTTCTGTCCCGGGGTAAGTTCTACCCCTCTCATCCCGATATGTGTGTCGTAACCGTGAGGTAAGCTGCTGATGAAATGGTGAGCATTAGCAATTCTTGCTGCTTCCTTCATCTCAGCTTCACTTGCATTATGCCTTGCATATATGATATTCTCTCTGATCGTCGTGGAAAAGATTATGGGTTCTTGCTGAACCAAACCCATGTGGCTTCTCAACCATCTCAAATTATATAACTTTAAGTCTCTCCCATCTAGTAGGACTTGACCAGCAACTGGGTCGTAGTATCTCTCTACCAGTGAGATTATTGTGCTTTTTCCAGAACCTGAAACGCCAACTACAGCTACTGTCTGTCCACCACTGACTTTGAGACTGAAGTTGCTCAGCACTAGTACTTCGGGTCGAGTTGGGTAGCAGAAGTCTATGTTTTTCAATTCAATGCTTCCGTAGACATTAGGCGGTTTGAGAGCAGAGTTATCATCTGGTTCAATTGTAGGGACTCGATCTATGATTTCAAACACTGAAATCAGAGACTTGCGTCGCTTGAGAATATATGGTGCTAATCCAAATGGCTCGACAAGGGCGAATGTAGCAAATGAGAAAACCATGTACTCTGTTATAGCTGTTGATAACTTCATATATCCACGGTTGACAGATAACGCAGTGCACCATAGGAGGAGCGCATTGCAGGCGAAAAGAAGAAACTGTGAAAAACCAAACGCAAAACCAATAGCCATCCCATGGAGATAGCTCTGTCTGAGGATCCGCTGGAGTTGCATCCTGTACAGTTCCATCACTTTGTTACCAGCACAGAAAGCAACAACAGTGTAGATGTTTCTAACAGCATCCTCGAGGACTAAAGATGCCTTTCTATGCATCTCCTGTATGCCTTTTGAGAATCCGGCAAGCCACAGTTTCTGCAAATTCGTTTTGAGGATGATTAGAAATGTGTGCCAGCTGAATAAACAAAACATTTTTGAGCTACGTGAATTGAAAGTAAAAATGCAGAGAACAAAGAGGTATATGCTAAATCACTCTACTTGAACTGGACAGGTATTGCAAAATCAGAAACACATGTGACAGAGGGGATAATGAAGACAAATTGACTAAAATATAATATTAAATTTCAAACAATTTTCTAGAAGAAACAATGCAAACCTGAGCAATGGCAGAAAGAGTGAGAATTGGCAGAGTTGCCAATGCAACAAGGGCCAAACGCCAACCAAGCGCCAACCCGATAAGAAGAGCAACTATAACAGCAAAACTATCTTGAATAAATATTGAAAGCCTGTTGCTGAACGCAGCTCGGACAAAAGTAGCATCATTTGCTAAACGCATGGATAACGTATCTGGACTGTTCTCTTCATCATCGAACCATCCAACTTCATTACGCAGCATTGCTGTAACATCGGAGAGATTAATGAACTGAGGCAAGTAAAAGTAGTTAAAATGTAGTGAAGTAAATTATAATGAATAGAAATTTCCAACACCTGAGAACATCATCCTCCGAACTCTCTCTGTCATTTTCTCCCCCATTATCCCAAAATAGAAGTGCTGCAAGAAATTGGCAACAACTGTCACAATCCCCATGCAGGCAATGATTAAACACCATTTGTCAACCTCCTCGCGCAGGTGGCCTCCTTTGCTTTTATAATATGCCGTCACTACCAACGCAATGACATAAGCCAGAAGAGGATTGAAAGAACCAAAGATGGCAGCACCGAGACTTCCTAATACAGCATAAAGCCACTCTGGGAAACTAAGCTGTGCCAACCTCCAAAATGAAGGTGACTCCTTATGTTGAGCATCCTTAGACGCCTTACCATTTGCTGTAGTGTCATCAGGAGAACTAAGAGGACGACTAAACGTCTGCGAATGGGAACGCTCGTTTTTAGGATCTGATGTCAAAAGGGGTGAAACAGGGGACTCTGGCTCTGAGCCGTTTGATTTTTGTCGGGGACACTGAACGTCAATTTTCGGAAGGTCTGGTAACCTCATCTCGAAACTATCTTGCCTTTTGATAGTTGGCTCTTTATCAGCATCGTCCAGAGGCAAGCCATTTTCCCCCATTTTCTCAGGTGCAGGGCTATGATCTTTAGGTGATTCTTCAGTATCAAAACACAGTTCCTGGGGACGGAACACACCATTACCTCTTTGAAGAGATGGAGACTTGATCATTTTGGGTGATGATGGTTCTAGGACGCCACAGCCAGCTGAAGAGTCTCTCTCGACCTGAAACACCGCAGACTCCTTGTAGTTCCTAACTGGCATCCTGGACCAACATAAGAGTTTTTTCAACAAATAATCACCAAAAAATCCACACCTGGAGATCATTACAACAGAAAACAAATGCCCAAACATACATTCTGCCACATGACTACTACACGACTTAATGGTAAAGTTCTAAGCTATCATACCTTCTTGGAAGCTTTGTTGCTTCTTCACACTTCAGAAGCTCAGCATACAGCCCACCAAGATTTATCAATTCATCGTGTGTACCCATTTCAACGAGCTGACCCTCCTCCATCACGGCAATATAGTCAGCATTTTTTATCAAACTTAATCGTCGGGCTATTATTATGGTTGACCGTCCCAACATCAAAAGATCAAGAGCTTCCTGCACAATTCTTTCAGCTTCGAAGTCTAGTCCTCCAGTTACTTCATCAAGCAGAAGAATTGTTGGATTCAAAAGCACAGCTCTAGCAATCGAAAGTTTAATTTTCTGCTCCTCTGTCATTGTTAAACCGGCTCTCCCGACCTAGAAGAAAAACAAGGCATTTCCCACTTCAGTGTTGAATACCAACTGACAAAACAAGATTTTAGAACAGTCTTTTCAAATGATGTCTACCTGCGTTTCATATCCTTTTTCAAGTGAGCTGATAAATGTGTGTGCATGCGCAATTTTAGCTGCCTCCTCTATCTGATCAAGAGTAGCATCACGACCATACGCAATATTCTCTCTTATGCTCAAGCTTAGCAAAGCAGGCTCCTGAGTAACCAGCCCTATTTGGCTTCTCAGCCACTCCAGTTTTAGATTTTTAATATTTTCTCCATCAAGAAGAACTTCTCCTGTATAAGAGAAAACCACAGATTTAGTCAGCTCATAATTGCCACCATGGACAGGTGAGTGGTGCATCTTAAATCACAAGTCAAAGTACCTAATGTTGGATCATAAAACCGTTCCATTAAAGGAATGATGCTGCTTTTTCCAGAACCATTTCTACCAACAAGTGCAACTGCTTTTTTAGCAGGAACCGTGAGGTAAAATCCGCTCAAGATTGGAATTTCAGGTCGTGACAAATAACTGAAATATACATTCCGGAACTCAATATTTCCCTGAACAGAAGCTAGCACAGCTCCTTCTTGGTTAGCCACAGAAGATGAACGAGTTATCATCTCAAAAAGTCTATACGCAGCAATCCTTCCTTGATCAAAAGAATAGAAGTTCGTAGCAGCTTGATTTAACCCTCTGCCCAACAAAGTATGCATAATCAAGACATTATTTCTATGTAATAATATGTATCTATATATCTATATATATATATTACATGTATATGTAATAATAACATCAACAGAAAGTGTATATATATATATATGTAACAGAGATTGAGAAAATAGATATAGAAAAAAACATCAATAGAAAAGCTTACAGGCCACTTAAAATAACCGCAAAAAGAGCTGCTATGATTTCTCCACCATTTGCCCTTCCATTGTGAACAAAGATTCGTCCAATCCAAAGTTGCAGCGCACACGAGCATATAGCAAGCCCATAAGTAAACCCAAGTCCAAGGCCTTGCACAAGACTAATTAATATGCCGTATCTCAGGGTTGCTTGAAGGGAGGTTGCATAAGAATATTTTGCTAGAGTTTCATTTGTAAAGGCATATAAAGTCCTAATGTAAGAGATCGCCTGCACATTTAAGATAAATCCTTCTAAGAATTAGAATATTGACACCAGACTCTAACTGAGGCAGTAAACTAGCGTCGGAAGGGAGCACTAGAAAATGGGACCTGTAGGGTACACATTACAAAACCACTTGTAATCATGCATAGACTATTGAGTGTGGTGACTAGGCATTCCCAGTGATCCAATATCCAATTCATACAAGTTTCAAAGTGAATCGTGCATCCTAGCAAAACAAAAACAAGGCTATCCCTTGGTCGACATTTTGAAATGAAACTGGCAGAAGTTTAACTGATTATTGATCGCAGTAAACCTCATCGTATCTAGTGAAGTAACCTAGAAATTCGTGACTAAGTACAATCTTAACCCTCTTGGATTCTGCCTACCATTTTCTGAACTTAACAAAAGAAGATTGATTAAATAAGAGCAAAAAACAAGAAAAGATGTTGAACTTAGTAAAGCATAATTCTACGTTATAAATGCAGAAAAAGAAAGTTCATATCAAATGTTTTAAAAGTTTAGTTTTTAGCTTCCAGCGATCAAATTGGCACCAACAAATATCAAGTTTCGAATTGCGGCGAAAAGAAAATCTTGATACTAAATCCATAATCTCCGAATAAACTATCAATTGTATACCTGTTCAGCAATGCCGGCTGCTTCAGCATATGCATCTTGTATGTTCTCAGCAAGTCTGTGAAGAAATATATTTGATATGCCTCCAGCAGCAACGATGAAAGGACCAGTGGCTAGTGTAATCAATGCAATTTCCCAGCAGTTGACAAATCCAATAACAAGTCCACTGATAAACGTAGCCATGTTATGAATATAATTACCCACCTGGATCAGGAAGAAGATTAGAGAATTAGCAAAACAATATTACTCACTATGAACGAAAAAAACTAGAAATCAGAGTCAACATAAATGGAGCTGGACAGACATACTTTTTCGCTTAAAGCTGACTGAATGAGTAAGACATCGCTTAGAACTTGGCTCACAATATCTCCATTATTACCATACGTATCAAAGAAACTCATATCCTGATTCAATAATACTTGGACATACTTGGACCTGATCACAGCAGTCTGCCTCTCTCCCGTCAGTATCCAGCAAGACACCTCTATTATAAGAAACATTTAGTAATGGTAACTGTTAACATCATCATTTCAGTGTGGAAATAGATGCATACAACTAACTACGAACAATAAGCAAAAATCAACTTACCAATCCAACCAGAAATGAAAACACCTCCGGCAATGTACACGATAGTCAACGAAAGCTGCACAGAAAAATCAAGCAATTGAAATTTAACTGTTCAAAACACTCTCTCCAAACTAACTCAAACCAGCAATGCCAATTCCGAGCAAAACCATGAGTTTCCAGAAGTTTCACTAACCTCGACGAGTCGGTCAAACTGATGCTCAGATCTCTGCTGACTCGAATCATTAGAGAAAGCAAGAACATCAACAATCTTGGCGAAGTAATGCAAGTAGACAATAAGCGCAGTACCGTGAGCAGCAGCAGCAACAGAGCCAACAATCATAAGCCCCCAATCGAACCGGTCAGCGCAAGCGAAGAGCTGAGAGAAAGGAACAGCAGCAGGAGGTGGTTCAACCTCATCTTGCTCATCCATCTCTTCATCAGCCTCCGCTTGCGCCGCGGCGGCACCCGTGCCACCACCAGACTCAGCACCAGGGTCGAGATAAGGAGAAGGAGACTCAGGAGGCTCGGAGACTTCAGAGACTGGAGTTAGTGGTTGCATATGAGGCGGAGACCATCCGAATAAACCTCTAGAGATCATCATCTTCGGTGTCTCGGAAGAAGGAGCACCACACAACTACCTTCTGTGTAGAAAACCCTAGATTTTGAGATTTTTAGGGATTTTGATTTTTTTTTTTTTTTTTTTCTAAAATTAGCTGGATCTGTTGCTAAGTTTGTAGAGAGGACGAAGAGGAAGAAGAAGAATCGTAGCAGAAGAAATAATTTTCTTCCGCCTTTTTTTTTTCTTTTTTTTTTAATTAATTTTTATTTGTTTCCAATAATTTTGGTGAGAATTTTATTCTTTGTGTTGCCGTTGCAGTGTAAGTAGTGTGCCGTCACCTACCGTAACACAAGAGCTGGTTCTGCTAACGGTCACGGCGACTTCGATTTTGCATTTTTTTTTTAATAGATATTTTACTGGTGAGCTAATTATCAACTTCTTTTATAATAAAACATACCAGATTAATGGTTTTTTTTTTTTGCAAATTTTATGAGAATACAAAAGATGTAACGGATGATCTCTTTTTCTCTTTGTTTATATATAAGATGTTAGGAAAGAGTTGTTAGACATAAGACACAACAAATAACCATGTTTTTGTTTTTGTCTTTCAAACGAAACGTCATAGGAAACTTCTATTGATTATGAATTTTTCATAGTTCCTAACGAAATTTCACTCTGCCAACAGAAAAAGTCATCATTATAAAAGAACTTCGTTCAAATTTCCTTTTTTGAAGAAAAAAAACAAATGGTCATTATATACGAAGAAAGGAAATCATTAGAATTTTGTTTTTCGATGGAAAAAATGGTATTGGTTTTCTTTTTGATAAGGGAAAAAAGGAAAAGAAGAATGAACAAAGAATACAAAATCTGGTAGAGACAGAGTTACCAAACTAAACTTGATATTTTCAAACAGTACTGATCTTGGCCAAATTCTTTAATAGTCTGTTTGCTAGCTAGTCGGGACATAAGTAATTGTGCTTTTCAGGGGATCTTTGACTCTTGCATGACATGAAGCATAATTCTATATATATATACTAGTGGCTTAAGCAGAAAATTATAAGTTTACTAAGGATGCATATATTTTAACTGATATCAAAGCTGCTGTTCCTCTTGGTGCAATGTGTGTTACTACTTACTAGAGGAGAAAATGATTGTAGGGACTAGGGAAACTCCAGTCAAGGAAGCCAAGAGTTGGTCATCTCTACAACATCCCTGTGAAACTGTCTATCTAGTGCACAATGTGGTCCACATCTTCAGCTTTTTTTTTCTTTTCGAAAGACTAAGAAGCATGTATATCTAATTAAATGACATGATGCTAAAATTATCTATGAATGAGAGCTTCAGAATGAAATTAGAATGATCTACAAGCAAGGAAATTTACTTTGGCATAGCTAGAGGGCTAACATTTTCCATGAAGGGTCTGTGATGAAGGTTGAACATAGGGATATAAAGGCGAGTAACATGTTCCTTGATAATGGATCAACACAGAAATTTCGACTGGTTTGGAAAAGCTGAGCAATGATAAAAACACACATGAGCATTGGTATGCAGGAAACCATTTTTTATTGGCAGTGGCACTCTTATGTATTTGCATTGCAGAGGATACTGTATATAGCTCCCGAATACACGATGACTGAATAGCTTCGGTGTCTATAGCTTCGGTGTGGTTGGTCTTGAAATGACAGTGGAAAGAGTAACACAAGCTTCAAGCCAAGTGAGGACTTCGAGTGCCTTATTAATTAAATGATAGACATGACTAGAAGATTTATCATATAATTTCCATTATCCAGAGCCTTCTCTAAATTATCTATTATGTTAGTTTTTCATTTATCTAGGATTTTCCTTTTTTGAGTTTTTCTTTTTTTCTCAAAAGTTTTTGTAATTTCTGACTTTCTCGTAGCTGTAACATCAGAATTTATAAGCCCTTTCTGGTTAGTAGCTGAAGCTACAAAACTGTGACTAGAATTCAGATCATTTTGACCAAACAATATGTTGTAAGATGAAGTTAGGTTGAAAAACAGAGAGAGAGAGAGAGGTAAGAGGCAAGTCAAAGAGTATTGAATCTCTCTTACAGGAAAAGAATATTGTTAAGGGAAAGAGAGAAGAAGAATGGACAAAAATACAAGAAAATGGCCTTTTTCAAAACAAGAGATAACCAAACCAAACTTGATTATTTTCAAACAGTGATCTTGAAGGAATCTACCACAGTGTGAAGCCTATCTTTCATCTTCTCCCACCTCCTCTCATTCGCTCCCGTCGTCAGTGTGTAGAATTTTCCTGCACAGCAAAACGCCATTTCTCCATGAATCTTTTGAAACTCATTGGTTTGATGAGCATTGGATAGTGCAGTGTATATTAGATATGAATGTGAATTCATCATGGAGATGATATACCATTGAAAACCGTGATTGTACCCAGAGCATGGCGGGTGTAGTTTCTAGCCTGAACAGTGAACTCAAACTGGTAATAAGTCTTCCCATCGACATCATGCTGCAGCACTCGAAACAGAACCAAACAATCAAACCACTCTCTCTTATTATTACATTCAAGAGCATCCACTCGATGATCTATATATAGTCGAAAAAGTTTATCAAAAGGAGCAAATAACCTCTGATGCATCAATAAGGGTTGTTTTCTGATTTGGAGGTGCCAAAACTTTCTTTATCAGTGTTTCAGCTATCTGTAACCAAACCAAGTTCAATCATTAAAGAGAGTAAAAACAACAACAACAAAAAAGAGAAGAACATTACCTGCTTGGGAGGGCCAAATTCTTTAATAGTCTGTTTGCTAGTTGGGATCAAATTGACACTAACACTTTCTAAAGGCTCAATCACATCTTTGTATACCTTGTCTTGACCCTCAATCACAACTTCCTAAAACACATTCAAAACAATGAGACAAGACATTGTAATGAGTTAAAAAGTGGACAAGAAGATCACAAAATTGATACCTGCCAACCAAATGGATAGAGAAACGAATATGCATCTTTATTGTCAGAGACAGCAAGAAATCCTTTTTTGCTTTCTGCAGCAACTGAGCCATATCAAACATTTCAAAATTACACACACAAATTTGCAAAATTAGTGACAAAAAAGGGGACTTACATGATAGTGGAGCTCTACTAAGCAATGAGATCCAAGGAGCAACAACACCAAATGTTACAATCAGACGTCTCTGACATTTATCTGAAAATCAAATAAAAACACAAACTTTGTAAAAGGGTTTGAAGAAAGATTCGTTATTTTTCCTCAGAACAGCAGAATCTAGAGAGCAATTTGATCGGAACACGTAAGAAAAGACAAACCTTGAAGATGAGAAGAGGAAGACGAAGAATGGTGCTCAGCTCTAACAAGAAATGAAAGTCCTTTCTTAGAGCAAGGAACACCAACCTTAGAGATGGAGATTGGAGAAGAAGGTGAAAGCTTCAGAGAAGCCATTGGAGAAAAGTGTAATATGTGGTATAGAGAGATCTTTTGTTGTCGTCTCTTATGGATTCGCTTCTTTCTCAGTTTATCCACTTTTGAAACTTCCTGACCTTTTAAAAATGTCAAAGAACAAAAAAAAATTAATTTGCAAAACAGACCCTTCAAAATAACTAATTTTAGCAAGATAACCCCTACACTAGGGCTTGGCAAAATAATTGTTATTATGTTATAGTAAATAAAAGTATTTTTAAAAAGCTATGTTTTTATTGTATAACTATTTGAGATATCATTTTATATTGACCTATATATCTTAAAATCGGATCTATATAGATTTTTTTTTTCTTTTTCAAAAGTGGTACATTATTTCTTATGAAGATTGATGATGTCAGGATCACTTCTTTATTGACTGTATTATATAGACAAATTTTCAATTGGCAACAACAAATCACATAATTTAAAAAATATTCTTCATATATATATTGGAAACAATTGGATATTGAGTATGAACAACTAGAAATATAAACCTAGAATCGATACCCTATGTTCAAAACTTCAAACACTAAAAACAAATTCTACCTTTTGAATCAAACCAGACTCCAATCTAAATAAAGTTTTACAAAAACGAATTGCACTATGCCAATACTGTACGGATAACTGTTTTTTTCTGTTACTAAGCCTTTTGAGTAACTCTCCCAATCCATAATATGGCTTATAACCGGTATGTAAATTACAGGTATGTAACGTGATGCTTGTCTTTTTTTTGGTGAAGCGAGGGAGACGATGCCTCCCATATGATTAAAATTTAAAAGAAACTACATTCAACATGTTTTGGGCATGAGACCTCTTTATCATTATCCCGCATAATCGAATTAACAAAATCTAATTGAAGATCAAATAAATGAAAACCTAACGGCAAAAAAAAATCATACTTTGCTAGTACTTATCCGCAAGGCGATAATAGCTTCCCTATACACATACGAGATACGGATTATTCAGTCTTTTGAGATAAAGTCATAGCACAAACGTACTAAGAAAGACTGCGGATGAGAATCACTGATCCTTATCTTGACGAGTTATCTTACGTTCCAAAATGATATAAAGCCCATAACAAAACTCCCTATAGTTCTGCTAATGGTGAGTCGAGTAAAATCAACTTTAGATTAACATTTTAAAAATATTTAACAAAAAAGTAATTAATTAAAGTATATCATTTATTATTTTATTAATTTTGGTATAAAAAAAAAACTCAGAAAATCATTATTTCTGATCCATAGAGAGTGTTACAATGGAAAAGACATTAAGTAATATTTATGTTTCATATTGATAAATAAGTAAACTTAGCAAGCAGTTTTACAAAAGCAGAAAAGTTCTTCAGTAGCGCTACACTCGCATTGGAACACCTTTTTTTTATCCTCTTGAGCAAAAGCTTCTACACACGCCTTGGGATTGTTTTTATCACCAATTTTGTCACACTTATTAGGTCGTTCAGTGAAACTACTGCTTATATCACACACTTTCGCTTTTCGAGCCTCTATCTCTGAATAACACAATATTAAAATATACAATTAGAAACACAACATATTTAAAATTAAATTAACCATGCTTTACACCATTTCCAATGGTGCTTCAAATTTCACATTTTCCTTCATTTTGAAGATAAAAATGAAGAAATCTTCTCCAATGGTGCTTCATTTTCATCTTCTAAATGAAGGATTGAATAGTGTATTTTCGTATTTGAAAGAACACTATTTATATCTTCATATTTTGAAGATGAACTTTTTTATTTACAAAAAAATCATTAAATTTATAACAATGTTTTACTTTATATCAAACAATTTATTTATTTTTATTTTATCCAATTAATTTAAAATTTTCATATTTTTATTTGACCCAATCATATTGAAATGCAATAATAACTTATACTAAATAGAAAAACAAACAAAATACCGAACATAAAACTTAAAATACATAATTAATACCGACACTAAAGATAAAAAAAATATATATAACATAGAATTTATTAACAACTTAATAATTTGGTAATTCGCTTCGGGATCAACTAAATAATTAAAATATTACCCAAATGTTAATTTTAGATAAAATTTGTTGAACTATTAGTTTACTATAAAATAAATGGGACAAAATTTATAAATTTAGAAATTAAAGGGTATTGTTACTAATTAATAAAGAACTAAAGATAGAATATACTTAGAATATTCCTTTTTAAGTAGAAAATGAAGAAAACTATTGGAAAAACCTTGCTTTATTTTTAATTTATTTTGAAGAAGTATTTGAAGCCAACGATTGGAGATAGGCCTGAGTTTAATATCCGTGATCCGCGGATATCCGTATCTGTATCCAATTTTTGATCCGAATAAACGGATATCCGGTCAAACGGATACGAATACGGATAGTAAAATAAAGAATATCCCGGATACGGATACGAATAACCCTAAAATTTGGCAAGGGTATGTCTAGGCCCATATAGGATTTTGTAACTTAAAGACCTTATGACTTCATTCTTCAAGTGTTAAAGCCCAAAAAAAGGGTAAGTCCAATTTTTTTAATTATTTTTGTTTTAGTTTCAATGTGAATAAATAAATCATATGACAAAAAATAAAAATAAAAATAAATCAAAACCCTAAAAAGAATTAAGAAGTTGATTAATCTCTTTTTCCAAGTTATAAAGAGAATTTAAGAAGGGAAATGAAGAACATCACTTGAATCTTTTGAATTTTTTGTCATTTGATAAATTTTGTGTTCTTGTGATGTTTTGTATGTTTGATCAACTTCTAACTACTTTATAAAAATTTTAAGCTTTTTATGTATGATATTTTTGAATTTAGGATTTTAAAAATTATTTTTCGAATATTCGCGGATTTTTAACAAATATCCGGAATTTTCGAATCCGGATACGGATACCAAATTGGCAGATAATACGGATGCGGATACGGATACGGAGCGGGATATCCGCTCCGTTTACAGGGCTAATTGGAGATGCTCTTAGAACCTCTTTCCTTATTTATTTTCTTAATTGCATTACTATTATTCATAAATCATATGCAAAGCTTTAAAATTCGTAATTAACCAATCAATTCTAGGTACAAACTTATATATTACCTTGAACTCGACTTAAAACAAGTAACATGATAGCACAAGCAAACATGAACAGTGTAGCAGATCTCATATCTTTTTTTTTTGTTGTATGCGGAAAATTATATTTTGTTTTAATCTCGTAACTGTAGATTATTACTTATAGTTTTGAGAAATAGCAAATATATCCAAACACATGATAAAAATAGTTGATTCTAATTAAAGACACAGACGGAACTAAGTCAACACCTTTATTTGCGATTACTAATAAAATTTACTTAATAATCATTTTAAACCAAGTATTTTGTTGTTTAAAGTAAAGCAAGTAAATTTGTTGTTTAAAATAAGGAAAAGTTCCAAAAAAAACCCATAATAATTTTTATTTGGACGTTTAATACCTAATATTTTTGGATTTGAAAAAAATATCACACCTAATTATTTGTGGTTATAAATTTTTTTATATATAAATTATCGGCAAAATCGAACCCGCTACTTAACGAATGTTAACAGGCATAGCGGAATCATGTGACAGTGTTAAATTTGAATCCCCATATTTTAGTCTATATATATAATCTTTTAACAAAAAATTACGAATATATTGTCGTTGTATAGTGCCTGGTAACATTAGGGAATGTATAGCCTTTTAAACCCAGGTTCGAATTCTAGCGGCGGTTGAATCGGTTAGTAAGAAGAGGTTAAGGGTGTCATGAGACTCCCATAAAATTAACATATAACTATTTATAGTGTAAATTTGATTGAATTTCGTAAATTATTTGGTGAAAATTAGGTTTTGATCCCAACAATTTTTTTAAAAAAACTTTATTTGCATCTACTGATTCATATTTCTTCCATCTATTATTGTAGAATTCAAATAATATTATTTTATATTAGTAGCTTTTTTTATTATGTTCTCCATTTCTAAACGACGAGACATTTTTGAGACATAACATATGTAGAACCTCTTTCCTTCCTTTCTTAATTGTAGTATAAATTACTTTTGTTGCATCTACTAATTTATACTTCATATGCAATTATGCACCTACTAATTCATATTTCTTTCATCTATTATTGTAGTATTTAAATAATAGTATTTTATATTAATACTTTTTTATTAGACCTCCATTTCTGGACGACAAGAGATTTTTGAGACACAACATATGTAGAACCTCTTTCCTTTCGTTCTTAATTACAGTATTATTTTCGCAATCGAAGTTCCAAAAACTGTAAGTAACCAATCAAAGCTAAACACAAGCTAATATATTACTTTAAACGGATCATAGAGAGTATTACAAGGGAAAATAAACATTAGGTATTATTCATGTTTTCCATTGATAAATAAGTAAACTTAGCAAGCAGTTTTACACCTGCAGCTAAGTTCTTCAGTTGGCATACACCTGCATTGGAAAACTTTTTTTTATCCTCCACAGCAAAAGCTTCTACACACGCCTTGGGATTGTTTTTGTCACCAATATTGGAACACCTAAAAAGTCGATCAGAAAATATTCGTGCTACATCACACACTTTCGCCTTTTGAGCCTTTATCTCTGAACCACGTGATATTACAATAAACAATTAGAAACACAATAACTAAATTAACCATGCAACCTCTTTCCTTATATATTTTCTTAATTGCATTACTATTATTCCCATATTAAATTCAAAGCTTTAAAATTCGTAATTAACCAATCAATTCTAAGTATAAGCCGATATATTACCTTGAACCTGACTCAAAACAAGTAACATGATAGCACAAGCAAACATGAACAGTGTAGCAGATCTCATCTCTCTTTTTTTTTTGTAAGCAAAAAATTATATTTTGTTTTAATCTCGTAACTACAGATTATTACTTATAGTTTTGAGAGATATATAGTAAATATATCCAAACACATGATAAAAATAGTTGATTTTAATTAAAGATACGGACGGAGCTAAGTCAACACCTTTATTTGCGATTACTAATCAAATTTAGTAATTAATCAATCAAAACAAAACAATGTTGATGGTGTACCTTTAACATGACTTTCAAAGATAAAAGCAAGTAAATTTGTTGTTTAAAATTATTTTTTGTCATTTAAAAGTATTTTGAGGTGACTTTACAACCACAAATATCTAATTTTAGTCGTAGCAAATAAAATAAAAATTGTAAAGAAAAATTTGGTCTGAAAGGGCTTCGTTAAGAGATTGCTTGTTTTTTTTATTTGTTTTTTCCTTTTTGTGAGAATAATGTATATTATACTCATGAGCGTATATAAACTAATGGAGTCGCTATTACTAATTGATAAGATAAAATCAAAATTGATTACCAACTAATCCATTTTTTCTCTCACTTTATTTTAATTTTCACTTGTTCACCCATATGAGTCGAATCACGCCCTACCAAAAAAAAAAATGAGTCGAATCAAGATATGTATATATATTAGCCAATGTCGCTCTAATGAACTACCGAATCACGCAAAAATCTCGACTCCCAAATTTAATTTAAATTAGTGAAATGTCGAGTAGTTAATTTAATTAGGTAGCAAAATGATCCAACGCCGTTATGTATTTTGCTGAGTATACTATACTTCACGTAATAATATTTACTACATGAATTAAACGTTACCGGTCGTTAGTAAGAATGTTAAATAGGTTGTCCAGATCCAAATGGACATGTCTAAATGGTTATTTACGTGTTTTTTTAACATTGATGGTAAAAGTCCAAATATGACCATGTCTAAATAAGACCAAAACCAATTGACTGTCGGCATGGTTCAAATAATACATGAACACAATTATACAAGAAAACCACAAAATCATCTTTCCCGCCAAAACTGCAAAAACATATTTTCTGTCAAAATCGAACAATTGTATTTTCTGTCAAAACGCAAAATCTGATTTTTCCTCAAAACTGTAAAAATATTTATTTTTGACGGGAAATCACATTTTTCGTGGAAAATGGAAAATTATTTTTTTGGGGCACAAAAAGACATAATCACATTATTGGCGTAAAATATCACTTCGAAAATAATGCAAGGAATCACAACTAAAGAAGAATCACTTAGAGAATCAACATCATATGTTTTTGCATTTGCCGAAAGGAATAAAGTAATTAGACTAAGCCATAATTTTTAAAGAAATGAGTAAGACAACATGTTCCCCCAAATTAGAAAACCCTAATTTTTAAGATTTATTGGAATTTCCAGATAAATTTGCTTCATTTGTTTGCGGGTTAAATTAGTTTTTACCCCATATAAACAGCTTCAATTTTAGGCGTAACCATAACTAGACCATTATAATTTGGATTGGTCTAGCCCATAGTTATCAAGACTATTTGACATCCCTAGTCGTCCGCTATTTTCCATTTCGTTTCTCCAATTGGACAGGGGTATTAAATATGGTGTGGGCGACCATTTAATTTGTATCAAGTACATTACTGGTGTAAGCAGCAATAACAAAATGATACAACGATTTCAAAGTTCAAATAAATGATGGTTACATGCCATACAACAAAAGTTACAAAACCTTAATAAATGCTGAAATGGAGATTGACGACTCCATCGCTGCTTTCTCTTTGGCTCCTCTTTGGCTTTAGCTTTCCGTATCGCTCTTTACATGAGAAACATGGTTTCATCCCATTCTATGTATTTCGTTATTACCATAACATTGCTTTTCAGTGGGATTTTTGAATCTTGTAACACCACAAAGCTCCACGATGTTGAAGGTGCTACTCTTTTAATTAGTGTTTTTATAGAAACTATTATTTTATTGTTGGCCTCTTTGATTATAACTAAAAATTTTAATCCAAATTTTGGTGTATGATGAATGATGATAATGGTTGAAACTGGGAAGTGAGAGCATTGAAAGAGATAGGAAAGAAGATGAAGAAAAAAGATTGGGACTTTAGCAATGATCCATGCAGTGGAAAAGGGAATTGGATTGTAAACACTAATCCACTTATAAATAGTAATCTCACCTGTGATTGTTCTTTTCATCCTCCTAATTCATCGTGTCACGTTATCGCAATGTTTTTTTTTACTTCCTACTTTGTTACAATAATATATAGTCGTTCATATAATGGGTTTTGCTTTAACTCCCTTAATGTATTTTTGTTGTTGTTAAAGTATTATTTACAAAAAAAAATCAATTAATCTATTGCTAAAATAATTGTATTTTTGTTAGGTGCTTTCTTTAATTATTTTGTTCAGAAACCTCGTTTTATGGATTTTTAAAATCTTTTACAGTCTTTCTTTTTTTTTGGACAAAAATCTTTTAAAGTCTAACTTTGATTCTTTAGTTTTATTCATGATGAGTCTCGCTAGTTTAGTTGTCCAAACGCTGATTATCATTTAATTTACTGTCTTCGATTTCATTTCCTTGATAATTTCAAATGAATGACTAAGATAATTCTAAAATATACTTCTAGTTAAATAATAATAAAAATTATGTCATTTGGCTAACGGTTTTAGAAAAAAAAAAACACGTCACAAGATAATGTTTCATAATTATTCAAGAAGAATCCAAAAAATTAAGCAAAAGGTTCCTGCTTATATATGTAGCTTGTCTCCCAAAAATACTGAATTACTGATACCTACGAGAGTCCATCGTTTTTTCTTTCTCTGCAGAGTTTTGACGTCGCAGAATTTGACAGGCATTATACCCCCAGAATTCTCTCAGCTGCGTTATCTCAAAACTCTGTAAGAAAAACAAATGGACTTTGGATTTTCCTACTTTCTCAAAATTTTAAGTTTATAATGATTTTTTATTTTATTTTTTATAATCGTGTAATAATGATTTTTGATGCATACGACTTGGTGCAGGAACCTTGACCGTAATTGTCTTACTGGCTCAATTCCTAAGGAATGGGCATCAATGCATTTAGAAAGCTTGTAAGATCACTGTCTTCATTTTTTATTTTTGTGTAATTAATTAATTAATGAATTTTTTTTGGTGCAATGGAATCGGTTTTGGGGAACCGATTAAGTGGTCCATTTCCAAAAGTGTTAACCAGCATTACGTCACTCCTAACTCTGTATGATTTTTTCTCTTGCTGTGGATACTTGTTTCATAATAATAGTTATGTTCTAACAAATTTAGTCATTTGAAATTGTACAGGAACCTTGAGGGAAACAGATTTTCAGGACCAATCTCTCCCGAGATTGGAAAGTTGGTTAATCTGAAACAATTGTATATATATATATCTCTCTCTCTCTCCCTCATCTCGTTTACAATCATGTTAAATAGTTCTTTGGTAATTATCATTCACCTTGTTGCAGATTTCTCTCTTCAAATTCTTTTACCGGTTATTTGCCAGAGCAACTCGGACAACTTAGAAAGTTGGCTAATATGTATGGATACAAATGGTCTATATAATAACAAAAGAAAAGAAAAAATATTCCTTTTGTGTTATTGATTGAATATATTTATATTTCTTGTATGTGGTAGGAGGATTAGTGATAATGCATTTACTGGTCAGATACCAAATTCCATTGGAAACTGGACACAGTTATCTCATTTGTAAGACCTTTTTTTTTTTTTTTTTTTGAGTTTCTAGCTTTCCTTATATATGGACATACGAACTAAAGTAATATTTTGCAGGGAAATGTTTGGTAGTGGTTTGGATGGTCCATTACCTTCCAGTACTGCAGCCCTTACTAGATTGGTCAAGCTGTATGGCACCTCTTTAAAAGATTAATTTCTTTTCAATGCTTTTCCTCTTGATGAAACAAATTTGCTTTATTTTGTTGTATTTGACAGCCAGATTAGCGATCTAGGAGGAAAATCGTCTTCCTTTCCTCCACTGCAGAATTTGAAGTCTCTCAAAACATTGTAAGTTAAAACACAATTTATCTTTTGTGTATGCAGTAAAAGATATCCTAGAAAACATCCACCATTTAACTTTGGATGCAGGGAGTTGAGGAGATGCAACATATACGGACGAATTCCTAAATATATTGGAGATATGACGAGTCTCAAAACACTGTAAGTAATAATGATCAAGATACATCGAGGAAAAAAAACAGGATAATTAGAGCCGCGCTCTTGATTATGTTTGTTGTGTAGTGACCTCAGTTTTAACCTCTTAACGGACAAGATCCCGTCATCATTAGCCAACTTGAAGTTAGCAGATTATATGTAAGTACTAATTAACTTCGTTCTAGGTAACAAATTATATAAGTCTCAGTTTAGAATCTTTTTTTCTTCTCCATGTATGAAGATTATCTTTGAAAACTTTTTTCTATTCAGTTACTTGGCAGGAAACAAGTTCACAGGGGGTGTTCCAAACAGTTTTATCGAAACTAACAAAAATATGTATGGAGATATGACTTGCTAACTTTCAAATGTGACAACTATATATATATAGCGACCTTTTAAATTATCTCTGTTCTACTTTTATTTGCAGAGATATATCTTCCAACAATTTCACCCTCCAGAGTTCAATTCCTAGTGGTGATTGTGACCAAGTTAATAATGCGTAAGTTTTCACAAATAACTCTTATAATCATAAACAATTTGCGCATACGTTCAGAAAACGATAATGACGTTGTTCTTCATTTATAGGAATTTGGTGGAAAGCTTTTCCATGTGGAATGAATCGTAAGAAACCATGTTTCCAATTATAAAACATGATTATTTGTTCTTTATGGCTGTTTTTAATTGTGGTTTCTCAAATATATATCTTTATGTTTTAGCTATGAATTAGTGAAGTACTGATTGATGATGGTTTTTCTGTTTCCCTCTGAATTTGGTGTTTTTTTTTTTCAGATATAAGGGCTACCCTTGTTACTTCCAACACTTCCCTTGCCTTTTGCCTAAAAGAAAGTGTAAGTTACAACACTGTAATTATTGTCTTTCTCTGAGAGAACCTATGCATGTAGATTAATATTTTATATATTTTTACAAACACTTACTATTTGCAGACAAATATAAGCTGTACATAAACTGTGGGGGAGATGAAATAAAAGTTAAAGAAAAGACATACGAAGCTAACGTAGAGGGTCAACGACCAACTACATTTGTCTATGGCTCTGACAAGCACTGGGCATTTAGCAGCACCGGACACTTTATGAATGATCTTACAGAAGTGGATGACTACACCGTGTCTAACACCTCTACACTATTAGCCGATGCTTCGTCTCCAAGTTTCGTGTTGTACAAGACGGCTCGGATTTCTCCTCTCTTGTTGACTTACTACGGACTCTGTCTCGGCAATGGGGAGTACACTGTGAGTCTCCACTTCGCAGAGATAATATTTACCAGCGACAATACATTCTACAGTCTTGGGAAAAGAGTGTTCGATATTTATGTTCAGGTACGTCTCTGTGGAACCCAACAAATGTAAATCATCATAACATTTGGACACTTATTTATTTATAACTTGCTCGCAGGATAAGTTGATGATTAAAAACTTCAACATTAAAGAAGCTGCTGGTGGATCGGGGAAGCCAATCATAAAGACATTTTTGGTAAATGTAACAAATCACAATCTGAAGATCAGCTTGCGGTGGGCTGGCAAAGGGACAACTACGCTTCCAATTAGAGGAGTTTACGGCCCTATGATCTCAGCTATATCAGTTGAACCTAGTAAGTAATCTTACTTTGAATCGATATCTTAATTATTAGCGGATAGAGATGATGGCATTTGTTATTGGCAGATTTTAAATCTCCTGAGCATGATGACAAGAAGAATATCCTACTAATAGTAGGAATTATAGTTGCCGCAGTAATCCTCATTTTGGTCATCATCACAGTGATCATTTGCTTGTGGAAAAGAAGGTGTTACAAAAATGCAATGGACAAAGGTCTCTTAACAGTTTAGCTCGTTACCTATTTTTTTGTCTAGGTTGCTTCTTTGTGTCTACCAACGCTTTGATTTGAATTATATATACAGAGCTGAGGGGTTTAGATCTTCAGACTGGAACCTTCACTCTTCGACATATAAAGCCGGCCACTAATAACTTTGATGCAGCAAACAAGATGGATGTTTGTGAATGAATTAGGGATGATCTCATCTCTACAACATCCAAATCTTGTGAAACTATATGGATGTTGTGTGGAGAAGAAGCAACTGATATTGGTCTACGAGTATTTGGAGAACAACTGTCTTTCTCGTGCTCTATTTGGTCTGTTTCTTCAACTTTACGATTTCGAAAGACTAGAAACCATGTATATCATCATCTATCCGGTGACATGTTTGCTAAAAGTCCCTATGTGACAGGATCGAGGCTGAAATTAGAATGGCCAACAAGGAAGAAGATTTGTTTGGGCATAGCTAAAGGACTAACATTTCTCCATGAAGAATCTGTGATCAAGATTGTGCACAGGGATATTAAGGCGAGCAACGTGTTGCTAGATGAGGATCTCAATGCCAAAATCTCTGACTTTGGTTTGGCAAAGCTGAATGATGATGAAAACACGCACATCAACACTCGTATCGCCGGAACACCGTAAGTATTCGTCTCTTTAATAATTAATGAGTTCCAAGTATAAAGTTCTCAAGAGAATCATTTTTTCTTGATATTCTTCTATACATTTGCATGTTACAGAGGATATATGGCTCCGGAATACGCCATGCGGGGTCATTTGACCGAAAAAGCTGATGTTTATAGCTTTGGCGTCGTTGCCCTTGAAATCGTCAGTGGAAAGAGTAACTCAAACGTCAAACAACCAAGCGAGAACTTGGAGTGCCTTCTTGATCAGGTAACAAATTTCCATCTCTTCATCTTCTTTAAAAACTCTCATCAAGTAAGTGATTAAACAATAAACCAGAAAATTAATAAAAACAAAGTCACTTTGGTAATTTATTTCTCTCTTCTTCCTCACGTGTAGGCCTACGTTTTGCAAGACATGGGATGCTTACTAGACTTGGTTGACCCAGTGCTAGGTTCAGCTTACTCAAAAGAGGAAGCAATGGTGATCTTGAACGTGGCGCTAATGTGCACTAACACGTCCCCGGCGTTAAGGCCAAAAATGTCGCAGGTCGTGAGTCTCCTCGAGGAAAAGACCGCAATGAAAAACCTGTTGTCAGACCCAAACTTCTCAGCAGTGAACCCGAAGCTGAAGGCTTTAAGGAGATTCTTTTGGCAGAGCGAATCCTCCACAAGCGGACCTCGTACCACTGACTCTGTTGATGCTGAAGAGAACACATCAAAAGACGAAATAGTAGAAGAACCAGAACTTGAGTGTGAGTAATAATTCTCTACACCATATTTGTTTTAAGCAAATGATATGACATTATTGTGACCATATCCAAACTTAGTTTCCAGAAAGAAAAAACTATATGTTTGTTGAAAATATGGTCATGAAGATGTTTTTATGTTAAACATTCTTAGCGAATTAAAAACAGAACCATGTTATATAACCGATCTATCAATGACTCGAGTGTCTGTACATTTATTACGTCTTAAACTAACAGTTTTCTCTTTAAAAAAATCATAAAGAAAGATTAATTACAATAACAATTATATTGTTGTGGAAAATGGAAATGGCGCCGATCTTAGCTAATTCTTTTTTTTTAGTATTATATTGATTGTATTAACACTTTACCAACGAGCACACATATTACATACAAGGGATTTGGTAACTAATACAATTTGTTACTTTTCCGGTTTTCCCCCCCAATCGATCTGACGAAAAAAAGGAACTAAAGTGATACTTACTCGTTTGGTTTTCATCACTCTCTCAGTTTAAGATAAATTTTGTTGGAAACTTATCTGAACACTTAAAGTTGTTGATTTTCGAGTTTCTTTTTTCTTTTTTCATTTCTAATTAAAAATAATAATAATCCTTCTGAATCAGAAAGAATGATTTTTGAGGTTTTGTTCTTGTATCAAAACTAAGAGTAGTTCTAACATGTAATGAGCAGTTAAAGTAAACATTTTCGGGCTCTTTGTTACAGAAGTAGACGCTTTATAAAAAGCCCATAATAAATATGAAGCCCGGCCCATATTTATGTGGTATCAAAAATCATCCAATTAGGGTTCTTGTCTTGTTTTTGGCGGTCTCAGTGAAGAAGATGGTGCTGTCGAACAAGAAGCTGAAGCAGAGGATTCGACAAGATTTGGTTAAATCACTATCTGTCTCTGTAGCCGAAACCAATCCACAATCTCAGTCTCTGAAATTGCTCCTTGATTCATCTAGCCACAAACCCAGATTGTCCAAGAGAGAGAAACGAAGAAATTCCGAAACTTTCGCTAGAGAAGACGACGGAATCACAGAGAATGAAGTGGGGATTGGTGGGCCAGCGGAGGAAACTGATACGAAGATTAGAAAGAAGAGAAAGAGAGACGATACTGTGGAAGTCGACGAATTAGAAGGAGATGAAGTAACTAAGGAAGAGGAAAAACCCCAGAAGAAGAAAAAGAAGAAGAAGAAGAAGAAGAGAAAGGTAAACAAAACGCCAAAGAAGGCTGAGGAAGGAAATGTAGAAGAGAAGGTTAAGGTAGAAGAGATTCAAGTTAATAATACAGACAAGTAAGTTTGTTCAATCGACTTTATTTAAAGCTCTGTTTGTTTCAGTTTTATCTAAACTAATCGACTTGATGTTTGTATTTTCCAGTAAAGAAGAAGATGGGGTTGTTCCTAAAAAGTTATATGTTGGGGGTATTCCTTATCAGAGTACAGAAGATGAGATTCGTAGCTACTTCAGAAGCTGTGGAGTCATCACTAAAGTTGATTGCAAGATGCGTCCTGAGGATGGTGCTTTCAGTGGTATTGCCTTCATCACTTTTGAAGTAAGTTTTTTTCATGTAACATTGCTGTGTTTCTCCTCTTGGGATATATGCTTTTTAGTTTTCTAGGACATTGATATGATGCAGCTTTTGTTTTTATAAGAACATAGGTCTTTGTTGTTTTCGGTTTTAGACATTAGAGTTAGTTTAATTTCAGAGAACTAATCAAGGCTTCTTTTAGATACTGCATAGTGGCAGATGAACTTAGTTTTTTGCCTTGTGGCTGAAGATAAGACATTGGTTACGTTGACTGTGTGTATTGACATCTTTTTTGGTATCATTTCTACAGTCTGAAGATGGCGCAAAACGTGCTTTGGCTTTTGATAGAGCTGCAATGTAAGTAGTCTATAGCCGTGACTCTAATATTTAAGACTTCCTTGTTCACATTTGATATGGTTGAGTAATTGTTCTTTACTTTACTACTAGGGGTGATCGATTTTTGACGATCCAGCAATATGTGAAAACCACCACTCCTTCCGTTCCCAGAAGGAAAACATCTTCTGGTTTCGCTCCAGAAATGGTGGATGGCTATAACAGGGTGTACATTGGGAATTTAGCCTGGGACACAACAGAGCGTGACATACGGAAACTCTTCTCTGACTGCGTAATTAACTCTGTCCGGTTGGGCAAAAACAAAGAAACAGGGGAGTTTAAAGGGTATGCGCATGTGGATTTCAAGGATAGCGTGTCTGTGGCGATTGCGCTGAAGCTGGATCAGCAGGTTATTTGCGGAAGACCTGTCAAGATATGTTGTGCACTTAAAGACAGACCAGCTGCGAATAATAGTACAGACCATACACCTGGTGAAACGAACAATGTTGGTTCGTACAACATGGAAGAGACTTATGCTGCTGCTGATCCAGTACCGGCTTTAGCTGGGGCTAACGAAGTTAATGACGGAAACTACTTTACAACCACAGTTAGCAGCGGTAAGATCAAAAAGAGGGTCTGTTATGAGTGTGGAGAAAAGGGTCATCTTTCTACAGCCTGTCCCAAAAAGCTTCAAAATGCTGATGATCAGGCAAACTCAAAGCTGGGTCAAGAGACTGTTGATGCTGGACCGGCTATGCAAAGCTATGCTCTTCAAAAGAATAGTGGTGATGCTTACTACATGAATGAGACATACGCTGCTACAAATGAAACTAATAATGGATACTCAGCATCCGCTGTTAGCACTGGTAAGATCAAAAGGAGGAACTGTTTCGAGTGTGGCGAAAAGGGTCATCTTTCTAATGCTTGTCCCAAAAAGCTTCAAAATGCTGATGATCAGGCAAACTCAAAGCTGGGTGAAGAGACTGTCGATGCTGGACCGGCTATGCAAAGCTATGCTCTTCAAAAGAATATTGGTGATTATTACTACATGAATGAGACATACGCTGCTACAAATGAAACAAATAATGGATACTCAGCATCTGATGTTAGCACTGGTAAGGTCAAAAGGAGAAACTGTTATGAGTGTGGAGAAAAGGGTCACCTTTCTACTGCTTGTCCCAAAAAGCTTCAAAACACTGCTCACACAAACTCCCAGCTGGATAACCAGACTGTTGAGGCAGGACCGATTCAGGTAACAAGCTATAGTCTTCAAAAGAAAACAAGAGACTCTGAGAACAATGGTGGTTCTTTCATGGATGAGACATATGCTACTGTTCCGATATCTGTTGATGTGACAAATGGAGCTAATGATGCAAGCTTAACATCTGCAGTTAGCACTGGTAAGATCAAAAAGAGAAACTGTTACGAGTGTGGAGAAAAAGGTCATCTTTCTTCAGCTTGCCCTAAGAAGCCGCAAAAACAAGGCTGATCCCACAAGTTCTACAAAGACAGCTTAAACATTGTAACAAAATGTTTAAACTTTTACATTTGAATTTTCCATTTAAATTTTACATTTGAGGAATATGGAAAGGACGTGGACCACTTGGTAGAAGAGTGGAGTTTTGGTCCTCTGTTAGAAACCATAAATTTTTATTCTGTATTGTCTTAAGATCTTTCATACTTCAAAGAATGCTCTAAAGTCTAAACCAAAAGTATCCTTGAGTCTCACATACATCAGATCAGTCATCAGTAATATATTGGTTTTTTCTTGACGCTCCAATTCTCTCCTCTTCAAATGTTGTTCACCATAAATTACTAAATTACGTTACATAGATCAGAACCTAGATCTATGCGACTATTATGCCTGTTACCAGTCAGAAGTCAGAACCTAGATAATTAAGTTGGTCCAAAGGATCTTTAATTTCTAAAACCCTTTTTTTTTGCAATCAATCAACAAAACAAGTGGCAAAAAAAAAAACCAATGGCCACGTTTTTATTTTTTTTTGAAACTCGGAAGCAATCATATATTACCCCAAATCTCTGCTCTTTGTACTTATAATCTTCTCTTTTTCTCTCTATTGCATGCTTTAAGCTCCAAACCCAAACACACAAATTCTCTTTCACAGTTTTCTCAAGTTTTGGTTTAGATGGGACCTATCAAAACGATAAAGAAGAAGAAGAGAGCAGAGAAGAAGGTTGATCGGAACGTATTGCTCGCTGCTGCTGCTACTTCCGCCTCCGCCGCCGCTTCCGCTAACGACGACGGCGACGACGACTCATCTCAGTCGTTGGATTGGTGGGATGGATTCTCTCGCCGTATTTCTGGTATCTCTTTTTTTTTTTTTCTTGATGGTGGTGATTGTGCATTGGCAGAGTTTATGGTTTTTGAAGCATTTTTGCGAATCCAAATTGTGGATTCTGTTTAGTGGAACTTGCAATTTTGAATGTTGATTTGATTTTTGGGGTTTTAGATGAGAAATTTCATGAGGAGGATAATCGTAATAAAATTCAGATTGGATTTAGTAATGTAGACAAGAGATGTTCTTTAATCTTACTTTGTACATGCGAGTATTGTTTCCATCTTTATGATTTGGTACTTTCTGGGTTTGTGAGTTCTTATTCCATTCTGGTGGTGGCTGCTAACTCAAGTGAGCTATATGGATCCATGGAAGTGGTTTTAGTGTAGATGAAGTTCTTAAGGCTCTAGGGTTTGACTTTGGAGCTACTTAGACTCGTCTAGATAACTTTGAGCATGTTTTTTGCCTGTTTACTATTATGGTTTTAATTATATGAATCTTTAGAACCAATTTGGGATTAGCAGACTCTGTCTAGACTGTGTATCTGTAACCATCGTGGAAGTTAATTTTGTTTTGTAAAAGTTCTCATTGCTTTCTGATTATGACATTATTAACTCTCTGTGAAGATTCAGCCAGATGTTTTCCATGTCTCTTTCAGTAATGAATGCTCTGATTATGATAGACGCTTTTTGCCTTCTTCCCATTGTCTCTCTTTGTGTAAATTCGCTTGTAGGTCGATGATAATTGATAACCAATTGATAGGTCATTAGGTGCAGATTAGCTCTTCTGCTTTTTCATTCTTCTTTTAGTATCCCGACTGTTGGATTTAAGCTAGTCCAGTGTTGTATGAGCTATATAAAGTGATTTAAACAGTTCTGGATCAGCATGGTTCTCTTACACCGACTTCATTACCATGTATATATGTCTTTGTATTAAAGAACAGTAAGCTTGATCTTGCATACATTGTTGATTTTGTAGTTACTATGAGAATGTCATGTTTTTTTATATTTATCTCCTTTATCAGGAGGGTCAACGGATCCAAAGACATTTGAGTCAGTTTTCAAAATATCAAGGAAGACATTTGACTACATTTGCTCTCTTGTGAAAGCCGATTTCACAGCAAAGCCTGCAAATTTCAGCGACTCAAATGGGAAACCTTTATCTCTCAATGACCGTGTAGCTGTGGCGCTTAGGAGGCTTGGCTCTGGTGAATCTCTCTCAGTCATTGGAGAGACCTTTGGGATGAACCAGTCAACAGTCTCCCAAATCACTTGGCGCTTTGTCGAATCAATGGAAGAGAGAGCAATGCACCATATCTCATGGCCTTCGAAACTCGATGAAGTAAAATCAAAGTTTGAGAAAATCTCAGGTCTTCCTAACTGCTGTGGCGCAATCGACATTACACATATTGTTATGAACCTTCCCGCTGTGGAACCATCAAACAAAGTTTGGTTGGACGGAGAAAAGAATTTCAGCATGATTTTGCAGGCCGTAGTGGACCCGGACATGAGATTCCTCGATGTAATCGCTGGTTGGCCTGGAAGTTTAAGCGATGATGTTGTCCTCAAGAACTCAGGATTCTTCAAACTAGTTGAGAAAGGGAAGAGACTGAACGGGGAAAAGTTGCAGCTCTCAGAAAAAACCGAGCTCAGAGAATACATAGTAGGTGATTCTGGTTTTCCTCTTCTTCCATGGCTTCTCACTCCATACCAAGGCAAACCCATGTCTCTTCCTCAAACCGAGTTCAACAAAAGACACTCCGAGGCAAGAAAAGCCACGCAGATGGCATTTTCGAAGCTTAAAGACAGGTGGAGGATAATAAACGGGGTAATGTGGATGCCTGATAGAAACCGGTTACCGCGGATAATCTTTGTATGTTGCTTGCTGCACAACATTCTTATCGATATGGATGATCAAACTTTGGATGACCAACCTTTGTCTCAGCAACATGACATGAATTACAGACAACGAAGCTGCAAGCTTGCCGATGAGGCTTCATCGGTCTTGAGAGATGAACTCTCTAACCAATTGTGGGGGAAAAATTCTTCAGCTTGATTACTCTCTCTCTCTCTCCCGGTTCTTCTGGTCTTTCTATAAAAGCTTCATTTGCTTCTGTTTTCTTCTGGTAATTTTGTTTAGTATAACATTTATCGTTTGATTTGATCTATTGAAATATTCTTTTATGAGACAAACAAAAATGTGTATTTTATGAATGTTATTTTTAGTTTATACAACTTGTATTTTTCATCGACGTCTAAACTCATTGCAATTGTCACTATAGAATGCCGCATAGACTGATTTATGTCACTGTAATCATTTTTCTTATTGACACAAGTATGCGATACATAAGAGGAATTGGTTTGCGTGAGAAACAACTAAAAAAGTAGTACATTCTAAATCTCTCTAACTTCAAAACATTTTGAAACAAAAGGAATAAACAAGTTATAACCAATACATATACCCAAAAAGAAAAACCGATACAGAGAAACCAAAGAAAGTCTCATTGTCAACTTTATTAAGAGCTTTCACTGATAAGCGACAATGGCTTCTAAAGGAATGGAGGAAGTATCACCCATCTTCTTGGATACTTTGGTTTTCCATCTTTTCCATCAAATATCTGCAATACCAATATCAAAAATCCACAATAAGAACTATATTTCGAGAGTTTTTCAGTTCCCCCATAATCATATAGGCTCGAACAAATGAAAGCTTTGTTTACCTTTCTCAGACGGCTGTGCTTTCCAAGAGCCCAATTAGTCATGATTAGAGCAGCAACAGCGAGGAAAACATATCCTGCGACGGTCTGAGTAGCGATGTTGAATCCTAGCCATTGGTAAATCTCGGTAGTGTAATTGGCACATGTAACAATGTTGAAGAGGAAACCGCGTGGAATCTGGTAGCCTCCAGACCCATTGGGGTCCCTAAGATTCTTCAGCAAAATGTGACAGTAAAAATTTGCGACTTGGCAGACCAAACCAAACCCGAAACCAATCTTCATCTGAAGGTCACTGACTGGAGTGTACAAGGGATGGTTGACGTAATAAGCAATGTAAGCACCAAAGCTCCAGTAATAAGCACAGTTCCTGAACACATTTGCGATTGGGGAGGTTGCGTGGCTGAACCGATGAACGAAAAACGTTTCTAAGATCCGTTTAAAGTAGTGAAAGCACCAGTAGTACATAGCGTACGTCTGGACCGGATGGATCACACGGTCCTCTCCATAGCCAAGAAACTTGTAAACAGGGAAGTAGTAAAAGACCGGGTAGATAAGGAGAGGGCCAAGATACTCAAAGAAGAAGAGCGTGCGGTAGGAAACTTGTGCCCCCAAGTCTTTGAAGACTACAGTTAAGGAGTTGGTGTTTCCATCACAGTACTCCTTGAGTGATTTCTTGCTATTGAGGACAACAGGTTTCTCCTTCGATCCGGGAGCCACGGGAAGAGTCAGTCTTTGCCTCGACGGGTAAAACTTCTTAGCTGTTGAAACAACAAAACCCAAATCACACAATAGAAGGAAATACCATAATACATTATTAATTCTATTCAAGATGTCAAGAAAAAGACTACAAGATCTCTGCTTAATACAATTACAGTAAAGAACAGATTAAGATTTGAAGGAAAGAGATATATATACGGTCAAATCATAATGGGGACACACTGATTATACATTGTAGTAAGAAGATTTCAGATAATTGTCATTACAACCTTTTGTCATTAATGGACAATCTAAAGTGAACATATTTTTGGCTAAAAGGGATTGATCCATTAATGACAAAAGGTTGTGATGATTGATTCAAAAGCAAAACTATGTTTAGATACTTAAGTGATCCTTAAGCTTCCACACAGATCTTGATTATATAAACCATAAGCATCAAATTCTAAAAGTAGAACTCAAACACATAAAAACTGCAATAGACAATGACATTCTAACACTAGCTTATACACTCAGATTAGATCTATTCCAACATTCGACAAGTCAAATTTCAAGTAAAAATTAAAACTTTTGAAACTTTTACCTCTCTTATGAAACGCTTCTTGCAGATCAGCAACAGTCGCCTGCGATGAACAAAAACACACGAAATCGAAATCAACAACCTTAAAAACAGAAAGCTTGCAACTTTCCCTACATTGAGCAAGCAAACTAAAGAACAAAAACCTTCAATCACATTTTGGAAACAAACCCATTAATCAGAACATAAAGCAGATCGAAGAAGAGTATCATAAGAAACGAGAGAAAGTACCGAATCGGGGAGGTCGAGGGGAGCTTTGAGGACTTCTCTGCCGCTGCGGGAGACGACGGTGACCTTCATGGTGCTTAAGCGGAGAAAACGAGGAAGACCCAGATGAGGAAATTGAGAGAGCGAGAGAGGGAGAGGAAACTAAATAGAGAGGAAGAAGAGATTGAGCATTGAAGAGGATGTAGTTGGGAGTAGGAGAACTAACTATCTTCCCAACTTACGCGATTGGATTGGATTGGGACCATTTATTTTAGTTCCTACCATCACTTTTTTTTGTTTTTTAGTCCAAACAAAAACATTTGTTACAATTCCAAATAATGGCTTTAATTTGTTTTAAGGATCTATTAGTTAATCATTCAATTTCGGTTTATGAATCAACTAAGGTTTTAGTTTCGGTTTAGATTCGAATTTAGTCAATACAGTGAGGGGGCAGAAGTCCATCATATTGATAAAATGATGTATCAATACAGTAAAAAGTGAGGAATTACCTTTATATTTTACATTCCACAAAATGAGATTGAGTAATGAGAACGAATCCTTGTCATTGTCGTATAAACGATGCAAATAATAAATGATCCCAGCTTACCCACATGGAAGTAGTGTGTTAGTTTAGTTATATATTGGTCAACCAAATTTGCTTCTCCAACAAAAAATCCATATCCAAAGTCAAGCGCATACGAGCTCTAATCCAAGAGAGTAGCAAACAATAAAAAAAAAATTCAAAACCTACATTTTCTGGATATGAAAGGGATGGTCCTGTACTTGGATGATCCTCAACTTGTTAAACAAAGTAATGATAAAATTAAAAACACAAGGAAATGGTTGGGACCAATTAAGAGATAGTACTTTATGATATGTATATGGTTGGGATCGATTAGTTGATCACAAAGATCAAATGAAGATGATGACATTTACATAGTAATATTTAAGCAAAGATAATAATGACCGTTAATTGCCATATCCCATCCACAAATACCAAGGCGACAACATGCGATATTCAAACACATTAATGTACATTCAATTACTATCACTAACCATCATACTAATATCCTCAATTAACAAAGCTAGCTAGATTTTTCTAATGTGAGCAACATTCTTCTGAAGAAACTTTTTTTTTTCCCAGTGTAAAGTATCCAATCTAGCTACCACAATTTGAGCATTAATCTATTTTACTCTACAAGTATGACTTTAAAAAACAGATGTACAAGTGGCAACACCAGATCAACCATAAAACACTTAAGCTAGTTAAATAGATTATAGCTATCTTTTCGACCATTATATATTAAACTTTGCAGCCTTTCTCTTATAAATGAAAATAGAGGTGCATGTTCTTGTTGGAATCTAGGAATCTTCTACTAAAGAATGGCACGTGGTGACGATTTCCATTTGATGCTATATCGATATTTTTCCCACCTTAAATATCTTGAAAATTAATATCAAATTATTTGAGAACATATTGTATCAAAGCTCATATATACTATATTGTGTGAAATATGGATGCAAAAAAAAAAAAAAGGAAAGAAAAAGCTGCAGAGAAGGTGTCGCTTTACAACTATGAATATGGGCTCATGAGATGTACACTACAGATAAGCGAAGATTCTTGTTGCATGAAAATGTGTTACTAATAAAAAAACACATGCACATTTCTATAAAGACGAACTTCTTTTAAATAATAAATTTCTATAAACAAATAAAAGATAAGTGCTCCTTTAAAAAAAAATCAAAAGAATATCTATAAATTTAGTTTTCCCTATCATATTTTTCATACAATTTTTCTATTTTTTTTTAATTTGAAAGATTAATTGACAAACTGTTTCAAATCCTCATCATTTACTCACCGTAGAAGAAGTGAAACACAACACTTTATGTATTTGCATCTCGGCGAGCTAAGTTTCTTCTTCCCTACTTGTCCAATAGCTCTCTAATATATAAATGAAGACACTCCATTATCCCTCTGGTTCAGCTACTTCGAAGCGCAACATATCGACTAAAAATCGTTTTGTCTTAGGTTGATAATTTCTTAGTTGATACGAAAAAGTTATAAAGATAATGATTAGTGAGAGACATGTTTGCTATTACATTGAAATATACATAATACATGTATATTATCATTAGCTATTTATTTTTGGTAAATGACATCCTGATTATGAATTATATAGAGTTAGGGATATGTTTGATGTTATGTGTCGACATAGTGAGGTCCATTAAAAAGAAGGTCTGATTTAATTTTACATTTGGACCACAATCCACAAATCTTTCTTTTAGAAATCGCGGACTGGGACACCTTCCTACAACATGTCCGTCTTTACTAATCTTACGTACCCCTCACATTTGTAACCATAAAATCATCAAATATATAGACTGGTGATCATAATTCGAAATATTGTTTTCAATAATTCAATGTTATCAGTAAATTATATTAGGGTCACATCAAGAATCACGAAAGAAAATAGAAACAACCGTGTCAGAATCATCATGATTTTATTTGTTGGTTTATACTTTCTAGTTTTTATGATCTTGTGCTGCAAATTATCCAAATTAGCACCAAAATATTCTTCTTCTTCGACATCCAATTCTTTTTTTTTTTTTTGTTAAAGGCCATTTTTTTTTCTTAACAGATGAATTTTACATCATTATTAAACTGAACTTTCGGAATCAAAAATCTCTTCATGCAAAGGTAATTTATTTTTATATGACAAAAACCACAATGGCGATAATTATAAGAATAACTATAATACTATGAAAAACGAAACTTGGGTCATACCGAGGAAAACAAAGGTACACTCGATTGTGACAACTCCACCAAAGACCACCCCACTACCAATTCACCTTTATTTGTTTCTTTATTCATTCAAAATCTTTTGTTTTTTTTAATTAATCCAATTATTCGCCTCTCTCGTTGTTTTTTGACCTTTTAATTAAAAATTGAAAGGAGGTGCCTAGGGTTTCTCTCTCTGCATGGCCACTCTCGCTCTTCACATCTCTTTTTGGGCACCATTGTTAACGTATGCAAAAAAAAAAGCTTACATGCTAAGAAAACTCTATTTCCTTGTCGTTTCTCTCATAAAAGAAATATATTTATTGGTATTTTAATCCAAAATTTATCGTTGCTGATGAAATATACAATATATTTAGGAAGTGGGATCGGATCGGACAAGGAGTGAATTATCTACCAACTTCGATATATTTCACTCGTCTTTTGCTCATTGATTGACAAGTAACATACACAGTACACACATTATAAACACATTCTTAAATCACTGTATGAATTCATCTAATAACAAGCTCCAATTATTACTTGCTTAGGTAAATTTGTATATACAAAATGATAAATTTGAGATGTTGATGTTTTCTGCAATATGATATATGTTTTTTCCTTCTGAAATATGATATGTAAATCATCATAGCATTCTTAGTGAAAATTTCTACATCATCAAAACTAGATGTTATAAAGTGTGTTAAATTTTTTTTTTTTATATAGTTAATATACCAGTTAAATATATATCGTTTCAACAAAAGATTTAAACATATTGGAATATTTTACTATTCAAAGCAGCGTGAAGTGAATATCAAAATTCATACGTGATATATATATATACAGTGATACAACCAAGAAACAATGACGTAGATGATTGACTTGCAAAAATAAGCAAACAAAAAACTTGTTCAAATCGACACTTACTTCCAAAAAGGTTAGTAATAAATAAGAAGGCTTTTTTTTTATGAAAACAAAAAGAAATAAAGAGCCTAAAAGAATGATGAAAATTGAAAGAGAAAAAAAGAGCATTGTTATATAGAAGAAAAAAAAAGAGTAAAGAGAAAAAAGAAACACAATAAATTAAACAAAGGAAACTTCATTTCTTCTTCTTTTTATCCCATTCAGCTTCTCCCTTCTCTCTCTCTCTCTAGATCAATTCTTTCTTCTATGATGTGATTTTCCACCATTTATGCGACCTCTTACCTAAAAAAAGGATTTAAAGCTAATTTCAAAGATGGTTTTCTCATCTCTTCCAGTGAATCAGTTTGATTCACAAAACTGGCAGCAGGTAATCAGTTTATGATATTAGCTAGATGTTCTTGATTCATTCCTTTTTCCTCCAAGTTCGATCAAGATTTATGAAAGGTGATGAGATTTTGTTCGACAAAAGTCCTAGCTACTGTGGTCGCACGTATATACTTACAAATATTCTTTAGTTGATAAAACCCTTTTTTCTTGTCTTCTCGAATATACCAGAAAATATGTATATAAAGATGATTTCAATTTTGGTCTCTTTGTTTTCTATTTCAAGACTTTCTATTTGGTTTTGTTAAGTTATGTATATTGTTTTCCCTATAGGATGAATTTCTCTTTGTTTAGCTTTTTACACCGCCATCGAATTAAACTTCAAAAAAAAAAACTTAAAGTTACTATGACTTTAATCTGAGTTATTTATCCATTTTCTTTCTGCAGCTTTGTTGAAAAACTATAATAAATCTGCAATTCTTGTCAAAGTAGACTCAATTTTTATCTATTTTCTTTTGTCTCCGACCAATGTTTCAAACTCGAATCCTTTCGTTTAAAGTTGTTTCTGCTTTATTATAAACCTGAAACTAAGTACTAATTATACCGTTAATATGCAGCAAGGGAACCAACATCAGCTAGATTGTGTCACTACTGACCAGAACCCTAATAATTATTTACGGCAGCTCTCATCACCACCGGCTTCTCAGGCTGGCTCGAGCCAAGCTAGAGTGAATTCAATGGTGGAACGTGCTCGGATCGCGAAAGTCCCATTGCCTGAAGCAGCTCTAAATTGCCCTAGATGTGACTCAACCAATACAAAGTTCTGTTACTTCAATAACTATAGCCTTACTCAACCTCGCCACTTCTGCAAAACATGTCGCCGCTATTGGACACGTGGCGGTGCCCTGAGGAATGTTCCTGTTGGGGGAGGCTTTAGGAGGAACAAGAGAAGCAAATCCAGATCGAAATCTACGGTCGTGGTCTCGACTGATAACAATACTACTACTTCATCACTTACTTCTCGCCCAAGTTACTCAAACCCTAGCAAGTTTCTTAGCTACGGTCAGATCCCGGGGTTTTCTTCCAACGTACCCATCTTGCCTCCTCTTCAAAGCCTTGGAGATTACAATTCAAGCAACACTGGATTAGATTTTGGCGGAATTCAAATAAGCAACGTGATAAGTGGTATGAGTTCTAGTGGTGGGATCTTGGATCCATGGAGAATACCTTCATCACAACAAGCTCAGCAATTCCCTTTCTTGATCAACACTACCGGATTGGTGCAATCTTCAAATGCGTTATATCCATTACTAGAAGGTAATGGAGGTGTTAATCAAGGTGATTCTCAACAAAAGAGTAGTGATTATTCCAATCAGCTAATGTCTAAGCCCTTGATGGATTTGGCTTCAGGCGGGGATGGCGCCGCGCAAGCGAGAAATGTGAAGGCGGAAGAGAATGATCAGGATCGGGGTAGGGATGGGGAAGGAGGGAATAACTTATCAAGAAACTTTTTGGGTAATATCAACATAAACTCAGCCAGGAACGATGAATACACATCATGGGGAGGTAATAGTTCTTGGACCGGTTTCAGCTCCAACAACTCAACAGGCCATCTCTCATTCTAAGTACTCAGCAGTAACTATTCTTGATGATTCTTTTGTTGGTTGGGTTGTACATTGATCGCTTTTCATGGGTGTTATTACTGAGGAGAGATCAAACCATGCAGCTATATCATATCCAAAGGCTAATTTTGGGCTCAAAGGAAAGGTATGGTTAAAAAACTATCTTTTTTATCTTTTAGAGGATCTTCAAATTAAGTGTGAGTATGTTAATTGGTTGGCTTCTGGTGATATTTATGTTTAATCAGAATTTGGTGTTATATATTGGCTATATATAGAGGTGTGGGTGATGTATGAATTCAAGAGTGATGATGGAAACTTTTTTTGTGTGTTCATTGAATAATCATCGAATTCTCAATTTCTGGGAGACCCATTATGAGACATCTATAGACCATGTAATGTATATTAAACGTAATTAAGTCGAATTTTATGACCAAGGTAAATAAATTATGCCGAATGTATATGCTAAGATAGTTCAAAACTATTTTTCCAATATAACATCTATATTTTTTCCTTTGGTCCAACTTCGATTCTGGTTCTTTTTTCTTTCTCTTTATCTTCTTTTTCCTTTTTCCTTTCCAAATACACGGAAAAAAAAAATGAAACGAAAAAAGAGATTTTAAATTTTCATAACCCACGAGAAACTTACTTTGTTAATTATCATATTCATGGAACGGATCCAGTGTTAATCTATATGAATCGATTGTTTAAAAAGAAAATGTTTTCATTTGCATTTATTTAGAAAATAAAAGACTTAATCTTAACAGTTTTTCTGAAGGCCTTTGGCTTTGCCTTATGATTTACAACAAAAAATTTGATTATTAATTATAAACAAAAGTTGTAGGTTCTTTGAAAGAAAACATGCTATTATAACATATAATCATCCGTAACGTAACAAGATAATAATATAACGTAAATTTAAACAACTCAAGCTCGACTAAGGATATTTAGCAGGACAAATTATTTATCTTCTGACCTAGGGCTCTTTGGTTCCTAGTAACAAGATATGAGCCATATGACAATAATTATACCGCTCGCTACTCTCTCGATCGATGCTTCATTTCCACAACCCTTTTCATACCAACTTTTTTTATATGAATGTGTGTGTGTGTTTCTAAATAAAATTTGAGAATAATGTACCGAATTTCAGAATAATCTCCAAATTTTCAGAAACTTTATGTATTTTTGCCCATTTAATGTGTTCAGAATGGCCAACTATAATTGAAAAGACAATGGAATGACTGAAACCATGCAGAATCTCTCAAGTCTCAACCCATGAAGAATCATTTAACCAATAGACTATCATCATGATTAGTTAATGCATGAATGTGTTATTGTGAACATAGAGATGTCATTTATCTGGAAATAAAGATATGACCTTTTAACCTACTTTGCAAAATGTGTCTTATTTGCTGTCAAAAATATATATTTGTTCGTTTAGAGTCCATATCTTTCTTCTAATACACTTTTGTTTTTGAAACAAATAACATATTTCAAACATCACAACACATATGGTGAATCTACACCTAAATTGACTACAGTAGTTAGATATAAATACTTCAAATGTTAAATATAATGATTGATGTAAGTGGTACACTGGTACTATAATATTATATTGTGATGTATGTAAATGGTATATAATTCAGTTCCTAGTTTTTGGAACAAAGAAAAAAGAAGACACTAAAACGAGCTAAAGAACAATGGAAAATTCAGTTATAAGGAATTCTGGGATTTTTTGTCGTAAGGGACAAAACTAACGTAAGACCAGGACGCTGATCTATGAGTCACCAGGACGCTGATCTATGAGTCAAAAGCACGGACATATCTAGGTACATACATCCACATACACACTTATACATGCAGCACATTCATGAAGGGAGAGATCAGAGAGATAGAGAAGCAATCATATATTTCATTTTCTTTTCTAGATTTCTAGCTCCCTATTTTTATTTTAATATAAAATTCATTACTCAATAAAAATGTTATTTGTAAAGATACAAACGTTGAGGGTACGACCGTACGAGATCAAAACACATTTTATGAAAAATAGAGAAATAAGTTTTTATCAAAAGCTGAAAGAAAAAGAAGTTTTTGAGTGTTTTACAAACTGAGTTATAAGCGTTAAAAGTGAATCAAATTTGATAGTGAGTGGTAGCCTAATGAGTGGTGATATCCAAGGGATTGTGGAATCTGGACCTTTTGGAACTGCTTTTGCAAAAACCAATGCCCTCAAAATAAAGTGTTCATTTCCCAAATTCATATCACTATCTTTACTTTCTCATTCGCATCAGAGTTAAGTATTCAAAAGGCATACATACACTCATTCCAGTTCCAATATATGCAAAGCCTAAGATAAAAAGTAAAAACAAAGAGATAAACAGAAAAATAGCAAATGCGTCAAAAAGAAGAAAAGACAAAGAGAAGCATTTGTTTAAGTTCCATACATATCAATGCAACTTAGGCCCAAAGGACATCTTTATGCCCAAGCATTTGTGGTCTAGTGGCAGAGGAAATTTTGGGAAAGGATGAAACTCCCAAACCTGAGTTCGATTCTCCCTGGAAACAAAAACACATTTATTTGGGAAGTCTGTCAGTTGGGGTTTGGCCCAATTGGTTTACCTGGTAGTCAGAAATGCAGGCGGCCTGACTACCCCTTGGCATTAGTCGGAAGACACTCCAAACTCGGATCAGGCAGTGTGGTGGCCCAATTCTGGATCTCATGAATCTCATGGCCCGTTCGACCGGAGTCCGCTCGGAGCTTATGGTGTCCGCTGAATCGTTGAACCGTTGAACCGTGGGAGAAATCCACTCTGTAGCACCCATCTTTATAGTGTAACTTTTTTTTCTTCCTCTTTTCTGTTTTTGAAATGTACGTTTTCATATTACGGTATAACCGAGAATAGTCGCTCACATTCTTTCACATGCCCTCAAACCATAACCTCACTATCTTTTTTTCACAAAATAATCATGTACTCCAATTACTATATCAACTTTATTCTGAATCTTTTCCTAAAACCAAGTGCGATCGGTTTTAGACCAAAATAGAAGCAATTAGAGAAATGAAATATCTGGCCAGATAAATAAAGCGTAGTGAGAATTTCCTTGGGTTGATATTGAGGCCGAGTTTTTGAGTCATTTTATTTTTAGTAGTCTTTTCCATGCAGCGAGGTAGCTAGAGACTTTGGTCTCTTTTGGTGAAAGTTGGCAAAAAAATCTAAATTTTCTTGGAAATTAGGCCAAGAGCTTTGTTTTGGGCTTGTTTCCATATGATCTCTAGTGTCCTTGGGCTCCTTTAAAAATTTGGCAAGTCCGGTCTTTCCACTCTTGTGGTTGGATCTCTTCTAGATACTTCTTTGGTCATAATGAATGATACATACCTAATCAGTTTTGATCTTTTGGTGGATATTGTTCTGGTCCGGTCTATTAAAGCAAAAGATATATTAAAACCAAACCGAAAATGAAATTGTACATCTCTCTCTAACTGGAGATTTTCCTCTAATTTTTTGTTATATTGACAAGATCTTCCCTTTTTATGAACAAACATATTCCATTTTAGCTTTACATCACAAAAAAAAAGATAAATTTCTCAAAATAAAATAAAAGTAGACACCGCCCTTTTTATAAACAACCCTAAAAGTAGTAAAAAAGGTTTGTTTAATTAATATATCTACAAAAATCCTTTAGGCTTCCTCATCTTCCTCTTGCCCCGAATCTAGTTCTCGTTCTCTCAAGCGAGCCTCTGACGATGGCTAATAATCAAGCAAGCCTTCTTCTGCAGAAACAGCTTAAAGGTTTCTCTTTTCTTTCTCTTTCTTGTTCTAGGGTTTTTGTTTTCGATCTGTTTTTGGTATCGATTGATTTGATTTCGAGTATTGAGGTGAATTTCGTTTCTGGGTTTATCTAATTTTGTTGGGTTATTTTCAGATCTGTGTAAGAAACCTGTTGATGGTTTCTCTGCTGGGCTCGTTGATGAGAAGAACGTCTTCCAATGGAGCGTCTCTATTATGGGTCCTCCTGATACTCTGTAGTGAGTTTTTTTCCTAATCTCTCTCTCTTGTTTTGTTTGAAATTGTCTTGTTGGTTTTGAGAATTAGCCCTTTTTCCTCTGTCTAGTGAATTCGAATTGTAGTTTCGAATTGTGCATTGATTTGGTTGTTTCGTTTAAGATCAAATTGTTGTTTGATGACTGACGTCTATCTTTGTTTTTGCATTGGCTAAATCTTGATTCATTTGATTGGTTCTGTTGTGCTAATTTGCTCCACTCATTGGATAACATTAATGACTTTTTTTCCTCGTCTGTTCTTGATAGTTGTTTACATTGTTATGAATTGTTATGGTACCAAATTTACATGGCATTGAAACTTTTATCTCTCTGAATTGCAGTGAAGGTGGTTTTTTTAATGCAATTATGACGTTTCCACCGAATTATCCAGTTGAACCACCAACTGTGACGTTCACCTCGGAGATGTGGCATCCTAATGGTGAGTGATTATTCTGGAAATAACTCTCTCTCTCTCTCTCTGGAGCTTTTAGAATTTAGTCTTCTGATGATTTATACTCTTTTTGACTGCAGTTTATTCTGATGGAAAAGTTTGCATTTCTATTCTTCATCCTCCTGGTGATGATCCTCATGGATACGAGCTTGCCTCAGAACGTTGGACCCCTGTCCATACGGTATGTTTTTTCATTCATCTTTTTCTTTTACCCTTTAGCTTCAGTACACTGGTAATTTGTTTGCAGGGTTGAGTTATCTATGGCTTTGAATTTCTTGGGGTCTGCTTTATAGCCTAACATTCTTCGAATACAGCTAGCTTTCTCTTGTGTAGATAGGTTGTAGAAAGTGACATGTTTTGCTCGATATTGAGCTTATACACTGCTTGTTTTCAAATGTTCGTGGAATTTATACGTCAGGACTTAGGAATACTCTGGAGGATAGTGCAACTTAGATTGAACCTCTTTCGTAAGGGTGCTTGAGTGGAATATGAATTACTTTCTGATTTATCTGCCCTGTACCTCTTAATCGATGATGTTCTTATTAGATCATGAGAGAAAAGAAAACAGAGATACATTGAAGCTAATGTTGGGTCTGTGTATATTATCCAGGTAGAAAGCATTGTGTTGAGTATCATATCGATGCTCTCAGGTCCCAACGACGAGTCACCAGCGAATGTGGAAGCTGCAAAGGAATGGAGAGACAACAGAGCAGAGTTTAGGAAGAAAGTGAGTCGCTGTGTCAGAAAATCGCAAGAGATGCTATGAACATCTCTCCTGCGTTTTTTTTTGGTGTTGTAGAAATATCGATTCTAATCTTATGAGAAAGCGTAAGCAGAACAATCTTCAAGCAGCAGCCAGATGAATCTGACTTTCAAAAGCTTCTCTTTTTTCTTTTCTTTTTTCTGGTTTTGTTTTTGGGTCGTCTTTAAGGTTTGGAATATTGGGGTGGAATCAAATCCACTCCATATTTTAGGATTATATTATTGCACTCGTTAATGGATTCGTTTGATCTGGCTTTTTAACTTTATTCTGGTTTTGGGTTACAAAATACTTAAGAGTAGTTCAATGTTGTTAATCAGTTGGCATGCTAATGTTCTCTAGATTTTGGTTTGAAATCATCACATCCAGTGATAAATTCATCATATACAATGGTTAACCGAATTTAACCAAAATCGATTACAACTTTTCATGTTAGGGTTTCTTTCTTACTCACTATTGCTCCACTCCATCTTCCCGAAACAATTGTATATATTTATTTTTTCTTCGAAATATATCACTTTTAGTTAGATCCGCAAAATCGTGGATCTCCAAAGCTAAAACGAAATAGTATTTATTCAAAAACAATAAAGAATCAAATATGTGAACATATTAGTGTTAAAATTTTGTTTTGGTTTTCGTTAATACTCCGTATATCGTTATTCTCGTGAAAAGGATCGTAGGAGGAGGAATAGCTCGAACGTCATTTTCACAGTTTCTTTAACGACTCCAGCATTAATTACCCAAACAGTTCTGTTACAAAAACATTTAAAGAGAGACCAAAAAAAGTTTCGAGTTATTGTCTTTTGTGTACCTAATCCATTTTTAAAATATACAAATATTGCTTTCTTAATGATATGTCAGAAAGAAATGTCCCGTGTAACTGTGTAAGTAATATGAAAACCGGTTTTCAAATCTTTCATTTCAAAATGCACTTTCTCTAGCTAGCTCACCTGTGTTTGGTCGAATCCCTCTGACTACTTCGTAAAAAAAATCTCATTTGCATTAATGTTTCGACCGTTTCATCGTTTATTATATACTCTTTTAAATTAAATATCAAAAGAGCATTAAATTGATTTGTCATTTTGAAATTTATGTTGACAAAAAATGTGTATTCATATAAATTTACGATCAAATTAAAAATCGTAATCACACCTAAATTCAACAAAGATAAATCAATTACAGAATCTTATTTTTTTGTTCAACGAGTTGCCAATTACGAAAAAAATACGTAATCTTCATTTTTCCACATTAAACTCCAAAGAATTACAGACCATTAGTAAGTTGATAACCAACCAAACCTCGAGCTTAAACCAAAACAATCCAAAAAGCGACATTAAACCAGTCCGGTTATCAAACTATCTCTCTCTCGCTCTTACCATTCTCTTTTCGCATCACTTTCCCTCTCATTCTTCTTTCTTATCTCTCTCTCTCTCACTCTCTCCTTCATGCCTCGTGACTGCAACCAAAGCAATTTAAAACCGCCGCACTTCTCATGAGTCTTCTTCTTCTTCTTCTTCATCATCGTCGCTAACTGTAATTATCTTCTCCGATCTCCATCTCCGCCATGCGCTCGCCGCATGCTTTCCGTAACGGCGAATCTCCGAGTTCGCGAGACCATACTCACTTCCACTCAACCGTCGTAGCTCAGAAACTCCGTCGATTCAACTCTTTAATCCTCCTCCTCCGTCTCGCTTCTTTCTCTTTCTCTCTCGCTTCCGCCGTCTTTATGCTCACCAATTCCCGCGGCTCCGGTTCTCCTCACTGGTACGATTTCGACGCTTTCAGGTTCGATTCTCTCTCAATATTTTCCTCAATTTCGAAAATCATGAAGCGAATCTTGAATTTTTTAAAAAATTGAGATCAAAATCGGATTTTTTGGGTTGCAGATTCGTGTTTGTGGCAAACGCGATCGTGGCGTTATATTCGGTGTTTGAAATGGGAACTTGCGTTTGGGAATTTTCAAGAGAAACCACCTTATGGCCTGAAGCTTTTCAGGTCTGGTTCGATTTTGGTCATGACCAGGTAAACTTTTTTTAAAGCTTAAAAATTGCATAAGCACAACACAGAGACTAGTCATTAAAGTAAACATGTTTCAATGATTGCTTCCAATTTCCTAATTATTTTATTGTTAAGTTGTTCATTAGTTTAATCCCTAATTAAAATAATTAACCACACCTGTATGTAATAAAAAAAGTTGAAAATTTTGGAATGGGGGCAGGTGTTCTCGTACCTATTGCTATCGGCAGGATCGGCTTCAGCAGCACTGGCTAGAACGATGAGAGGAGGTGACACGTGTACGGCTAACAAAGCCTTTTGCTTGCAGTCAGATGTAGCCATTGGCTTAGGCTTTGCTGCTTTTCTCTTCTTAGCTTTCTCTTCTTGTTTCTCTGGTTTTCGTGTCGCTTGTTTCCTTATTACTGGCTCTCGTTTTCACCTTTACTCATGAGATGATTCTTATAAGTTGTTTTATGGACTTGATGACTGATGTGTTCAAAAAAATTTTACCATAAAGAAGATAAATTTTACTAACGATCATAACTATGAAGAGCTTCTCAAGTTTACATGACAAAACCATAAAAAATTTACAGAATTTCTTAGGATTGAAGAGACCAGATAAATGCTGTAATCAGTTTATCAAGATTTTGTGGAGTTGGTTTAAGCTTCTGCCACTGTAGGAGTTTGCTCTACTACTTTCACCTTGGCTTTTCCGGTTTTCTTACCAACCTTTGGCTTATTCTCCTCTTCTTCTTTCTCTGGATTCAGCTCAATCCTTGCAAATACGGGACTCGCTTGCTCCATTACTTGTCCTTCCTTTAGCCCTCCCCATTTGGTGTCACTCTAAAGAGAGAGAAAGTGTTAAATCAAAGCCAAAACTCAGCTACGTTTTGTTAAACGATAACTGAAATCAGGTGAAGGAAATCGTTTGTTACCCAGGTTATGCTATTGAATTGATCAACTGAATAGCCAAGCTGTGAGTATATCCTCAGACTTAGGCAAGGTGCAACCGGGGATAACGCAACCGCTATGACTCTCATTACTTCCAGTATAATCACCAGATCCTGTAATTTATTGGCAGAATACAGTCACTAACTTGATATCCTCTAATCATCAAATTGGTAACAAATCCTTTTGTTTTGTAAGAAGAATGCCAATTAGGGAAACGAGATAAGACCTTGGCTGCCTCTTCTGCTGAGACACCACCTTGTTTGAACAGGAACCAAGGTGCTCGTTGATCCATGTAGGTATTCCCCGCATTTCCAATCTCTAACACAGCCTCACACGCCGATGAGAGTGACAAATTTTTATAGTTTGTCCGAGCTTTTCCAACCTTTCAACAGAGAATGGTACAGTTTGAGATGAAAGGTTGACCTAATGAAGCCATTTACAGACGGAAGTTGTATAGAGATGTCATAGGAACTTTACCAGCTTCTCCACTGTGTCTTTCAAAGGAACTCCTTCGGCTGCAATAGTCGAGTCTACCACTAAAGTGGACTCACAGTTCTTCTTAAGAAGACCAAGAGTACGGTTCAGAAGATTTCCTGAAGAGAAATGCATCAATTAAACATTTTTCAGAAACAAGTTCAGTACCAAATAACCAAAAGGCTGAACAACTACTTAAGATTTAGTTTTAGTAGAGTTAAGAAACCTATAGTGTTGGCGAGATGTGCATTGACGATTTTTATAAAGCGGTCTTCTGAATAGTCCCCATCGTTTCCAAATTCAACCTCTCGAAGGAAGAAGTACCTGACCGCATCTGGCCCAAATTTCTGAACCAACTCAAAAGGCTCTAAAGTATTCCCCAAAGATTTTCCCATCTTCATCCCATCCTATTTTTGATAAACCATGGATTACAATGTAAGCAAGGATATAAGAAAAGCCGAATCCACTATTCCTCTCACATGTAGAGCATGACTAAAGGAAGTTGGCAAGAACAATAACTCTTAATTTAACATTACACAGAAAATATGCAGTATCAAGAGTTTTAAGGTTACGTACCTTTGTCAGAAACCCATGGCCAAACACCATCTTGGGAAGGTTCAGACCAGCAGACATTAGCATGGCAGGCCAGTAGACGGCATGAAATCGTAGGATATCCTGCAGAAAAATGGCATCATCAAATAGACAAATATAAAGTCATGAATTTGGAAAGACATGTGTGAAACAAACAGTTCGCTCTTGTTCATTTAACTATATCTATTGCATTTCATTATACTGAACCCAAAAATACAAAGGACAGAATTAAATATGATGATCATGAAATTGTTATTGTTTCCAGCAAATCCCAGTTAGAAACACATATTGAAGGTGAATCAGATTAATATCACAAGAGTTGATAACGAGCCTAAGCTATACCTTTCCAATCAAATGCAATGAAGCAGGCCAGCCCAATGAAACAGCAGTTTCTAGGTTTTGTTGCTTGTTGTCCTCTGTTAGAGCTGATATGTAACTATAAGAACGACAGAAAATTGACATCAAAATTTAATCTCGCAAATACAAAAAAAAAAACTAAAGGAAACATAATGAAGAATTAAGCAGATATAAGTTATATTGTCGTTACATCAATGTGTGAAAACATAACGAAGAATTAAGCAGTAACCACATATAATTCTTGAAGAAAATAGAAAAGAAATATACCCCAGTAGAGCATCAAACCAAACATATATGGTTTGCTTATCATCATCAGGAACAGGAATTCCCCAATCTACTAATGCTCGAGAAATGGAAAAATCTCTTAAGCCACTCTTTATCCAACTTTGCACCTATAAAAGAGCCTATTAGAGAAGGATTAAGATAGAATGAGCTATACTAAAAAATCTCTGTTTTTGAATAATCTGTATCACCAAAGGTCCACAAGCACTACTTGAATACTACAAGGACGAGAACTCGAAGACTGCGTCTCACCTCATTAAGACGATATGAAGGCTGCACAAAACGAGGATTCTGGGCCAAAATGTCTTCAAGTGGTTTCTGATACTTCGATAAAGCAAAGAAGTAGTTATCTTCTTTCCTTGCAACACATGGCGCTTGGTGGACAGGGCAGCAATTGTTTTCAAGCAGCTCTTTCTCATCCTACAGAATTCGAAAACAAAACAAACCTATAAAACTTGTGCCACACACTGACAAGGAAGTATCCAAATCTTCTCTAAATTCAAATCAAACCTTATATTCCTCGCAGTTAACACAGTAAAGACCTTCATAATCAGCTCTGTATATATCACCGTTTGCGAAAACACGAGTATAGAATTCTTTTACAATTGCTTCATGCTTAGGATCAGTAGTTCTAATGAATTTGTCATAAGCTATATCGAGATCTTTCCAAAGAGTTCTATAAGATTGAGAAATGAGATCACAATGTTCAGCAGGATTGCGTCCATTAGCAGCTGCTGAAGTAGCTATCTTCTCACCATGTTCATCTGTTCCTGTGATAAAGATAACCTTCTTACCAAGTAGCCTCTACACAAATAACAACAACCAAAAAAGTCAACACTTTGATTCCTATAAAAATTGAAACTTTAAGTCAGAGACTGATTGAGAATCAAACCTGGAAACGAGCAATTGAATCGGCGGCGATAGTGGTGTAAGCACTTCCCATGTGAGGAGGGGCATTAACATAATAAAGAGGAGTGGTGAGGACAAATGTCTCGCCTCCATCGACGCCACTTTCCTGGGAACTAGAAGTGCAATAGAGAGCTCTCTTCCCTGAGGAAGATTGAGAATAAAAAGGAAGCTTTTTGGAAAATCTGAATCTGTTTCTACAAGTGAATGGTTTAGTATTGAGGGGAGTGTTAAAAGGGTTTAACAAAAAGAGGGCGTTATGAAGCGAAGTGTTTATCCTCGCCGCCATTGATGAAAGAGGACATTCACCGGAGAAGAAGCAGAGGAAGGAAATGAAGAAGGGACTGGCAAATTTGGAGCGCAATTTAGGTCATGGTTCGGTTTTATCGGTAAACGAAGTGAGTAACTAAACCATTGTCATACCAAGGAAAATGTGAACCGGATCTATAATTGTTTTATTTGAAACTTTAAGTGGTGTATAACTTATAAAAACATTTTATAAAATATAATTGGTTAAAAATATTTAACAGATTTAAATTTTTGTATGAAAAGTAGAAAACTAGATTTTCCCATTGTCCGATTTTAATCAAAATCATTATCCAAACTAGACTATCTAAAACGAGTGAAATCGGGGTTAGCCCACAAGCATGGTAGAAGGAAAATCCAACAAAAAAATAATCTTGTAAAGAAATTCTTATAATACCATTTTTTTTGATAAAAAGCTTAAATTTGTTTTGTTTATAATATGCTCCCAAATTCCAAGCCATTACTTCACTTCTATTATTAATTTGTTGGGCCTTTTATTAATTTGTCTTGTGTTTTAGCCCTCTTTTTTTTTACATATAATATGTTTCAATCGCTTACGAAGAACGCCACTTTGATGACAAAAAAAAAATAAAAAATAAATAAATCGTCACTTTGACCACCGAGAAAACTGGACTTGGACAAAAAGACAGTCTTTGTTCTGGAACGGCGTTTCACACAGGTGGAGGCCACCATAACTTATTTAATTAAAAAAATATAGTAACATTCTAAATTTCAATTTATAATTTTGATTTTTTTTTTTGAAGAACTTTCTTACTATTTGTTTAGAGAAGAAATAGTAAACGATTATTCACATCATTGACTTGTTAATCCATTTTAGGACTATAAAATCAAGAATCAATTATGGATTTGCCATTTTTTGGGATGGCATTTGTGGATTTTGCCCTTTTTTGAATAGTTTATGGATTTTGCCCTTTTTCAGGTACGGAAATATGATTTAACATGCGTTTTATTCGTTATGTTTGGGTTTAGTCGGTTGTGGTTGTTCTTAGGGTTTAGTATTTTGTATAAACTACGTATTTTTACCAAAAAAAATCCGAAATACGTACATTTTTAAGTGTTAGAAAATGGCATATCCGTAAGATTTCAGTAAAAATGGCAATTTCAAAAGATTTTTATGAAAAATGGCAAAATCAACAATAATCCCTAAAATCAATAGAAAAATATTCAGCAAATCACTAAAACATTCTATTTCTCGTTCTAAAGTTGTCAATTTATGGTATTTGTTTGACATTTCTTCCAAAGAAAAATCTACATTTCATAATTTCGTATATATTAATTTCCTTACACATACACCTTAAAATATTTTCATATTTACATAAATAAAACAATATTCCATAATAATAATGGCGTTATCATTGTAGAAAAAAGGGCAAAACTTTAAAACCAACCCTTCTTCCTCCTCCTCCTCCTCCTCCGTTCTTCTCTTCTTCGCCTCCTCCAAGGTAAAGTACTCACCTCCTCCAAGGTAAAGTACTCACCTTTTTCGAATCCAGTTTCTTCACAATCGAAAATAATGAAGCTTTCTTTATCCAACATTTTCTCTGTATTCAACAACAGATCTATCTTTTCCTCATCAGATTCATAGCTTTCGTCCTGTTTTTTTTTTATCCAGATTGTGTTTTAGACTTTTCTATTTCGTTGT